TCCCATAATTTTTTAAAGAATCCTGCCGCCATTCTGATTTAATATTAATTAAAAAATATATTTCATCACTTATATTCTAATTTTTTATTTAATGATAAATGAAACCGATTTTAAAAATAAATGAAACAGAGGAGGAAGAAATAAATGAAAGTGAAAATGTTCAACAAAAAATAAACGTTGTTAAACCAATTACTGAAATAAAAATTTTTTCATCTGTTGATGAATTTAATGACTATTATGCTAATAATAAAAAATTATTTGAAGAATTGACAACATGTAAATTGAATAAAATGTTTAAAGTTGAGGACAGAGTCCAAGACCCAGAGGGTCATGGATTCAAAATTTCAAAAATAAAAGGTGTTGTTAGTTTAAAATCTATTCCTCAATCAAGAATCACCTCATTAATGAAAATTGATGATTTAACAAAAAGAATAGAAATTATTGAAGAAAGAATGAATCAAATAATTGATTTCATAAATTCAAATAATCATTAGCTTATTTAAAGTTCAAGGCACAAAGTGCCCAGGACTTAAAGTCCATTGTTGATTCTGAGACATAAATTTTTAAAGTTTATTTTTCATTCATGAATGATAATTATATCTGATTTCTTTTACTCTCTCGTATATACTAGATTTAAAGAATTCAGAACTTTTACCATAATCTCCTAAATGTTTTCTTATCTTATTGGTTTTCCATTCATTATATGAAACTGAATAAACTTTATCTTTATCTTTACACCTTTCATCACTTCCAATATATTTATATTTCAATTTTGATTTATTGGTTTCATATTCATTAGCGTTTAATAATTCACAGTCTTCCTTTTTAAATAAATGTTTTATGTATTCAGGATTAACAATTCTATAATATTGCTTCCCTTTAAATCTTTGAATATAAACAGGAACACCATCCTCTAAAATTCGATAATCTATTTTATCTGGTTTTACTTGTTGGGTTATTTATGTCAGAATAAAAAAATAAATTATTTTAAAATTAATGTTAATTTTTTAATGATTTATTTTTTAAAAATTTTTTATTTTTTATTTCATTATGTATGGGCTGAGTGTAAATGTCTTACAATTTTGAAAATTTTTTAAATCTTGATTTATTCAAAAACGTAAGAATAAAAACCGTAAGAATTCATACATTTTTTACTTCATATGTTAAAAAAAATGATACAAAATCGCTCGATATTGTATGAATTCTTACGTTTACAAAAAAAGTCACAAAACCCATCATATCCTACTACTTCGTATGCATTCAATTTATTTTTGTAATTTCTTTTGATATTTATTTAGTATTCATTGTGACTAGTAAAATATGTTTTCCAACTGGTCACCAATTCAATAATCAAATGGCCATTATAAAATTTAAATCAATTGAAATGCAGCCTATCAAAATATTCCAATAATATAATTCGAATTTGATTTTCTGAACAAAATTTCTGATGATGACAGAGGTAGGGCAACGATAGAAAATTTTTGGAAAAAAGTTCGGAGATCTTAAACGTATCATATTCCCTGCATGGTTTGGTATCTTCCGCCATGCGTTGTGCCAAACATATTGACACTTTCCAATAATTAATTTATGGTATGAGTCACAGAGTTAGATTATAAAAAGAAAGTAAATAATTGCAATTAGAAATCATATATGTCGGAAATCAAATGTTGATGAGCAGAAACCTTTTACTCATCATAAAAGAGATAAATCACTAAAGATTTGTATACATTAAAATTTGATATTTGGTGCTCGAAAACTGTCTGATGGGACTCCTCCAAAATGAACCAATCTATCGCTGAGGACCAAATTAGATGATGTGCATGGTGTATTCTCTAATTCTAACTTAGGAAGAATGGGAACAAAACGAATGACGACAACAACATGTCAAACATAGATTAAATATCTATGAATCAATAAAGTATACGTGCATTGAAGGTGATAACAATCACTTGAGGCTTATAACTCTTTGACTAAATTATGCAATAATTAAATATAATCATTTTTATATTTTTATACTGATAGTAATTAATATACTATCCTGCTTAATAAATGGTATGATCAAATTTGTTTGAAAATTTAATTATGTATATGAAACTATGTCTTCTATATAAAAATCAAAATTTTCGGACGAACCTAGATTGAACCTTTATGAAAATCTATCATTTTTGTTAATTGAGTTAATATGAATCTTTTACATATGTATATATAGCATTGATAGCTTATATAATCATGGTTTATTCCATATTAACATATTTTTTCAGTTAAATTTGTTAATAATATCATGTAACAAATTAATTCAAGATTAGAATGTCTACAAAATGCTAACAAATAAGAACAAAATACGATTTCTCGACTTAAATTTTAATATGGAGTAGTTTTTCGTTTAAATCTAATTAAAAATGAATAAAAACTTATCTTGTACTATTTTCATTCAAAGATTTTAATAATGTAAATCATGCATTTTCATAATTCAGTACAGTTCTTTTTAGAATTAAAGTTGATGAGGATGATATTTGTGATTTAAAATAATTTGTTAATGTTTACCTTTTATTCATCACCTTGTGGTATGCCCTAAAGCAATAGCATTATCAATTCTGCTGAATTGATCAACTCAAAATTCCAAAAAAAATTCAAAATTTCAAAAATGAAATTAAACAATTTGAATTTTCACATGAAAAAATTAATTTCGAAAAAAATTTGGAAAATCAAAGTATTTGATAATTAGTCAAATAATCAATTTACATCGTTTTTACTCATAAAAAACAACTAATTTTTGATTTTGATATCATATTTGATAAATACTCATTCCAGAGTTGACGTAATGTATTAATTATTGTTAGAGATATTGCTTTCGCAGCAAAATTCTTATTTCATGAAAGAAAAAAAAAATGATTTTATTCCAACAAAAACAAGTAAACAGATGAATGGAAACGTACTATATTTTCATAAATGTAGTAATCAGCGTGTCGGCTTTTGTTTATCATGTTCGAGTCAAAATGTATTAACTTGTAATAAGAAATATTCGAAGATTATATGAAGTATTGAGCATTCTTTGTAGAAATATTTGTAATTCATTACTAACATATATAATAAAGTTGTTTTTTTTTCCTTATTGCAATAATTTTGTCTGATTTTAATAACTTTTCATGTATACGAGTTGTGTGAATATGCATCATAATATGCGTAAATATACTTATTTGCGACGAATAATGTGGTTGCATAATGGAGGTGCTAAATTTTGATTTTTAATATGGGGCTTTGGTATGTATAATCATGTTCTTATCTCAACGTAGGAGTATTGGTGCAATATGATTAAAATTTACGAGGTTGATCTTAAATTGAATAATTCTGGAGTATAAATCACAATGCAGCTAATTCTATGTTAAAGATAGATACAGATTGTAGTAATCAATTAGGGAGTACAAATTCATTCTTTCATTTCTGTCGTATTGAGCAGAAAGGAAGAGATCATAACCCTAGGAAAAAAAGCCCAAATTTGTCACTTTTCATAGTACGTTAAACTCAATTCGCTCTGCGAATGCCGAGCACACGTACTCATCATTCAACATAATATTCTCATTCTTTGGTTATTATAGTGCCAGACAACACAAGATTTCAAATAATTACTTGAGTTTTCAATTAATCTTAATCCGATTTTAGATTTATCGAGAACTCCATCATCACAATCACATACTTCAGTGCGGTAACTACAATTATCCATATACAGAAGGAAGTTCTTTTCGAACAACTCATTTGGAGTCTGTTTTGGAAAGAACTTCTTTCTGTCCGACTTAATTTCATAGTTCCTGATCAACCAAAAGACAGAAACCACACACTATCTACTTAGGAAAGGAGTTCTTTCTAAATCTTCCTTAAATTGAGATTTTACGAGAGATAACCCTTCTATTGCACTTAAAAATGAACATTTTGATATCTTTAGTATCACACATGGTCATATATAGTATTTCATCTACATGAATACATTCATCTTTCGAAGTCTCTCATTAAATGGGAGGCTTCGAAAGATGAATCGTTTTATTCATACAACTTTAAATCTCGAACACATTTAGAGAGTGAGTATATCATTTTATTCTTGTTTTGAGTTTATTCTGATTCAAAATTGCAGTGAAAACAGAAGTTCACACATCATATCTGAATGTGAGCTCATCTATACTTATACGATCTCAATACCTCCACTCTAAGCATAAGAGGTGAAGTTATATAAAAATTATCAGATGCGTTGAAGTCTCAAAAGTATTGCCTGAATGCTTGTTTCATATTTGTCCAAGTAGTTTCAATGAATAAATGTATTGTTTTTTATAATTTCGATTTATTTTTAGAAAATATTCAATATAAACCTTTATTGTGTTATTTACATCTCATAAATTCTCTGTCTAAATCATATAAAAGCGCGTTTTACCCCTATGAATCAAGAAATTCATTCAATATTCATGGTATATTTATTAAATTTATACGATTTACTAATAATCAATATTATATCCTCATAAATAGCAATATATTTTGGTAATCTATGATAATCATATACAATATTTGAAATCAAATTTTCATTAGTTTAGGTTCCTTGTTAATAGTAAACCATTATATTTATTACTAATAATAAAATCTATGTGTCGTATTGAAATTCAATAAAATTACTTATTCGGTCCAAAAAAACAAATTAGATAAAATTTTTCTTTTTTTATGTAATTTTTGTTTTTCATTTTTCTCAAGATCCTAAGTTATGTTCTAACTTTTGACATCATATCCTATCATGCTAGGCTATATATTATAGCATATCCAAAAGGCAAGGAAATCTATCAGAGAAGCCTTTTTGACCTATCGTTGCCCTACCTCTATGATGACGTTTATTCAAAAAGTAATTACATGCTTTAAAACATATTTATATATAGAATTCTGCAATTTCATTTCATATAATTTTGTAAATGTTGTAAAGAATAATATTTTTATCTCTAGTTTTTTTAGTAGGAAAAATTAATCATATGTCTTCACTATCCAGCGAACACCAACAAAACAGACAAACCTATAACATGTTAAAATCCGAAATTCTGAATAGTTTAATCCTCTTGGCTCAGCAATTTCAATCCGAAAACTTATCAATCGAAGAAATCAACAATTCTGTGAACCAATTCATTCTCCTTGTTAACAAGACCATTATGACAACAGAAGATAAACACGAACAGAACACTCTTTTGGAGTTAAAGCAGCAAGTTGAAAGTAATTACGAATATCTTCTCGAAACATATGAGCAAGCTGTACAAGATGAATTAGATGATACACTCATATCAAATGAGATCCAAAATGGCGTGGATAACAATTCTTTCGCGAACGTAAAATCTGATTTTGAAAGGCGAATCCAGAATTTAGCTGACCAAATCAATCAAGGCGCCCTCGTTCTTGATGATGTCATCGATCAATCCGAATTTATGAACAAATTGCTCGATGAAGCGATTCAACAAACAAATGATAAGGAAATCCAATTAGAATTCATTGTTATGTTGGAGAAATTGAACAGCATTGTCGATAAGTACCTTGAGAGCCACAAAAAGGTCGAAGAAGAAGAGCCAATCAAAGTTCCATCAGAAAATGCAGGAATTGACGAGCTCCATCAATCTACTAATGCTGCAATTAAGACACCTACTGAACAATTAATTGCAACAGACGACAAGAATGAAAGAGAAGCCATTGCCAAACAAATCGACCAAATTAACTCTTCATTTAACAACTATCTCTCAGTTGTTGACAAAGATCTCGACTCTGTTACTAAAGAAGAATCCAAGAACAGCACTGCAGCAGAAGAAACAGAACCAGTTTCATCAGAAATGGCTTCAATTGTATCAAGAGACATTGATTTGGGAGAAAACATTGGAAATGAAACTGAAGAAGAAGACGAAGAAATCAAAGTCGTTGGCGTATCTTCAAACAAGAAAGAAGAAACCAAACAAATTGAAGAAAAGAGAATTCAGGAGCAAAAGATGGTCGAAGAAACAAGAAAAGCTGAAGAAAACAAGAAGATTGAAGAAGAAAAGAGAGCTGCTGAAACAAAGAGAATTGAGGATCAGAAGAGATTGGATGAAGAAAAGAAGATTCAAGAGCAAAAGAAGAAATTAGAAGAGGCCAAAAGAATTGAAGAACAAAAGAAGATTGAAGAAGCAAAGAAGAAACTGGAAGAAAAGAAAGCTGCTGAATTAAAGAAGGCAGAAGAACAAAAGAGAGCTGAAGAAGAAAAGAAGAAATTGGAGGAAGAAAGAAAAGCTGAAGAAAAGAGAAAGATCGAAGAGGCTAAAAGAATAGAAGAACAAAAACAAATCGAAGAAGCCAAGAAAGCAGAAGAACAAAATAAAGTTGAAGAGATTAAGAAAGAAGAACAAAAGAAATCAAAGAATGAAGCAGAAGTTGCAAAGAGTGAAAACAAGATAACAAAAGAAGAAGAGAGTAAGAGCAGTAATATGGCAGCTTTAATTGTTGCAGGAGTTGCTATTGCTGGACTTGTTGCTGCAGGAATTATTATCTATCGTAAAATGAAATAAATATTTTTTTTGTTCATTAATTTTATATAATTAATTTTTACATTTAGCTCCTTTTGACAATAAATATTCACAAATTGCAGGAGACTCATTTAGTTTTGCCATATCCAAAGCAGTTTGTCCTTCATCATCTACTTCATTTAAGTCTAATCCAAGTTCAACGAAGAATTCAACACATTCATATGACATACAACAAACTGCATCAATAAGAGGTGTCTTATTGACATCAGACTTTATTTTAACGCCTTTATCAACCAGGATTTTTAATACTTCGATATCATTAACATTGATACAAGTTTTAACTGCTTCATCACATTTAGATCTTTCATCTGTAACGTCATAACCAATTTCTATCAAAAACTTTAAACAATCAAATGAATATCCAAATGCTGCATTAACAAGAGCAGTTTCATAATCATTCTGGAAATACATATCAACACCATAATTATCAATTAAGTGCTTAACAATGTCAACATAATTCATAGTTATTGATTCTAAATAAGCTTCATTTATTTCATTTTTAATTTCATTTTTGTCGTCAAAAAATGACAAAATATCATCAATTAAATCAATCAAACCATAAACAGACAAGTACTTAATTGATTCTCTTATATCAGTGTTCATCATTTCCAAGAGAAACAGCTCTAAATTAAAGTTAAGAGCGCAATCTTTGTATGCAATTTTTTGATGTGATTTTTCTGTCAAAATTTTTGTCAAATTTTTATCATGGATGTAAATTGCATTTGATATTGCTTCATTTGTAATATCAACATTACGGTTCAATACATCATCAATAATAGTTTTATTCCTTCCTAATATTGCGCATTCTAATGTTTCACTATCGAAATTAATTTCGAAATTTTTTAAGTAATTAAAGCAATTGATGGCACCAAATGAACAACAATCATTAAAAATGCTTTGTAAATCATTTCCATGATCTTTAAGATATAATTTTAGTTCTTCTACATCATCTTTTATGAATAATTTATTTTGATCTTCATTTTTTGGATCGTTATATCGTAATTTACTTCCAAAGTGATATGTATCACGTAAAAGATCCTCTAAATTACCAGAAATGCAAAATTCAAACTTGTTTAGTGAATTTTCTTCGCAAAATTGTTCAAAAAGCTGGAAATATGAAACAATATACTTATCATTGTATCTGCATGCTGTTGAGATCAAATTAATTATAGCATTATGATTAAGATCGTGGTTTGTCATTGTTGATTTAATCATTTTTGAAATATGATCTTGATCTGCATTTTCAACATGAAACAATTGATTCGATAACGTGATATAATCATCATATTTGCGAAAGATATCATTAATTTGACTTTCATCCAGTAAAAGTCTTGACATTATTTTTTTTTTGAAAAGTGACATAAAAGTGACTCTATATCAAAGAAATTAAAAATAGGAATGAATACTACAATAGTCATAAAAGTCCCAATAAAATAAAAATTAAAGAATTTGGCTCTTTTAATCCTTTCTATGCACTTTGTTGCAATGACATCTGTCCAAACAAAACAAAATTTAAAAAAGAAAGTAAAGATTAATTCATGATAAGATGTTTATTAATTAATTTATTATAAAACAAAAAGATTACCAAAGTCCGAGAGGATCTATAGCACATAAGAATAAAAGGTTTTTCTTCATATGACTTTTCAGTTCTTTTTTCAGAATATCAATCCGATCATAGTTTGTTGCCATTATATCATTGCATGTGTTAGATTGAATGCGGTAAGCATGTGATCCACAAAATGTTGATTGTTCATATGCATATGTGACAACAACTTGAGAGTCATCTTCGAAAGATTTGTCAAAATTAGAGAAATCACGATTTCCACAGTAGAATATGATTCTGAGAGGTGTGTTTTCGAAAGAAGAAGATCCGATGTATGTCGTATATCTGTTGATCAGAATAACTTTCTTGATGTTCGTTCCATAGAATGACATGTTACCGAAGTATTGAACATCACTCGGAATGTTGTTGACTTTGATGCAGTTCTTGAATGATTCGTTTCCGATCATCGTCACAGTTCTCGGGATATCATAAATCAAACTGATACAATCTCTGAAACAATAGTCTGATATCGATTCGATGTTGTTTCTGATTGATAATGAAGAAAGATTCTTACATCCATCAAACAAACCAATCGGGAATGTCGATGTGCTACCTGTTGACAATATTCTCTTTCTCATTCTCATTGATGATGATGGTGATGCTGAGAATATTGTTATCGAAGATTGTTCAGATATCAATTTCGGAATTTTGACCGATCTCAGATTTGTACATCCTTTGAATACGAAAGAAGATATTGTCACAGTATTTTCGATACTGAACGATTCTAACATCGTGCATCCTTCGAACGCATTGTTCCCGATCGATGATGCGAGAGGGACTGAAATCGTTCTCAATAGACTGCATCCTTTGAAAGAGTATCGAGATATTATTACAGATGACAATATCTCTAGAGAAGATATTCTCGTGTTTTGGAATGCATACTCATCGATGAGAGATATTGTTGTTCCGAGACCGATGTTTATCCGAGTCATCGGAATCGATGAGAATGCATTCGGTCCGATACGATCGATATTTATCATGCTCGCGATGTTTACTGTCGTTATCGATTGTGCACCTCCAAAACACGCAGATGTTATCTCTTTGAACGAGTCTGGTACATTGTATGTCAAGAGTGATGTGCATCCGACGAACGCAGACGAAGAAAGATATTTCAGATTTGAGTTCGACTCGAATCTTATATCAGACAATGACTTGCATCCAGAGAATGCACTATCTCCGATCTTCGTGCAGTTTGCAGGGATGTTGATCGTTTTCAGTTTGATACAGTTGCTGAATATCGATGAACCAAGATTCTTGAGTGCACAGAATCTCCAGAAAGATATCGTCGTCAAGCTCACGCAATCTGCGAATATTGAGTCTGCACCGAGATCTGCTCTCGCATAATCAGTGAATGTGATAATCGCTAACAGTGTGCACCCAGAGAACGCACTCTGCTGAACTGTAATGAGTGATGTTGGGAGGTCAACTCTCCTGAGAGATGTGCACGAGAAGAATGTTCCATCTTCGATCACTTCAAGACGACATCCTTCCTCGAATGTGAGATTCTCGAGTTTCGAACAACCGTAGAACGCATTTGATCCAATGACAATGATATGTTTGAATATCATTGCATTAACTCTTCCTCCTGGACAACATATAAGTTTGTCGTTCTTCTTAGTATACACAATTCCATCTATGCTCGTATAATTCATATTCTCACTTGGAACATTTATACTCATCAGATTTGAGCAGAAAACGAATGCAGATGGATCGAACAATGATACAGATGCAGGAATTGTCACAGTTGGGAGAGATATACACGATCTGAATGCTCCACCACCAAGATTCTTCAAATTCATTCCTCGTGCGAAACTGATACTTCTTAAATTCCTACACTCACTGAATGCATTTGCACCCAGAAATGTTAATGATTGAGGCAACAAAATAGAAGAAATATTTGTTTGTCTAAATGCCATTGTATCAATAACACTAATTTTTGAACCTTCGGCAAATTCAATTGTTGATAGAGATCGAACATATGCGAAAGCTTGACCATTAATTTGCTCAATGTTTTTTGGGATTCGTATTGTTTTTAAATATTGAACATATAAAAAAGTCTCTCCAGAAATCTTTGATAATGGACAATCTTCGTTGAATGTTACTGAATTAATTTTCGAATTTCGAAATATGCCCCAGTCAATATATCTCAAATTGATTCCAAAATTGATTTGTTCAATTGTGCAATACTCAAAAGCATAGCTTTGTATTGTCTTGGGACCACCACCCATTATTATTATATTTTTGACTGTTGAGGACCTAAAGCAATAAACACCAATATTTTGCATTGTTGAAGGTATACCTATAGAGCTTATATTTATTCCTCTAAATGAATATGTTCCACATGATGTGATTCCCTCATTCATTTTTATCGATTTTAATTTTCTACATTGGTAAAAACAGTAATGACCAATTGATATGCATTCAGGGTTAGTTTCCACTGAAGAAATACCACCAATGCAAGCAATAGCATTTTTGTATCCCTTAGAATATATTATTCCATTATATGCTGAAAATTTGGTATTTTTAGAATCAACAGAAACTGATGTTAATTCAGTTGATAAATGAAACATTGTCATTCCAAATTCAACAACTTCTGACTGAATTTCAAAATTTGTAATTAATTTTGGCACAAATAAATACTTAGTTCTATTTTTCAGCATCAACACCCCTGGAGGTATAACTGTATAGATAGGATTATTTTCATTAAGGATACCCTTACATTGCGTAGTTAGAAAGAGAATATGATATTGTCATGATTGCTAAAGTTTTAGGCTCCAGAAATGAATATACATCAAACTGAAACAATTGATAAATTGAATGAACTTTTGAGAGGTTCTCAAATAAAAAAAATTATCTAATTTTTTACAATATTACTATTATTTTATCCACATATTTATATATAGTAATTTGAGAAAACTTTTAGGAAAAAATAAGTTTAATAAAAATCTGAATTTTACTTGTTGTGGGATTGTTATTAATTGACACTCCAGACGTATTACTAATAGTTATGCGTATGCAATTAAAGTATTTCTGATGGACAAAATGTGAGATTTATATCAGATAATTCATTTCTACTATTAAGTTATTCATTTATGAGTTTGCACTTATTCGCACTAAATAAATAACTATTAAAAATTGTTTTAATTAATTGACACCATATAATAGAGTGAATTTTGTTTGATCAAACAACAATAGATGATAGATATAAAGCCAAGAAACTTGCTATTAATATGCTCTACTTGCTATTTCAATGTAAGTATGATATTTTCTAAATGTTTCGTTCAGATAACTTAGATATATTAGTCAAAATTTGAAATTTTAATAGCACATATATTAAAAATAATTATTATTCATAAAAGATTAATGAAATAGTAAAAAAAAATCAATCAAATTATAAAAATACAACATTTAGAAGAATTCTTATTATCCTTCAAAAAGTCAGTATTTCTGCTGTAATTTTCTACAACATTGTAGTTATTGCACTTTGTCTATGGATTTGTATATATGTTATATATAAATTATATATCTAAACTGCCCATAAGTGCAATTTTTATATAAATTGTTTATTTCTTTAACAATTTCATATGAAATATGCTTTTTTAAGCGTATCAAAGCTGTGTTCTTAATGTGCATGGATATATCAAGAAAAATGTCGAAAAAAAATGTGAATTCACAAATTCACTGAATTTTCACCGTTTTTTGAATTTTGCTACAGCACTAATATTAAATAATACTAAAATCTTCTGTCTTTGTAAAAGAATAAATTCTGACAAAAAGTGCTCGTTTAAATTTAATGATCATCTGTATGACTAAGTGGTAAAAAGTGTTTATGACCAAAAAAGGGTTACATGCTTAGTCTATTTTTCTGACAGGATACTCTAGATTTACATGATCTCTATTTCATATCTCCGTTTTTAGATTCTTCGACAGATTTTATGATAGAAAACCAAGATTAACAAATTTCCGGCATGTTAATGAAGAAATCTGCAGCTACCCTCAATATTATTTCAATAATCAGTATCGTTTCTCTTACAATTTATTTTTTTCTCAATAATTTAACAAGAAATAACAATACACACTTGGTTTTACGTATAAAAGCTAAGTGTCGAACTTAATCAACTTTACTTACTTAGCAAATGAATATTTTTGTGGTTGCGAGTTCTGAATGCTGAAGTTTTAGATTTCTCTATAAATGATATCATTGCACTTACAATGTTGTTCCAGCCTATCGCATAAATCATAGAAAATCCAAAAAAAAAAATAATATAAAGAAAATTCATGTCATGAAGTTCAAAAAATACCGTGTAACATTAAAATTTGTTATGCATAATACATTTTAGCTATTATTGATTTTTTTTAATTTTCGAGAAATTGAATGGTGAGTCCGATAGAGAAATTTTTAAAAATCCTAGTGCCTCATAGAAGTAATTTCCCTCGTCTCCCATACTTCCAAATGTATGCATATGACATAAACTTTTATGCATTACACAAGTGGCCAATAATATCTATAGAGTAAAAAATTAGAAATTTAATTTTTTTATATGATAGTTATATTTCAGATTTGCGAGCGTAACTTTTTTCTCCATGGCATACTTGTTTTAAGAGCAAATGATCAAAATCGTCCTTCAATTATTGAAGGAGCTGATATCTTTTGAAAATTGAATTGAAAGGGTATTCAATTTTCAAATTTCTTCTCAATTTTGGAAACATATCAACTCTATGAATTAACAATTATGTGCCTTCACAGTTTATCAGTCATATAAGGTGCTTATAAAGAAAAAAGTTACGCTCGCAAAATATGTTTTTATATAGATTTCACATAAAATAATTATGTAATTTCTAAAAAGAATATTTTTGTTCTTGAATATTAAAGTGTATTGTAGTTTAAAAAGTTTTAAATATGTTGCTAAAATTTCAGGTTTATAGCTCATGTCTAGCATGACTTCTTCGTATGCGCAAAAAATCTGACACGTAAGGGTATCCTTAATAGAAATATTTTTAAGGCCGGATGCCCCTGAAAAGGCATTAGTATGTATATTAACTAAACTTGCTGGTATATAAATCGTTTCTAATTTTGGATTCAAATTAAATATTGAGCTTCTTATAATAGAACATTTATCAGGAAATGTGAATTCTTTGATTTTTGTTGCATAAAAGGCGTTGTCTTGAATCTCTATTAAATTAGATTCATTTTCAAATTCTACGGTTTCTAAATTTATACAAGAATAAAATGCTTGAGACTCAATTTTTGAAATATTTTTTGTTAGAAAGATATATCTCAGGCCAACGCTAAATGTAAAATTGTTGAGAATTGTTATTGGAGAACCTTTTTCAAAATAAATATTTCCAATTCCACTTGAATCATGAAATGCTCCTGCAATAATTTTTGTTATTGATTTTGATATAATATAAATGAGTGTCAAAATTTTTAAACATTATGAGAACATATGAGTGTGGAATTTCATTTTGACAATAGATGCCATTGTGTTAAACAATATTGAAATGCCCCTTCGCCAATAGTAGTTGTTTCTGATGGAAACTTAAAATTTTTTGCATTCTTTTTAGGAGGAAAGCGAATGATACATGTTTTTCCTTTATTGTATAATACACCAAACTCATCAACTTCTAAGTTTTGACTCCCTTCAGCTAATGTTATTGTTTCTAAAACATAACAATTTCTTGTATCTTGACCGGTACTTGATTGCAAGGATGATGGTAGGTTTAATTTTTTAAGACTAGCAAAGCTATTAAAGACACCGGTTGTGAAGCTAGTAATTCCTTCACCAACAAATATTTCAGTAACTGTTTGATAGTCACAATTAGCCATAATATCAGACCTGGTGAGCTGCCCAGACCCAGATATATAAACTGAGGTTTGCTTAACAACAAATTCAACTCCCAGGACAGACACAAATAAAAATAAAAACATTAAAATTTGATAGATTATTTTATACTTTAATAAACTTTAAAATAATGTTTGCATGGATATTAAATGTGATAATATTTCTATGGATCAGAAAGATTATAACATATTCAATTTAATTTGACACACTCTCAAAATTTGAACTATATAAATTCATAATCAACCATATTAACACCAACAATGAATCATGTAAAAATGAAAAAGTTTCGAAAATAAAAGCTAATCAGAGTTTTTTCATACTTAAATTTAATGTGAAAATATTAACTTTTAAAGATGTTGGACTTAATTATGTTAGAAAATTAGTTATCTATGAAATTCAAAATCATTTATAAAAGGAAAACAAGGGACATTGTAATAATCATGCATCAAAGGGGTAACATAACTAAGATAAGAATAAATTTCAAATATATTGTTGAAATTTACTAAGATTTTTTTTACGGAATATTATATTTTCAAAACATGGAATTATGTATGAGATTAGAATAATAATTTTCCCAATTTTATTTGTATATTAATCAATATTTTTTGATAATTTCCAAATTTGTTTTTAAAGAAGATTAATTGCAAAAATATGAACATTTTCTTTTAGTGGTTGTAATATTTCTTTAATTTTATTTAGTTTATAAATTGCACGAAATCAATTAATTTTTTCGAAAAGACAAAAAAAATAGCTAATATTCATAAGCATTGGCGATATATTAAAGAAAAATCGATCTTCTTTGAACAAAGGTATTTTATTGATTAACAAGCAATGATTATATGTGAATATCATGTTATGTTACTAAATTAATAAGCTAGTTCTTATAAACATTTCAGTCTATGGCTTGTCGTGAAATTATATAATCTTATTACAGAAATAGTTACATTAGGATATGACAATTATAGTGATCCTTAGTTGAATTCATCAGTTAGAGAATTGTTCATGTGAATTCACATCAAAATTATCAGAAATTAAGCTTAATCTCGATAAATGGTTTATACTATAGGTAACTACGATGAAAGAATATCCGAAAAGAAGATCAACTTTTTGATATGGTACCAAGAAAAATTGAAAGGAGGTATGAATTCATGACCGATCATTTCTTTCTCAAAATAATTCACATCATTTATAAATAATATATGGAAATCCCACAGCTCGGATATGGAACTTTTTTGGCGACAGATTCCGAAAAACTAAAAGCTGCCCTTCATTATGCAATTGAAGAATGTGGAGTCAGAAATCTGGATTGTGCATGGGGATACAACAATCAAGAAATCATTGGGGAGGCATTGAAAGAGATCTTTTCTAAGGGAAAAATTAAGCGTGAAGATATTTTCATTACTTCCAAGCTTTGGTGCACACATCATCGACCAGATCTAGTTGAATATGAACTCAAAGAAACATTAAAACAGTTCCAACTCGATTATATAGACCTTTGGTTGATGCATTTTCCTATTGCCAACGAATCTAGAACTGATCGCGATTATTTTCCAAAAGATGCCAGTGGAAAATTCATTCATGAGCAAATAGATATGCTTGACACATATAAGGCAATGGAAGAATGCATGAAGAAAGGCATGACACGTCATATTGGTGTCTCCAACTTCTCAATTGAACAACTTGAGCGTGTTTGGTTCAATTGTGAGATCAAACCATACGCAAACCAGGTTGAATGTCATGTTTACAAACAACATCATCCATTAATCCAATATTGTGAAAGTCATAACATCTTCTTGATGGCACATACAACAATTGGACATCCACCACTTAAGGGATATCGTGGATGCATGTTGATTGAAGATCCAGATGTTGTCAGTATTGCAAAGGAAGTTGGTAAAACACCAGCACAAGTTTGTATCAAATATCTCATCCAAATGAGTCCAAAAGTTGTTGCAATTCCTATGTCTATGAATCCAGCCAACATCAAACTCAACTACGACATGAATTTCACACTGAATGAGTCACAAATGAACAAGCTCAAGTCTCTTGATAAGTTCTATTCATTCCTTTATTTTCCAGATGTCTTTGGTGTTGATGTTCTTGGTTTAGGATTTAATGTTTGGGGATAAAAAAAATAATCTAGACTTAATTTCAATTTTGAGTTATAAAAATGCTCGTATTAAATATGCTTATCCAAGTTTATTCCAAGTAAGTTATTAAAATCGAATAACTCCCGAAATTCATAAATTAGAATTAATATAATTTCATAAGCCACCGTCCAATTGAATTTTTTCCAGTGAAATTCACTTGATTTTAAACCAATCAGATGGGCGTAAGCTTCTGAGACCTCAACCATGGTAATTTAAAAAAAATTAAATGTTTGAAAATAAAACTAGGTTTACATTGTTTAAAATTTATATTTTTAAAGCATTTCTTTTGTTTCTACATTGTTGGTGTTCATATTTTCAGGTTCTTTATTATCCTGTTCATTCTTAGATTTGCTCTTAGAAGAGCTACTGCTCTCAGACATCTCTTCTTTCTTCTCTTCATGCTTCTCTTCTGGTTTATTTTCAGGTTTCTTTTCGGACTTTTCTTCCATCTCTTTTTCAGATTTCTCGTTACTACTTGAAGATTTGTTTCTTAGTACCAAGAACAAAACCAAAACTACAATAATAGCAATAACTATAAGAATAGCAATGACTATTCCAGCGATAGCTCCTCCACTTAATCCGCCAACGACATGTTTACTTGCTTTAGTTTGTTTTGAGTATTCTTCTACTTGTGTCAAATTACTTCCTCCTCCTGTTGCAGGAATTGTGTACCAAATATCATCTTCAAAGAAGCTTTCTTCTTCATCAGCCGAGCTCTTCTTTTCTTTGATTTTAGTTGCCTTGACTCTGAACATTCCTGCTGCATGATCATTTATTCTTGAAAGTTTTCGTTCATAAGCATCAGATATAACCTGCAAATGCTTTCTTAACAATGTATCTTCATATGCATCTGTTTCATTATAAATGAGACCAATGACTAATCTATGATCAGTTTCAATGGTAATGTTCAAATTGTTTTTACTAAAGATTGTTAATGCGATCTTTGTTGTGTTATACCTGGAATTGTTGAAGTTGAATTCACCTGTGAATGGCCCTTTAGTTGTGAAAATTGACTTCATTTGGTAGGCATGATCTGTATCATTTACGGATGGAACAGTTGGAACAGCTTGTACTTTGCAGATTTTATTTTTATCAGCGCAGAAAACTTTGTGGATTACAGGTTTTGTATCACCTTGGTATTGTGTGATAACAAATGGGTTCTTGAATTGTTCATATGAAGATTTGGTGTCTTTTTTGAACTTTGAGTTAACGATGAAATCATCTTTGGAAGCGAATACGAAGTCTCCATACAAGCATGCGTATGAATTGCGGCCAATTTCAAGGATTTTTGATGGTTGAAATCGTTTTTGTTCTGGTTGATTTGATCTTGGACAGCCACTTGTGTCAAATTCTTTTCCAGCTGGTTTTGGATAATCTGTACCAAATACTACAGCAGTTTTCGTGTATTCCTCTACTTGTTTCTTTGTTTTTGCACCTGCACCTGGTGGAAGTACATAAAATACATCTTCTCCAAATAAATTATTAGAAATACTACCAGATGAAGAAGTTGAAGACAATGTAATGTCAAACATGTCATCAAATGAATATTCTGCATTTTTATCTTCATTAGTGTTAACTGTATACGCAACTCCACCAACAATTTGATCTTGAACCGAAGAACCATAATAACCTGTTCCGCTATGAGATAGAAGAGTAGGAGATTCTGACTTTGTTTTCAGCATTTTAAGTGTCCTTTGTTTTATTCCGAAACTTGTTATAGATAAAAACCTTTTGAATCCTGGACCATCTTCATCTTCATTTAGAATCATATGGAATTTCTCTGATAATGTATCTCTTGTTGTAAATACAGAAATGAGCTCTGCATCTCCACCTTTTGTTGATTCTGGAAGTGCAACAATTTGTCCACTAATAGAAAAACCTGACTGTGACTGAATTACTGACACAGGTACACCTTTATTCGATTTATCACCTTGAATAGAGAAGGGATTGTTATATACGACTTGAGATGAGTAATCAAAGGAACCTGTTTTGGAATTATATGTGGCAAACTTTACAGTTACTTTAATATCTTCATCTGCTTCAATCAAGAATGGACCACTTATGCATATTATTGTTTTTAAAGTAAAGGTATATACTTCTGGGAGTCTGTAATCATAGTTTTGAGTGTATGGTCTGTAAGTATTGCTATAGTCACATTGTAACAGATCAGCAGCTGGATTGGGATATCTTATACATATTAAAGAAGATATGAGGGCAAGCATTGAAGTAAATTTCTAAAATTTTAATATTTCGGTTGGAATTCAATTCAATTTCAAAACTAATATCTGAATAATTACACGAAGGAATCAAATATCAAATTTGCTTTCATGATGTTTTTATTGAATATGTAAAAAAAGTAAAAAGTCATGAAAATATCGAAATAAACTTAAGAAAATAAACATGAAAATGTTATTCTAAAAATTCCTGAAATTAATTCAATTTTGTAAACATTTGAATAACAATCATCTGAAATCTATATTTTGAAATCTAATTACTTATTAAAATGCAGATTGAAAATATCAAATTACGTTTAGTTCAATTTTCAGAATATATAATGTGATATTTTTTAAAATGGAAATTATATTTGCCTATAGGTAGGATGTAATATTTTTTACATCTTAAGTTTTCAATGTTTTTATCAATCGAGAACTTTACAAATTGATAACTCCAAACAAGTCGGAAAAAGATAAATTAACCATTCAATATATATATTATTTTGAATGGAATTCGTATGTTTGAAAACAATAATGCTTTGAAAACTAACGAAAAGTCAGAAATCCCAAGACCAATTCTTTTTCAAAGTTTGATGTTTATTTACTAACCCTAGAATAACCTTACGTATACATGGTGTCAAAGGAAGTTTTTATCATGTTTCGAATAAAATCAATAATAAATAGCACATTTTAAAGATAAGAATATTAGAACAAATGACTAATAGAGTAGTAGAATAAATAATCTCTGCTCGATTTAAAAGAGAAAATAAAAAAAATCAAAAATTACACTTTACATGATAATAATAGGAAATAGATATGAAAGATGGAGATCTTTGTTGTAGTGGATCATCCTGCATGTGTATGATGAACAGTTACGAATGCATGTAATAGGAAGACCACTTGAAATAAGTGTAGAAATGAATGTTTTAGTACGGTTTTGGATTGAAAGACCACAGTGAAGACGACAACACCCAATGAATGCATCAGATCCAATAGATTCGATGCAGGATGGGATGTTGATCATGCGAAAGTTAATGCAGTATGCAAATGCACTCTTACCAATAGAACGAACTAAGTTGTCTGGAATAAGGATGCTGTCGAGATTTTTGCAACCAATGAATGAACTCTGGCCGATGGATCGAAGTTTGTCTGGAAGAGAAAGGAAACTGTATGGAGATGCGGGTGGGAAAACATACAACTCACTTCGATCGAATGAATACAATGCACCGTTCTCGACTATCATGAATTCTGACTTGAAGTATGGAATAGTTGAAAAACGTTCACATCCACTGAAAACACCAAACTCGATGTTCATAAGATGAGAATTATTGCTAATGACAACTCTTTCAAGGTTTATACAATCTTTGAAACATTCAATGGATAATTTTTTAACATTGATTGGAATATCAATAGAACGAATTGATGTCCCACTAAAACATTGTGAATTGAGAACTTCGATATTAGGCAAAATCGCAACCGAATTTTTAAATCTAGATTTTGATGATAAATTGTGATTTTTAGCTTAAATCGCGATTTTTTAAAAATCGCGAACAGAATTTTTTCGCGATTTATTAATAAATCGCGATTTGAACGATAAATTTCGATTTTTTTAAAAAATCGCGATTCGGGAAAAAATTGCGACTTTTTGAAAAATCGCGAACTTTCAAAAAAATCACGTCCTTAATTTTGGTCTTTTTCGGAGTGATAAGTCGTCCTTTAAGTAATATTTTTTTTTCTCGAATTGCTAATTGAAAAATTAAATTCGAGAAAAGAGATTACAATAGTATTGTATGGACTATAATCCTACTACTATAACACTTTTTTTGTGAAAATCACACTTTTTTAAAAAAAGGTATCAAATTGAAAAAAATTATTCTTATATTTACTTATACTGTAGGGCACATTCATTGGTTATGAAAATCACATAGTATGAATACTCAATCCCAAATATCTTAAAAAAATATTCTAAAATATTAGACTCGATTTTAGCAATTGTATTCTAATCATAATATAATGCCCGAGTATATTATATAAATAGAACAAATATTAGTAAATTCAATTTTTTTTTTCAGATCGCAAATTATCTAATACAAATATTCATAAAAATCACATACAGTATATTTGCATTCAATGTCAAATATAATAGCTATCTAATACTTTCGAAAAATTGAGCTTTTGAATATTTTATAAAATTTCTGGTCCAAAAATTGTGCTTTCACAATATTTTGATGATATCTATAATAATTAGACTACAAATATAAATTGTATAATAAAAAATCAAAATTTGCTTTTGATATCTCAAATCTCGATATGAGATATTCAATGTCAAATCAAAGTATTCATAATTAACAAATTTGTATCGTGAATGCTTTCGTTTTGCTTAATACACAATTATGCATGACAAGTGTGTGTGGCTACACAATTCTTTCCGTCCGAAGCGGAGAATTGTGAAGTTTACACCGCATTTCACGGATAATATAATGGAAAAAGATTTTCATGGAATACTATTTTTATTAATAGCTTAATAAATGAGCGAGTCTGATAGATATATGTTACGCAAGATATATCCATAGAGAAGTGTTTAAGTATAAAACAATGCGTTATACGTTATATGTAGGATATAGATGGTTTTTCTCCATTGAGAATTTTGTCATGTGAAAAATCTCTTTTTTAGCTATGATAAAAATACTTTTTATATACTATTATATCTCAGTTGATATTGATTCAACATTCTTATTTCACATGATAATATAATAGTATATGTAGCGAGGTATTATATTCTCTTGTGATTTCGATCTATTAATGCTCACACAAAAAATTCGCTACATCAAAATTTCCTCGGAAAATTTCACTTTTGCTGCTTTGATTCAACTTTGATGTCCAATGAATACTCAATAAAACTCGAAACTCTGATCATGGAGATCTATCATCACATATATAATTATATTGCTTAAATATGTGTATAAATTGTATTTTGGATTTTTCGGATTAAAAAAGGTTAAAAGTGTCATATTGATATAATTCACATTTTTGATTTCGTTACTTAGAAATGAGAATTGGTCAATAATTTATTATCCATTTGTAATTATAAAGTGTTTTAATGTATTGTGAGTTCATTTAATTAGGTTTAACTATAATATAAAAATAAATAATCACAATAATAAGTATTTAATTAAAAATGAGTATATTCAGAGATAATGCAGGTTCTTTTAGTTATTATTTAGGAGGTTTTATTTAGTTAACAACAAATTAAAATAAATATATTAAGGAATGCGTATCAACAATTTTAACATTAATGGAGGTAGATCAACAATATTAATAATGGGAGTGGGTCAATAATTCAAATACTGGAAATGGCTTAACAATGTTTATTATGGATATGGTTCAACAATGTTTATTATGGAGCTGGATCAACAATGCAATTAATGGAGGTAAATTAACAACGTCAATAATAGTAGTGGATAAGCAACTCAAATACTGGAAATGAATCAACAATGTTAGTGATGGAAGTGGATCAACAATGTAATTATTGGAAGTGTATCAATGTTAGTAATGATTGTCAAAATTCGTTTGAAATGTATTAACAAATAAGATGTCAAACCGCAAACCGTTGTCACATTTCAAACAAATTTTGACAATCATTACTAATATTGCTTTTATTACAATTATTTCAATAATATCCAATAATATCTTTCAGGTGAACAAAAATAAAATATCCAATCAACTCATATCATGTCAAACCGCAAACCACTGTCACTTTTCAATCATTTTTGACATTAGCAAATATTAAAAAAATATTTTTATTATTTAATATTTTTTTATGTTGAATAAAAATTATATTAATATAAAAGATATTTTTTTACTCAATATAAGTTGGCGCTATCACTCTCTGAAGCTGAATCTGTGTAATTATATGCATCTGTTGTTTCATCCATGCTGTCTAAGTCAAGGAAATCCCATTTTTCTGCGCCTTTACGAAGTGGCCTCCTGTACAAGAGTTTGTTTGTCAAGCCAGCGCACATGCCAAATGTTTTGTGATAAAAAGTGAGATCATTATCAACATGTAAGGGCCACTTTCCTCCAATTACTCTCCAATATTGTTTGAGTCTGGAGAAGTAATTTTCCACAATTATTCTGCTGCTTGACAATTTTTTATTGAATGTCTTCTGCTCAGCAGTTAATTCGCTATTTTTTCTGCGCTTGTATGGAATTAATGCCCATGGAATAATTTGATGAATTCCTTGATAGCCAGAGTCTGCCAAAAGGACTGGTATTTGATCGATTTCTGCTTTCATCTTATCTGCTTCTGCTTTTAATTTGCTTATCAATGTGTTGGATTTCCTAAACAAATGAAAATCATGTCTCTTTCCTCTGATTGGTTTGGAATAATGTAAAAGAAATCCTTTTGGGCTTACAAAGCACTGAGTTTTGATGCAGCATATTTTATGTTTGCCTGAATAATATTTTTCTTGATTGGCACTTCTGGGTATCTCTTGAACTGTGGCATCAAGTGCTCCCAACATATAAGGATATTCTTTTGATTTTTCGCGATCATCCCATTTAATAAATGATCGCCATTTCACATATTCTCGGCCGATTTTAGAACCAATTGCATCGATCACATCAATGATAATTTGCCTTGTGTGTGTCTTTTTGATACCGAATTTATCGGCCAATTCTTCGAATCCAGGAGCGTGTTTAAGCCATGTTAATGTAATTAATAAACGTGCTTCCATTGAAACCCTAGTATTCTTATAATGATGTAATTCAATTGAAGGGATGAAAAGTCTTATAAGATCTCGAAAATCTTTGCACGTAAGATTTGTTAATTTAATTAATGTATTATTATCGTCATTGTGTAAAATTTCTTCTATTCTTATTTTAAGTGGTTCTTTTTGTTTTTTTGGAGGATCTGGAATTATTGGAGCGTCAGCAAAAGTGGCGATGTAATCGATTTCCCTTTGAGCAAAAAATGCTATTGGATCATCTGTATCTTGAAGTGGTTCAGGATTTGGTACGGGCGTGGTATTTTGATGTGGTGGATCAATTTGTACGGGCGTGGTATTTTGATGTGGTGAAATACTCTGTGCAGGCGCAGTATTCTGATGTGATGAATGACTTTGTACAGGCGTAGTACTTGGAGCTTGGGTCCTCTGTGATGCTGATTGAGCAGCTCTTTGGCTTGAGGACGAATGACCTTTTTTCTTATTCATAAATGAAGTCAAATGCTCTTTCTTGAAAATTTGAATTATTTTACAATTTTTCTAAAGATATATAAAATTTCAATAGGCATACAATATTTCAATAGACATATATGATTTCAATAGACCTATAAGAATTCAATTAACATATATTATTTCAGTAAGGTGGAGATTTGTTCAACTCATGTTCAATATTATAAAATATATATCATTGTGAATATAACACCTATAAAATATAAAATTATCAGATGATTTTAAATTAAATTGTAAGCAAATAGTTCGATATTCTAGAATGAAATGGCTGCCGATGACTTCTTGATAATGATTTCGCCTGTGATAAATCGATAAAACGCCATCGAAGCCATCGATATGCACTAGTTCTGGATGTAAAGTGGAAAATTATAGTATAACTTATATTGCTGATGACTCGTAAATGGACAAAATATATTTTATTCGAATGGATGTTAGTTTTTATGATATTTCTATTATACTATATATGTCAAATCATTGTATAATATATATATAAGATAAATAGCCCGAATTTTTTTTTATAAAAAAGTGTTTTTTCAAATTTAATAATAAATATTTTATTCTGCTTATAAATCATATTGTCTTGTAATATTTGATAAAATTATCACTGAATTCTTAATTAGTTTTTTTAAAATATCAATTTTGATTTATTGGACTTGAAAATATTTTATTTATATTATAAATCATATTATCATTTAGTGTTTATCAAAATTATGGTTCTTCGTTTTGTAGCTATATTTTGAATGACAATAGAAAAAAAAATACTAGAAACTAAATATGTATTTAATTTTATAAGTAAAAATTCACATAATGATAATATATTTGTGAAGTTTATTTGAAGAAACGATTTTTATTAATTCAATTTTCATTATAGCATTATTTAGGTGAAGTGCTCTCAAATTGTGAGCCAGACAAATGTTTAATGGCTGCAATAAAGGAACATAGCTCAGGTGCGTTTGCATTGAATATTTATCGTTTTGATTTCACAAAACATCGTTGCGTTTAATCAAAAATTTGATTAACTTAATAAATTTAAAGATTAAGCGATCTCATTTTAACACAATCGGTAAATTCAATACGTCTATGAAACAAAGCCATAATTTCTCGTAGTATAAAATATTTGATAAAATTTTATCGCTTACAGAGGTGGAATTAAAGGGTGAGAGATATATAGATAGACTATATATCTCTCACCCTTTAATTCCCTATACAAAGTTCGAAAACTTGGGTGCAATCAGATCTGATTGCACCCAAGTTTTCGAACTTCATGTAAAGAATTGCTTGCTATGATGTACTGATCATGAATCAGTACATCATAGCAAGCAATTCTTCATCTTAAATATATTTTTCTTAATCAATACATAACTTGTTCGCAATTTGGTTTTAGACGCTATATTTTAATCTAATTTCGATTTTTTATAAAATCGCGTACTTCTAATAAAACGCGATTTCAAAAACAATCGCGATTTTTTTCTGTTCGCAATTTTTCAGAAGTTCGCGATTTTATAAAAAATCGAAATTTTTCTTTGCGATCGAGATTTAAAAATTCGGTTGCGATTTTGCCTAATAGATGGAATGATAAATGTTTCAAGATTAATACAGTTCTTGAAACAGTTGATAGGGATATTGTCAATGGGTGAAATATTGTTTTCGAATGTAAAATTATAAAGACCACTGTTCATGAAACAACTGATACCATAAATAATAACATTGTTGCTAAGATAAAACTCGCGCAGTGACTTGCAGTTCATGAAACAATAGTCACCATATGAAACTGAAATACTATTAGAAATATTGAATTCAACGAGTTCGATACAATCTTCGAATGCATTGTTACCAATATTTAATTGAGGTGTTGAAAGGAATGATCTCATAGACTGAGATGATGATGATGATAAAATCGAAACTGATTCAATTTTTGTATTCTTGAATGCATCGTATCCAATACTAGTCAATGCACTAGAAAACGAAATTGATCCAGACAATGATGTATTGAAAAAGCAATCAAATCCAATTTCTATAACATTAGAAAACAAATTGAATTCCTCGAGTTTTGTGCATCCATAAAAAGCCTCTTCATAAATATACTTGATGTTACAGTTGGTTTGACAACGAATTGCAACAATGTTCTTTTTCAAATAAAAAGCGCGACGTTTAATTTTTTCAATTGTTCCTGGAATATTAATAATTTTTTCATCTGATCCTAGATACTGTGAAATATATGTTTCAGCATTATCCATCAATAACATTTGTTCATTTAATTTGATCTGTGAATTCTCACCAAAATGATATCTCATATCAGGTGGACATCTAGAGAAGACGCCTCCACCTATTGTTTCAAGCTTTTCATTAAGATATACATCCATTAATGAGGTGCAACCACTGAATGCATTATCACCAATAGTTGTTACATTCTCGGGGATTCTAATTTCGGTCAATCCAGAATTTGAAAAACAGTTTGCGGCAATTGTCTTTAGTTTTGATGGTAATGTAACTGCTTTCAATCCTCCGCAAGATGTAAAGCAGTAACTTCCCATATATGTTATGGAATCTGGAAGATTTATTTCTGTTAAGTATCCATTATATCCAAAAGCCATTTGGTCAATAAATGTTATAGTTTCGGGTAATACAATCGTCCGAACTCTGCTTGAGATAAAGGCACTGTAGTCGATTCTGGTAACAAAATTTGGAACTTCAAATGTTGATCCTACAAGGCTTGCACAGTATACTAATGTTCTGTTATTGTTAGTATAAACGGTATATCCATCTGATTTAAAATTTTGATTATCCAGATGGACTGTAATCGTTTTTATTCGAGTGCATTTGTAAAAACATACACTTTTGATGGAATTTACTTTTGGTGGTATTTCAAGTGATGAAATAATACAAGATGAAAATATTCTAGTACTGATCGCTGTGAGTTTTGAATTCTCTCCAAAAGTGATTTCTGATACTTTGCTGCATCCGGCAAAACAGTCAGATCCAATAGTACTAACAGAACTTGGAATAAACAATGATACAAGAGAAGTAAGTCCGTTGAATGAAAATGAATCAATTTCATCTAAATTATTTGGAAATATAAGAGATGTAACAGATTCGCAGCTATAAAATGCATAACTACCAATATATGTAAGAAGTATGCATGGGCTGAGGTCAATAGTTTGTAAATTAATGCATTTATAAAAGGCGTAATTTTGAATTCTTTTGAGTTGAGGATTTGGTTGAAATGAAAAGCTTTGTAATGTTGATGCAACTTGGATACATGCATATAATTCTTTACTTGCCCCAAATATTGTTTCGCATTTTGAGGTGATAAGTAAATTAGGTGCGTTAAGTACAGTTTTGAGTGTTTTACCATCATCTGTGTATGAATCTTGACTTTGGCTTGCCATTTATTCCAATGCTACTAAATTATCATAAAAATTTGAATATAAAAAATTGAAATGTATTCAAATGTTTAAATCTGAAAAATCCAACATTAAAATTGTAAATTAAACACATGGCAATATGAGTATTTTGTTCAGGTAGTAAATTGTGTAAAGATTTGAATTTGTTGTTAAAAAAAATAGTCAAAAGCAGACAGACATATCACATTGGCATTTTTATTCGACTTATTAAGATTTTCTTCAAAAACTACAAAATCAAATGCTCTATCGAATGAATATTCGGTTTAAATTGACTATTATGACCCATAACCTCTCACTATAGACTTACTATTAATTAGCTTGGTCATTACCACCAAAAATAAGGTTTTTTTATGATATTCATGTGTGAATTCGCATCAAAAAATCTTGACATTTTCAAATTTTCTTAAGAGAATACGCCATTGCATGACGATGAATACTTGTTAAAAATCATTCAAATTAAAATTGATAGAGCATATGAATTCATATCCGATTATTTCGCTCTCAAAAAAATTAACTTCATTTTTGCAAAAAGCATGGAGATTCCACAACTCGGTTTTGGAACATTCTTAGCCAAAGATCCTGCTAAGCTAAAGGCTGCCCTTCATTACGTAATTGAAGAATGCGGCATTAGAAGTTTAGATTGTGCATGGGCATATTATAATCAAGATGTTGTTGGAGAGACATTGAAAGAGATCTTTGCTGCTGGAAAGATCAAGCGTGAAGATCTTTTCATCACATCCAAACTTTGGTGCACTCATCATAGACCAGATCTTGTTGAATTTGACCTTAAACAGATTTTGGAGCAACTTCAACTTGATTATATTGATCTATGGTTAATGCATTTTCCTATTGCTCTTGAATCCAGAACAGATAATGAGTTCATTCCAAAAGATGCCAATGGAAAAGTCATTCATGAGCAGATAGATATGCTTGACACATATAAGGCAATGGAAGAATGCATGAAGAAAGGCATGACACGTCATATTGGTGTCTCCAACTTCTCAATTGAACAACTTGAGCGTGTTTGGTTCAATTGTGAGATCAAACCATACGCAAACCAGGTTGAATGTCATGTTTACAAACAACATCATCCATTAATCCAATATTGTGAAAGTCATAACATCTTCTTGATGGCACATACAACAATTGGACATCCACCACTTAAGGGATATCGTGGATGCATGTTGATTGAAGATCCAGATGTTGTCAGTGTTGCAAAGGAAGTTGGTAAAACACCAGCACAAGTTTGTATCAAATATCTCATCCAAATGAGTCCAAAAGTTGTTGCAATTCCTATGTCCATGAATCCAACCAACATCAAACTCAACTACGACATGAATTTCACACTGAATGAGTCACAAATGAACAAACTCAAGTCCCTTGATAAGTTCTATACATTCAAGTACCACCCATATATCTTCGGTGTTGATGTCCTTGGTTTAGGATTTAATGTTTGGGGATAAAACATTAAATTTCATCACAAATAAAAATAATTTTAATCTATTATAAAAAAAAATATAGATATAAATGGTTAAAAGTTTTGTAACATAAAGTAGTTAATCAATATTAATAGAGAGTTTCTATAAGGTGATTGAATTGAAATCTGACAATAATATCAACTATTTTGGATTATTTGATGTGTTTCCCTCAATCTATCAATCCATTAGCATTAAAAATCAATTGATATCCATTCAATTGTCTTCATATCAAATCATCTTATTGAGGAAATTTTTATGAGGGGGCACAAACTTGCCCAGTGAGGTGAAGTGAAAAGTGACAGGTTTACATGTCAGAAATGTAAAGTGTCAGATTTGAAACAAAGAATGGATTAATTTATTATTATATGATAGAGAGATTTGGTAAGTTACTATCAAATTTGTAAGTAAGGGAAAAAAAAGTAAGAAAGAAAAAAATTTTTAAAAAATAAAAAGCCACTCGCTTCGCTCGCGCTTGACAAAAAGAACAAATTCGAAAAATAATTGTATGAAATTACGAAACTAAGCCACTCGCTTCGCTCGCGGCTTAAGAAAAGAACAGATTCGAAAAAAGATTGTATGAAATTACGAAACTAAGCCACTCGCTTCGCTCGCGGCTTAAGAAAAGAACAGATTTGAAAAAAGATTGTATGAAATTACGAAACTAAGCCACTCGCTTCGCTCGCGGCTTAAGTAAACATCATATTTCAGATTATCGATACTAAATTTTTTTTATTTTATTACATTTTTTTTAAAGCTTCTTAACTTAAATCATGGAATGTCTCAAAGACAAAAGTAGCATACAGCATGTAAAGCTAAAGAAAGATAATCATAATTAATACCTTAATTTTTAATATTACGCATTTTTAGGTGCAAAATTTAAAAACATTCTAATACAATAGAGCAGTTTCCAAAAGTAGCATACAGCATGCAAAGCTAAAGAAAGATAATCATAATTAATACCTTTAAAGTTTAAAATCTTGATTTTTTTTAAAATCAAATATTTATAACTTTGATACATACAGCTTAAACCTTATACTTGTTTTCTCTTGTGAGAAAGCAATCTTACAAAGCTAACAATCCTAAAAAATAAAGAATTAAAATTTAATAATTTAATCTAAAATTAAAATCAAAATTAAATAAAATGAGTTCTTTGTAATAATACTTTCAAGGTAGGATATATTTTAGTGGGATCTATTGAGTCATCACTAACAGCATTGAGCAATCTATTGAGCATTGAAATACTCTCGATTTTTCTTTGTCTTTTTACATCAATTTCTGCGTTAGTTGCTTTTTCCATGATCCTAATGACACGGTCATCTGCTGGATTTTGATCAATTTTGAGTTTGATAACGAAAGATGGTATCACTTTTGTATAAATTTCTATAATAACATCATCAATTCTGAGATTTTTTCGATCAGGAAAATAGTCATGTTTGAGTGTTCTAAAATGAGCTTCGGCAATATTGTTAGTTGCGTCGCCTTCACGCCTGTCACGAGCAATCCATCTTGATATGTTGTAACGCCATTGTCTGTTAAAGTATTGAGATGCTGTTGGATCTGTGTCGAGCAACTCCAGAACTTGATCATAGGCAGCATTTGCTTCTTCCTCATGTTCTGCATCTAATTTGAAGACTAATCCTTCATCAAATTATAGAATTGTTCAAATTTTTCTTGAGAAGAAAACTTATTTGATTTGCGAAGAATTGCACGAAGAACATGTACTCCGCACCAAAGTATTTGAGCTTGTGGAATGCTTTCTTCTATTGCTTGAGCTATCTGTGGAGCACAGTCCATGCTAATGTATTCTGGCTCAATTGTTACCCATCTGAGATAGGCGCACACGCAAACTTGAATGTTTTGATAAGTGTCTGGTTGACAAAAGAAATATAAAAAAGGGAAAATGTGAAAATCTTTGATTTTGCCAGTAAATGCATACAATGGAATGTTTGATCGCAACAATTTATAGGTGCTGTCTATATGAAATGTCTTGATACTATGCGCATAAGCTTTGCCTTCAAAAGGCGCGTAATAGAAACACATATTATTGTCTGAGACTTCAAATGCAATGAGATCATCTGGAGATTCTTCTTGTACTGTCTGAACAAAGATTTGCAATGACACAACATCGTCAGGAGAATATCTAGTTTGAAGAGCATGTATTCTCTCTGCAAATCGTTTGATTGCACGTGGTTTTTGAGCGTACATCTCTGGAATGGACGGACCTGTAAGAGGAATTTCAAGATCTTTGAATGCATTTAGCTGTGCTATCGCTCTTTGATTGTCATCTGTTTGGAAGTAATGTTCTAAATATTTGCGATAAAAGACAGACGAATATTGACTTTTGTCATTTGGGGCGGAATGATCATGTTCTTCAACTATTTTGATGAGTTTGTATTTATTTTGATCCAAGATTGCAACATTAAAATGTGCAGGACATTTTGGATATTTGCAGTGGAATGAAATCTGAGATCTTTCTTTCCTGACACGTTCACCATATCCATACTGTGCTTGTATTTCTTGTTTAACTCCAAATTTACAAAGATCCATAACAGTAAAGATAGTTTCTTCTTCTAATTCCATTTGAAATTGAAATGAAAATTAAAAATTCAGAAATTTGAATAGATTTGGTCTGTAATTAAATGAGAATAGCAGTTTGTTCGTCATTGTTTGAGGCAAGAGTATTATAGGAATATTATATGATGGATTTGAGTTGCATATAAAGAGTGCAAAAGGATAAAGAGAGAAATTTTGTTAGATTAAATTATTAAATTTTAATTCTTTATTTTTTAGGATTGTTAGCTTTGTAAGATTGCTTTCTCACAAGAGAAAACAAGTATAAGGTTTAAGCTGTATGTATCAAAGTTATAAATATTTGATTTTAAAAAAAATCAAGATTTTAAACTTTAAAGGTATTAATTATGATTATCTTTCTTTAGCTTTGCATGCTGTATGCTACTTTTGGAAACTGCTCTATTGTATTAGAATGTTTTTAAATTTTGCACCTAAAAATGCGTAATATTAAAAATTAAGGTATTAATTATGATTATCTTTCTTTAGCTTTGCATGCTGTATGCTACTTTTGGAAACTGCTCTATTGTATTAGAATGTTTTTAAATTTTGCACCTAAAAATGCGTAATATTAAAAATTAAGGTATTAATTATGATTATCTTTCTTTAGCTTTGCATGCTGTATGCTACTTTTGGAAACTGCTCTATTGTATTAGAATGTTTTTAAATTTTGCACCTAAAAATGCGTAATATTAAAAATTAAGGTATTAATTATGATTATCTTTCTTTAGCTTTGCATGCTGTATGCTACTTTTGGAAACTGCTCTATTGTATTAGAATGTTTTTAAATTTTGCACCTAAAAATGCGTAATATTAAAAATTAAGGTATTAATTATGATTATCTTTCTTTAGCTTTACATGCTGTATGCTACTTTTGTCTTTGAGACATTCCATGATTTAAGTTAAGAAGCTTTAAAAAAAATGCAAAAAAAATTGAATACTTTACTGGCTGGGCAAATTTGTCGCCGCCCCAATTTTTATTTATAGAAAAGGAGTATGATATTTATACTCTAAGTAACTGTTATTAATGTTGAATCATTATTCATTATTCAATTTAAATTTTTGTTGATTTCGAATTTTGGAGCAGCCAAAAAACTTCACATGACGAAATTCCGGACAAATTATTGTCAAATGATTGCTTTGGTACTTATCTTTCTTAGAATTATAACTCAATACAGGCAAAACATCAATTTTTTTATATATTTAGATTCAGATTCAAAACTTCATACAGTTGTAACCGAGAAAATACAATTAAATCATCTATTACCTGATGATATACAACTCATTTCGACTACAAAAAATTTTCATCCAATAATTAATCGAAATTTACTAGAAGTACAACCGATTCATAAGATGTTCGATTATCCAGATTGTTTTAAACCATCCAAATATTACATTTACACATTCAGAAACATGTATACAAATGGTTTTGGCGCAATGCACAATGGAAGTCATTGGATAGCAACGCCGAAAACTGTTGAAGGTCGAATGGACTACTGGTTTGAATATGCTAAGTATGATGATGGCCCTGTAGTTGCTTATTTAAACTACGCTTTAGATGTTGGATTTTGTTTTTTAAATTTCTACGGAGATTTTGTTCATCATGCATTTTCATACATATATTTGATACCAGAAACCATCCGAAAAGAAGTTACTATAGTTTGCGCGCAATCTCCGTCAAAATCAACTTTGAATTTTATATGTAACATTTTTGAGATGCCAAATCCGATTTTTACCAACAAAAATATAGTTTATGTCCATAATTTACTATATATGGTTGGACCACATTCATGGCAGACGCATTATGGAGAGATTATGCAAAAATTAACAGAATTTCTTCGTGAAAAGATGAAATTGGATCGGATTCCTATTACTAGATATGCTTTCATCAATAGAGAATTGGGTAAATCCAGAAGAATTAAGAATTTAGAAGAAATTTGTAATGAAGCCAAAAAAATCTGTCCTTCTTTTGAATATATAGATCTAAATATATATAAATCTAAAATAAATGTTGAAACAACTGCTAAACTGTGGGCTTCGCTTAAATTTGTCGTTCATCACGGCGGTTCCGGATTTTCGAATTGTATTTTTGTCAAAAAAGGTGTTCTTAAAGCTGTTATCATTCATTGTGTCTGGTATGATTATCCGGCCATTAATTTCTTGATTACTTGTGAAGCAAAAGTAATTAGTCTTCAATTTGACCATATTGAGCAATGGTCAACTGATCCTGCTGTAATAGATCCGAGTAGAGTCTTGGGTGCTGTTAAATCTCTGTATAACAGCAAGAATCGAATTCGATATAATATTTGATTGATTTTGTTTGTTTTTGTTTAATAAATCGTTTGTTTTTTATGTTAAATAATGTATTGAACTATCAATGTCCTGGATTCAGCTTGATGCCCTCGAATTTCAATTTGTAATAAGCTGCTTGATGTGATTACTAATTAATGTTATCAATAATTTGTTTGTCATGTCTGCAATACGACCTAATGGTTTGTCATTACATGAGTTTACCATTTATTTTTCCTTTATATGATTCATTCTTAACCAAATTAACTTAGTGATTTAATTTACACCTTGATGTGATTTATAAGCTGTTTGTTATTTGTGTTATCTAACATAATAATATGTTGGTGCCTAAAAAGCTTGAAATTGCGGTATTTTCTACTTTTTTGACTTGTCAGAATGATATAGCAAATCACTAGGTTATATAGCAGAAATAACAATATAATTATGAATCCATATAATTTATACCTATAAATGATCCATTCTTTCCAAAATTTAAAAGTAGTAGTATATAGCGGGTTGTGTGACTTTTTTTGTAACCGATGAATTCATTCAATATTGAACGATTTTGTATCATTTTTTGTAACCGATGAATTCATTCAATATTGAACGATTTTGTATCATTTTTTGTAACCGATGAATTCATTCAATATTGAACGATTTTGTATCATTTTTTGTAACCGATGAATTCATTCAATATTGAACGATTTTGTATCATTTTTTGTAACCGATGAATTCATTCAATATTGAACGATTTTGTATCATTTTAAAAAGAAGCTATATATAGATGATGTCAGATATTCCGCGATTAATTAAACATTGATTAAATCATGAATGGAATCAATGGAGTCATAATCAAAGACCTCATAAACGAGAAAAAGAAATTAAAAACTATATATTTTTTAATTCGTAAGAAATGAGTGTCACAACTAACAATGTTAAAAATTTAGGATTCACAAATGAGGAAATAAAGGATATATTAGAGGTTTGTAAAAAATTCGCGGAGTTTTTAAATGAATTTGATTATGATGGAAAAATGAATAAAGATGATGTTATAAATTTCTTATATCCCACATCTAAAAAAGAAAAACCTAAAGAACCTGTTGTTTTCCCTGAATATTATGAAGAACGAATTAAAGATGATGAATATGATGAAATTGAAATTGAAAGACTGGAAAAAATAAGAGATGAAATAAATGAAAAAATTAAGGAATTAAGAGAAGTTGAAAATGAAGTAGAGGGTTTAATGAATATCCCAGCTTCAGAATCAAAAGTTCAGAAATCTCATGAAGAAAGATATAAAAATTATGTCTCAGAATCAACACAAAATTTATTAGATGGTGAAATAGACGAAACACTTTCAGAAGAAGGAACTAAATTTATTCGTAAACATAAGTTACAATTTATTGATAATGAAGAATACCCTTGTATATTACTTTCACCACCTTTAGATTCCGAAAAATTCAAAAAAGCTCTTGTAAATGTGACATATGCAACTAATACGATTAAGAAAGAAGATCATGATATTTACACAAATTATTATTTAAATAAATGCACAGGTGTTGATAAAGTTTTTGATTTATTAGATAAAATATCAAAAGAAACCATTGGAACCTATAAAATTTTGTGTGATTGTGGTTTCATTATTGAAGATACCAATAATGTTTCATATGAAAGAACAGCACCGAAGGAAGACGAAGTTGAAAGGTCTATACCATTCGTTATTAAGAATATAAAAGATATGAAAACGTATAAGCATTATATTTATTCATTTATTTCAGAAAAAATGGAAGCAACCCATAAAACATCTTCTCATCATTTTATAGCTATTCATACATTCCTTTTCAAAGTTGTGAAATTAAATAAGACAGGAATTAGATTTAATGTATCAGGGTACGCATTCTTGAGTAAATTAAAATGTATTCGTCACGTCGCAGATGATAAAAATTTATGTATTCTTAATTCATTTTATGGGCTTTAAAAATAAACTTTATTTTTTTTAATTTTTTATTCTTACATAAATGAACAAAAACGGAACAGCTAAAATGAATGATAATCAAATTAGAGCAGAAGGTAGAAGGTTATTTAAACGCTTCTATAACATTCCTGATGGTGTTAATCCTAAAACTCGTAGAAGCTATTTAAATGAAGCAATAGATGCATATGAGGGGTTTGACATTTCATCAGAAAGTGAGAGATTAGCGAGAATGTTAAATGTTAATATTGATTTCTATTATTGTGATCCTCAACCAGAAGATGTGGACATAAATAAGGTAGACTTTCCATTAGTGGAATCAATAATGATAGATCCAGAATTTGAAACAGTAAATATTTTATTAACACAGAGTCCATGTGGAAAACTTCACGCTGACAGAATAACAGACGTAGAAGCACTCACCGGCTATAAAGTTTGTCCATATTGTAAAGAAGAAGTTTATTCTATTCGCGATGATCCAAAAAGGAAAAACCAAAGAAGATTTTTAAAGCATTGTGAGAAATGTAAAGAAAATAATGGAAGATTAATTCAAGACGTTCAGTTGCAAAAGACACAGCAACCATATGCACCACATATTACGAAACAGAAGATATATCAGTGGTTATTGGCTCACAATTTGCAAAAATATTATAAACCGACGAGAAATTATATTACTTTTGACTTTGAAACATTAGAGACTAAAGAAGAATTACAACCTTCTGAGTGTGCAACTTTGAACGCTTACTTAAAACCATTCATGGTATCATCAACGGTTAAATTAAACGATAAAACATATACGAGGAATTTTTGCTTAACTTTGAGTGATTCTTTTATTTCTGATTGGATTGAGTTTTTATTTTCAACCTGTTCATTAGTTGTTGAATCAAATATTGAACAATATGATGAATTATTGAAGTCCCATACATTAAATGAAAAACAGAAGGAAGCATTTAAAGAACTTCTAGATGAGGAATTCAATAAAGTGAATATCATAGGTTTTAATTCGGGAAAGTTTGATTTAAATTTAATTCTTCGTGATTTAAACACTGCAAAATGGAAAATAAAATCAATGCTGGGTTCATCTTCACAATTTAAGCAAATCATTGTAAAGAAAACAAACGTTCCATATGAATTGAGATTTATTGACATCAGAAATTATATAGCGGGTGGGACATTAGACCAATTCACTCAAGATTTCGGAAACAATAAATCACGTGTTAAATCCTTTTTCCCTTATCAATTCATCACATGGGAGAATTATGAAGAAGAATTATATAAAGTGGAACCATTCACGAAAGATTCATTTTATTCAGCATTAACTCAAGAAACTATATCAGATAGTGATTATCAAATATATCTCAATGATGCTAAAAACTTTAAGAATAGATTAGAATATTTTATTCATTATTGCAATAAAGATGTTGAAATTATGATTGACCCAATTGATAAAATTATTGAAGAAACATTTGTTTATAAAATTGACATGCTTCATAATCTTTCTTTATCATCGAATGCTTCAATGATTCGTTACGCTTTAGCATATAAAGACTTTAATCCTAATGAAAAATATCCTGAGGAAGAGATAGAATCAAGTTTTGAATTAACGAAAAAGTATTGGAAATATAAAATTGAATCATATAAGAAACAAGATGAAAAAGCAGAAAGAGATACTAAAAATAATGTTTCAATGGATGATTTTCAATACTATCACGATTTAATCCTTTCATCTAAATGCAAAATGTGTGGTAAAGCGTTTACATATGCAAATAAACCAACATTGGATAGAATCGATAATGAAAAACCACATACCAAAGAAAATTGTCAGTTAATGTGTTGTTATTGCAATGTCGTAAAATCAAATAAAGATGAAGATGTTCAACGTTTAAGAATCAATTTAAGAAATTATGCATTAAAAAATAATTTACCAATGACTTTAGATTCAGTTGAAGCTTATCACATTCTCCGTAATGGAATTACTGGTGGTCTATCAAATGTTCAACATAGAGTAAATCTTAAAGGAATCACACGCATTAATAAACTTTCATATAATTCAGAAACTAAAACTGTATCAAATGAGGACACCACCAACATTATGACTCATTTCGTTGGTGTTGATTTTAATTCATTATATCCTTCATCATTTTCATCTAATCCTCATGATTTCATTCAATATACTGACCATAAAATGTATATGCCGGGAAGATTGAATGGTGTTATCATTTGTGATACAGCAACAAAGAAAGCAAAAGCACTGGGAATAATTAAGAAGAAAAATACTTTATTCGTGGCTGAAGTAAAGGGTCACATTGATGAAAAATACATTAATGATTACATAAACTTTTTACCGATAATAAGAAACTTAGATATTATCACAGATGAAAAAACAATTGGCAGTTTTATGTATAATTACATGAAATCAAACAATCTACCAGTTGACCAGAAACAGAGGAAATTAACTCAGTTAGCATCAACACACAACCAATATCAACCATTTTCTTCTTATTATCTTTGGTATCTAATAGACAGGTTTAATTTTATCATTGATGACATTCAATCAATTTTAACATTTACTAAAAACACTTGTTTTAATGAATTTGCGAACAAATTTATGAACGAAAGACAAAAGGCTGAATTAGAAGGAAATAAAGGAAAAAGTTTATTTTGCAAGATTTCGCTTAATGGATCATATGGTTACGATGCAATGAATACACAAAATTACGCAAAGACTAAAATAATGAATGCACAGAAGGCACGCGTTGCATGTATGTCAAATAAGTTTAAAAACATAAGAGAAATAGGAGAGGATACGTATCAAGTGATGCTCAAAGATAGATTTTATAGATGTGATACATGTTTACAAGAGGCATTTTTTACTTTAGATAACGCAAAATACTGGTATTTAGTTTTCATTTATGATTTTATGTATAAATGCATGGATGTTAATCGTTTTCATTTCATTGAAGGTGATACTGATTCATCTTATTGGGCAATCGCTGGCGATCCAAGTCTTCCTAACACTCAAGCATTTCAGGCGATTGTAACCGATAAACAATTTTATGATAAAAACATTTTCAAATTCGCACCATTTGATTTCTTCTGTTTTGATGAGAAATTTAAACCTAAATTAAAGAATAAAGCCGAAGAAAAAGCACATGAGAAGAAGTTATTGGGTTTAGCAATTGAGAAACAAGGCGATAACATGGTTGCTTTATGTCCTAAGTGTTATACATCATTCAACGGTTCAATTGATGGAAGTGATTTTAAAAAGATTGCACAAAAAATGAAAGGAGTTAGTTTACGACAAAATAAACAATTAACACCTAAAAATTATTTAGATATAATAAATGATAAAGTGATATTTGATGGTCAGAATATTAATTTACAACTTAAAAACAGGTCAATGACTCGCTTAACAATCGGTAAGACTGCATTAACAGGAGCACACACTAAGGCTGTATGTTGTGAAAATGGATGTTGTATGCCATTTATTTAATACAATTTGAAATTTTATTTTTAATGAAATACCACAGAAGTAATGAAAGGAACCGTTAATGATGGTTATGAAGTTGATCAAAGAGGTGGGCACCCTTAAAACACTTATTTTATTTTTATATAAATGAATAACACAGATTTAAAAATTTTAATTGATGATTTAGTATTTAATCAAAAATTTCTTGATTATTATGATTTAAAAGCATATCTCCAAAAATATGATAACACTATAACGGGTGATGATATGGAATATTATTATCCATATTATAAAAATGAAATTTTGAAATATCATGATAAAATAATTTCTAAAATTAAAGACAAAATTAAAAATAATGAATATATAAAGGGAAAAACTAAATCACAACTTAAACAATTAAAAGATTTCAAAAATAAAGTATTAACAGAAGAAGATATTGATGAATTATATAAATTATATAATCCTGGGCCGCAAAACACCCAGGTCCTTCAGACCATAAATGAAGCACAAGCTTTAATTTATGATTCATTAGTTAAACCATATTCAGCCCGACTTTTAAATGAAGATCAACTTTTGGAATTCATCCTTCAACATAAACTCGAAGCAGGAAAGTATATCAAACCTTTATATACAGTATATTTAAAACAAATGAATAGAATACATCCAGAATTAATGAAAGGAGGAATGAAATCCAAAATCAAAGCAGATAAAATTAAACCACTTGCGACACCAAAACCTCCAACAGTAGTACCTCCTCCTCCTTCAGTTAATCCTTCATCATTCACTTTATTATATCCATTTCAAACATTTAAGAAGCAAAAAGATTTTAAAAAGGATTTCAAGATATTAAATAAACCAATTGACCCAAAAATTCAACCATTAAAGGAAAAATTTAGTCGCCCCTCATTTGCACCATATCCATATTCATACGAAATCGATCATTTAGAATATTCAAAAGGAAACGTTACTTATTTATTTGCCATTAACGTAAACACTAGATATTTATATTGCATTCCGGTGAAAGGGAAAACAGAACAGGAAACAAGAAGAGCTATTCAATACTTACTAGATCATGAAAGAGTAGATAATATCAGGGGTGATGGTGATAAAGGATTTCAGGCAGCTATGGCTCATTATTTTCCACAAATTAATTTTTACTTTTCATCCTCTCCATATACGTTTCATAATAAAATAGTTGATGCGGTAATGAGAACTCTTAGAGATGCGTTAGGGGTTAATGGTCAGATATACTGGGATGGAAATCATGACTCCATCATACAGCAGTTAGTATATTATTACAATAATACATGGCATAGAACCATAAACATGAAACCAGTGGAAATGAAAAATGATATTTCAAAAGAATGGGGATATATTAGAAAGCAAATGGAAAAGTTGAATGATGTTAAACGTGAACAAATTAATTCAGGGCTCATGAATTTTAAACAAGGGGATAAAGTTTTGATTCATCTCGATTATGGAAAAACTGATAAATCAATGACAAAAAGAAGACGAAGATTTGGCACAATAGCTGAATTTGTTAGATATATTAACGGCAATGCAATAGTTGAAGTTGACAATAAATTAATAGAAATTCCGATTTATTTTATTACTCCATTATATTTAAATAATATTTAATTTTTTTTATTTTTGAAGAACCGATGAGGTCACCAGGTCACCAGGTCACCAGGTAATTTAACTTTTCTGAAAAAATGAGACAACATGACATTTTGACAACATAGGAGGATTAATGAGGAAGGTATTCAATAATTAATTATTTTTGAAGAACTGATGAGGTCACCAGGTCACCAGGTAATTTAACTTTTCTGAAAAAATGAGACAACATGACATTTTGACAACATAGGAGGATTAATGAGGAAGGTATTCAATAATTAATTATTTTTGAAGAACTGATGAGGTCACCAGGTCACCAGGTAATTTAACTTTTCTGAAAAAATGAGACAACATGACATTTTGACAACATAGGAGGATTAATGAGGAAGGTATTCAATAATTAATTATTTTTGAAGAACTGATGAGGTCACCAGGTCACCAGGTCACCAGGTAATTTAACTTTTCTGAAAAAATGAGACAACATGACATTTTGACAACATAGGAGGATTAATGAGGAAGGTATTCAATAATTAATTATTTTTGAAGAACTGATGAGGTCACCAGGTCACCAGGTAATTTAACTTTTCTGAAAAAATGAGACAACATGACATTTTGACAACATAGGAGGATTAATGAGGAAGGTATTCAATAATTAATTATTTTTTGAAGAAACTGATGAGGTCACCAGGTCACCAGGTAATTTAACTTTTCTGAAAAAATGAGACAACATGACATTTTGACAACATAGGAGGATTAATGAGGAAGGTATTCAATAATTAATTATTTTTGAAGAACTGATGAGGTCACCAGGTCACCAGGTAATTTAACTTTTCTGAAAAAATGAGACAACATGACATTTTGACAACATAGGAGGATTAATGATGCAGTCCAAAAATAAAGTTAGTTTTAAAATTATTTTTATTTTTTTATTCCTATATAAATGACGGCAACAAACAACAACAGCAACTATATCGTTTCTGATGAAAAAGTTATTGATTCATTAGTTGAGGAATTAGTTGTGGCAGAAACTAAAACCCTCAACGAAAGAATTGGTGAAAACATGATTGATTTACACAACTACCTCAAACATGATGGAGGAAGAGGAAGGAAAACTGGTATGGCTTTATTAGTAAATAAAATATCAAATTTAACGATTATAGATGTTGATATCAATAAATCATACGATGATGAACTTAAAGAAACGGTTAGAAAAGATATTTTATCAAAACTTTCGGATAAAGATGTTATCGTTAAAACCGCTTCGGGAGGACTTCACATTTATTGCAACACTAATTTCTTCTATGCAGTTTCGAACAGAATGATTAAATGTTATTCCTGCAATGATTATGATATTGATATAATGACTTCTATTGATGATTCAAAACGTTCTTTAGTGGTTATGGCTGATTCAAGAGTTCGCAAGAATGCAACAGAACCAATCAATACATACTCATTCATTCGTGGAAGTTATGATTCAACATTAACCAGAACAGTGGATGATATATTAAATGATTTGAATATTAAGGTAAGAGTTGAACAGAAGAATGAAGAAATAAAGACTATCATGAATGAAAACAAAGATGTAAACATTGACGATAAACTTGCCCAGAGCATAGTTGATGGTATCTGTGATTTTGAAGTACATAATGACGGTGGAAACATGAATTTAGAAAAAGAAATAACATTATTCACACTGTTTCAAGCAATTAATTCGTTACCTAATCATTTAATTAATGAAGCATACGATAATGTTTATAACTTCTGCAGTTTAACAGAAAATGCAAAAAGTAATTTTGAAAAAGCACGTAATAGATATGCACATTTAATGACTTCTCCATTTGTTTTGGTGAAGATTCTAAAACTATATCAAAAGGAATATTATGATGAGTATGTTTTACCTTTATTACATAAGCCAAAAATAACATTTGATATCAAACTTAATGACTCGTTTTTGATAACAGATATTAGACGCAAGGCTGAAAATCATCAGTATAAAAACAGTTCTGAAGTAATTGCGGATTTATCACGTGTCATTCGTTTTGTAGATTGTGGAAATAAATATTTCATTCAAAAGGACTACAACATTCACGACAAAATGAATCAAATATCATTCGTTCTTCAATCAAACATGAAAGAGTCACTCAAAATGATTAAATTATTTAAAGAAGAAGGTAAAACAATAACAGCATGGGATGTACTACTAAATCAATTGTCTTCATTAACCGTTAAGGGTGTTTGCTTTAAATCTGATTCTCCAGATGTTTTCTCAACGTTTCAAGGTTATAAATACAACATTCTCGAAAAGCCTGATTACTCAAAAATTGAGATGTTTATGAATTTCATTAAAGAAGTCATTTGTGATAATAACGATGAAGTGTATAAATACCTTCTCGGCTGGATTGCATCAATGATTCAACATCCTGGAATCAAGAATGAAACAGCAATTATTTTGAAAGGACTTCAGGGAACAGGTAAAAACAGATTCACGGACATTATTTCTGAACTTCTCGCTGGTTATTCATGCAAAAACATTACTGAAATAGGTGAGCTAACGGGTAATTTCAATTCAGTAGTTGAGAATAAAATGTTTCTTGTACTTAATGAACTCAAGAATGTTGGTGAAGACAGACTCGCAAACTTCAACGCTTTGAAATCAATTATAACGGATAATGAGATTAGAATTAATGAAAAGAATCAACCCAGAAGAACAACACAGAACGTCGCAAACTTCATTTTCGTAACTAACAATGTTTACCCTGTCAAAATTGAAGTTGGAGACAGAAGATATGTAGTTTTAAGGGTTAATGGTAAATTCAAGGGTCAATTTGATTACTTCAAGAATTTAATGAATTCATGCACAAAGGAATTTTATGATAACTTTTTAACGTATTTTATCAATTACGACCTTTCATCATTTAATGTACGAATCATTCCGATGACTGAAGCCAAACAAGATTTAATTGAATTATCAACAAATCCTTTAGATGTATGGATAAATACACATTATGATGAATTGTGTGTAGGTATGACATGTAAAAATGCTTTATTCTGCAAACCATCAGACATGAAAGACAAGAATTTTCAAATGAGCATTAAAGATAAATGTGATAGGAAACAAAGAAAAATAGATGGTAAACAGACATGGTATTATGTTTTGAAAGAAGAAATGAAAGGATTATATAAACAGGTTGAACTAAACGATAATGAGGATTCATTTACTGACGATGAAATACCTGTAAATGAAGCTTTATAAAGTATGATTTGAATTTATTTATGCATTAATCCTCCTATGTTGTCAAAATGTCATGTTGTCTCATTTTTTCAGAAAAGTTAAATTACCTGGTGACTTGGTGACCTGGTGACCTCACCAGTTCTTCAAAAATAATTAATTATTGAATACCTTCCTCATTAATCCTACCATGTTGTCAAAATGTCATGTTGTCTCATTTTTTCAGAAAAGTTAAATTACCTGGTGACCTGGTGACCTGGTAGTAGTGAAATAAAATTTTGTTATCAGTTATTTTATCATCATTTTATTAAGTTCATCTTTAGTTAATAATTTAAATGGATTCGCTAATGTTCCGCCTTGAGTCACAACACCTGCCCCGGCTAATTGTGAAGAACCCGGGATAAGTACTCCATGAAATGATTTCATTGGTAACATTAATTTAGAAATAGTTGGCTTAATTAATTTTGTCATTTATGAAAAAAATAAAATTGCATAATTTAAATTTTTTCTTTCCCATTTTCTCATCCTGTTTTGGTTTCAGCAACTTTTCAAGTTGTTGTCTTGTCAGTAACTTTAATTTTAACTTTGGATCAAATATTGGGTTTCCATCTTTATCTCTTCCAATAACACCATATGGTAGAATCTTCATTTATACTAAAATAAAAAATTAAATTATGTCGTTTGCTCTTTTGGAGCTCAGAACTTTCAGTCCATTCTAAAGTTTGTTTCACAAACATCGAGCGTTCATTGAACTCTATACCATGCGTAAACTGTCATGTAAGGTGGCATGTATTCTTTACTTTTTCCCGTTGTTTGTGTATATCCTGAAACGAAATGTGTATGGTTTCCTTCTCCCTGAGTGTCGCTCCAGTAACAATTTATAGCAAACTTAACGTTGTCTTTAACATCATATCCTTTACCTTTTGTCATTCCTGACCAATCCCAATATCTATGCTTATGCCAACCTGCTTGAGATGTACTTAAATTTATGTAGTGACTGTGTGCAGGTAAATTTTCACCTGAAATTGTTTTACTTCCACCTGTTTCCTTTGAAGAGTTTGCACAATACAAAAACCTGTCGACTATTTGTTCCCATGCACCAACACCAAACATTACTTGAGGACCTCTTGCATCCATAGATGTATAAATAGAACCTACTGGGTTCATTAAATCAAACATATGAGATATTATAGGATTCTCTCTTTTGAACTTAAAATATAGTGCAACTATTTCAGGTTTCTTCTGGTTTGTGTCAGAATATTTTTTATAATATAATCTTATGTTTTCAGGGTAGGTAAAATCTTGACTATAATATTTATTTCTGTCATCTGTATAATAATATACTATTCTCGTTTTTTCTATTGCATTATATCTTTTATATCTATAATAATCTAAATATAATGTTAGCTTTTGTTCATCTACATGTGGTGTTCTGTCGTCATCTCCATAGTCATAATAATATGGTGCTGGAGCTGGGTCAGGCAATGTCATATCTGCCATTTCATAAACTCTTAAATATTTCTTTTGTTCGTCTCCATATAAGTTTAAGTAGCAGTTGTTGTCTAATGGAACTTTAACTTGTGTACCATCATTCTTTTTATAGCTTACATACATTTCATTGTTATTTTTCGGAATGAGTTTACACCGTGTACCATTTTTTAAGGACTGTACCAACTGCCATCTAAAATATTTATTTTCTTCATTGACAGAAAAGTCACCAACAATAGTTTCAATATTTTTTGTTGTTCCTATCAAACTTTGGTATATTTCGTTAACATATGTTTTATCTGCTTTCTTCTCTAACTCATCGTTAACATATGTTTTATCCGCTTTCTTATCATATAAATCTTGAACAGTGAATTTAACATTATTTTCACTACTCATGACATAAACATTTTTACATTTAATTTTTTTATTCGTTGTTATGTTTTCATTCGATGTTAAACCTTGTGGAAAGTTAGGAGGAATATAATATAATGCATCCCCATCGGTTCCGTCAACCGTTCCTTCAATATTTTCTATAGCAACAGTTGAGAAGAAGTAATGTGTATGTTCCTTATCCGCTTTCTTCATTAACTCATCATTAACATAAGTTTTATCCGCTTTCTTCATTAACTCATCATTAACATAAGTTTTATCCGCTTTCTTCATTAACTCATCATTAACATAAGTTTTATCCGCTTTAAGGTCTAAACATCCCGAAACCCATTCCTTATCTGCTTTAACTTTAAAAGTCTCCAATGTCCATTCATGATACCATTCAACCTTTTCTTTAATTTTATTATCTTTTTCATCCACATAAACCAAATTTGCCTTCTTATTTAACTCACTATCCACATAAGTTTTATCCGCTTTAAGGTCTAAACATCCCGAAACCCATTCCTTATCTGCTTTAACTTTAAAAGTCTCCAATGTCCATTCATGATACCATTCAACCTTTTCTTTAATTTTATTATCTTTTTCATCCACATAAACCAAATTTGCCTTCTTATTTAACTCATTATGTCATTTAGGAAACCTTTTATGAATTCCTCATTTAAATTAAATCTTCCAATCTTCAAAACTTTAGGAAATGCATTTAATGCGTAATATCTTTGTTCTTCTGGTGGAATTGATGTTATATCATCCGTTATACCTTTAATTTTAGAATTCATAAATAAAATTTCTTTTATATTTGATATCACTGCACCACCTTTGCAAACGAATTCGAAATGGTCATTTTTCAATACTATCTCCAAATCTCCATATTTCAACCTTTGCGTTTGTTCTGCCGTCTTTGAATTATATGCATATGTGGCGTATGTAATGGTATGAAGGACCTGGGTGCTTTGCGCCTTAAGTTGTTGTGGTTGCTGTTGTTTAATCATTTATTACAATTTAAAAATAAATATTTAATCCATTATCTCATCAGCTATTTTTTCTATTTGAAATTGCCATAATATTTCATTCATAAATTCTAAATCACAATCAAATAGGTCGGTTATTCTAAATTTAATATTTGATAAATCTTTTGAATGAAGAATAAATGAATTCCCGGATAATTGAAACGGATATGATAAAGAAAATGTGTTTAAGTTGATGGATAAAATGTTTTGTATTGATGGGTAAGAGTTAGGGTCTAATGTTTGATGTGAAAATCTCATTGGGGTATTAACTTTATCACATTTGATTAAAATGAAATTGGAACCAGTGTCAGAATACAAAACATCCCCAACATCTTTTTCAAAATTTAATATCCCCAACAATGAACGAAAATGAGGAGTACAAAATTTAATTTTCAGTGGAAATTTAATAAGGTTATTTATTTCATCAAGTTCAAAAAGTTTATCAGGTTTTGATTTAAAATTTTCTTCATACCATACGATAAATGATTCATTTAAATAACTTAAAATCGTGTTAATATCCCATTTCACTATCACATTATTTATATACATATCATACGTTTTTTCATGGTCATCTTTAATAAATGATATATAATCTGAAGGGTCTAAAAGAATGGGATTAAATTTACCACTCACAGAAACGAGAGTAACATTATAAATTCCACTAACTGTTAAATTTAATTCACAACTATTATTCGAAATAATATTGATAATTGACATTTTTATTATGATTAAAAATATGGTAAAGCGTTATTTTCCAGTGATAAATAAAACTAGAATAAGATTACCTCAAGAATTCATAAATTCAACGAATAAGAAATTCATTCATGTTATAAATTTTAGTGTTTTCAGAAAATATGAGTCGATGTCATATTCATCAACGGGTTATATTTCACTTCATTCAAATTTAGTTCAATCAAACCCATATAATGACCATTTCATAAGATTTTCAGATGGTATTAAAAATGTAATTGATAGATTAAAATATGAACAGATTGACAATATCGAATTTTTGGAATTTTGGTTTAAATATCCCGATGGAAAAAAGATTGAAGTTAAAGATAAAGCTGATACTATAACAAAAACAATTACAATGACTGATCCAGATAGTGGGAAACAAAAAGAAATAAAACAAACGATAGAAACTGGTGAAAGGTCAATTATTATTGATTATGATTCAAAGGATTATTATTCGATAATGTTAATGCTTGAATATTAAATAGCCTTAACAAAGAATTTTTCAAGTGATATTTTATATTCATCAACTATTTTATTATAAATATCATTATATGTTAAATGAAGTTCAGTTGTTGTTCCATTCTTTGATATCTTAATTGTGCTAATATCCTTTATAGGATTTATTTTTGCAACTGTTCCGCAGCATGAAACATCATCATCTATGAAAAATTGAATCTTAACGTCTGAATCTTGAACATCACAAAGAATGGCGATAATGTGAATTAATGATTCATAAGGTAAAATAATTAAACCGGATTGGTCAATTAAATTTATTATTGAATCATAATTATTAATTATTATATCACGGTAAATTTTCATTAATTCAGAATTAATGTCTATTTTATATGGGTTCTCAATGTTTGATGAAAGAGGTGGGGGTATGTTGGATAAGTGGGAATTTCAACGGGTTCTTTACCGGGTTCAGATAAAATGATTGGGTCTCCATTCTCATGGTTTTCTTCATTCTCCTCATTCTTCGGTAAGTCACGAGTTAATAAATTTGGTTGAGTTGCTGACCTTGTTAATTCAGGGCTAACATTAACTTTAACATTTTGAATAATTCGTGATTTATCATCATTTACGTTATAACCAACCGTAATCTCTGCTTTTGCGTTAGTGTTCTTTTGACTAGTGAAACGTCTTCTCATTTATATTCGAATAAAAAAAATATATTTAAACTTTTATTTTGCTGGAACTTTTGAATCTATTATTCCCTGTATTTGTTCATGAAGTTGATTTTTAGCTGTTTCATCGAAATTAATAGACCTAATATATTCATTAATTGCATTCTTATAATCATCTGATTTCTCAAATTTTCTTTTATCTGATTCCTTAACTAAATCATAAGTTAAACCTCGTTGCTGATATAATGGTTTCTTAATTAAATCTTTGAATGCTTGAGATAAAGCACCTGATGCAATTCTTGCTACTATAATTGGTTGGAATTGCTGTTTAAGTTCATCTTTAACATTTGCGAAAACTGGATCGAATAAAGCAACTTTAAAGAATTTCTTAGCTGAAATTTCAGGTCTAATATTTGCATATTGACCATCAAACTGGTTAGAATATCGTGGTAATCCATCCAGTCCCTCTTCAATAGCATTTAATTCTTCATTGAAATAAGAATATGGATTATGACGGTATGAATTAATTGGACCATTTTCACCTTCTCCAATGTATTGTTTAACAGCTTTTCCATTTTCATCAAATTGCATAGGATAACGTTCATTATATGGGTTACGTTTAGGATAATCAGATACAGTTAATTTATAACCATTTATGACTTTAATATTACCTTGACCATCAGTAACGAAAACTTCATTTATACCATCAGGTTTTCCATTTGGACCCGTAATGTCTGCTTCATGTGCTTCCCAATTTGGACCTTGACGTTTGGCATATGCTTGAGCTTCTGGTAATGTTAAAACATTTCTCATTTGTTTAACATCTTTTTGAAGACCAGCAACAATATGAACTAATTCTTTCATTCCATCGGGAACTTTCATAGTTCTATTATATGCACCCCTTTTGTTTGTCCCTTGTTTTAATGGAACCTGTAAAAGATTTGCTATTTCTGCCATGTTTAATTATAAATAAAAAATAAAAATTAATTATAAAAAGTTAATCAAATTTAACATCCCCTTTATTTAAATCAACTATTATTTTTCCATGTTCACCTAATTGTTGATATTGTGTGTAAAGTTCATTAATGCTCATTGGTAAATTCACTTGATAAAGCATAACGTTCAACTGTTGACGACTAAACCCACTGAAAATGAAAAGGGTTGATAGATTTGATTTAATGTTTGTGCTTAATGCTTTGAAGTATTGAACAGCCATGAAGAATGAACACTGAATGTGTCGACATTGAGTTAATAACTGATTAAAATATGATTTCTCATTTGTTATTAGTTTTGATTTCACTGCATCATCTAGAAAAATGAGTGAATGTAAAAATTCTTTATCAAAATTTGAAATGGAAAGTGTTTCAAATAATTCATCCCGTTGTTTATCAATAATTTTATCCTCTAATCCTTGCTTCTTGATTGTACTATATAATTCTTTATACATTAAAAAGTTTTTTAAATAATCTTCTGCTTCTTCTTGTGATAAATAAATAATTGGAATTTTGATTAAATGCTTTAAAGATTCAAATGTATCATCTGAAGGTGAACCTGAACGGTTGATATAAATTAACACATGTGAATGGGGGAAGTGTTAGCAATAATGATAATTTGTTTTAATATCGTTAATGTTTTACCTTTATTTTGTTTACCAATTGCTGCAGTGATTGAATTTAAGTAACATTCAGAATATGGAATTTTCATTAATTTTTCCTTAGATAAAGCATTTCTATTATCACTCAATGCTTCATTAATCATATCATCTACGTATGTATTATATACTCCTGCTAATTCTTCATAAGGGGTGGAGGAATTTAAATCCATTTAATCAAAAATAAATTTATAATTTTAAACATTTCTATTCATCAATATTTCATCATATGAACTTCTATACTGTGGTGGTGTACCTATTGGATGATATTTCAAACCTTCGTCCGGTGTCCATGTCCAATATGTAGTCCTAGTAAACCAAACCTGAGGAGGATTTGTCACTTTTGAACAGTAAGTGTCATTTTCACCCTGAATGATTGGATAAGCTTTCACTTGTACTGTAACTTGTGAGTTAAAAGTTTCTAATCCATCAAAGAATATACCCGCTCCATCACGTTGAACTGGAATAGTGCATAAGAATGAAGTTTGGTCTTTCCATGTTCTAGCTAATGGCGTGCCATCATCACCATTCAGTGGTCTAGTTAATGAGTCCTCGTATTCTTCCGTGCATTCATTCACTCCATCTAAATCAGAAGCTTGCAGCATACGTGTAAAGAATATGTCACCCACTGTTGTCATCGCTTGATCGGGGAAGTTTCTTGAATCTATAGTGACCTGAAGACCTCGAAGCATTGGATTTTCTAAAACTGTTCTTTGCATTGCATTTTTCGGAAATGTTAACACAACATCTGTAACATTATGAAGAGCATATGAGAAATCTGAGCTAATACCCTCGGGAGTGATGCAACCTCCATTTAGTGAACAAACGTCAATATGTTGAGCTGGAATCATGAATGGATCTTCCTTACTGAATAAACGTGGTATTGCTTTAACTGATTCTTCAATTAAACCATATCCTGGTGTAATACATTTATCCTCTAAAACTTCCATCTTTGTGCATGAAATAATAACATCATCAACTGTTGCGTCAGCAGATGTAGCGGCTAAGCTTGTAATTAATTTGGCAGGAAGTCCGATTTGTTGGAATTTGCGATCATATTTATAAACATGATTCATAATCTTTTCATAATTTTCATCAGTTATCTTTTCATAAACGTAATTTTGTAAATCAGCAACTCTTAACGGGTCAACCTGACAAAATACTAAAGTATCCCTGAAAACATAATATTTAAGAATGATATCACCAAATGATTTAGGATAATCATCGAACGCCTGAAATGCTAACAAATCATTTACCGGAATAATCATATCAAAAGTGATATCAACTTCTTCATTTGCTTTCTTGAAAACTTCAGAAGGGTCAATATATTTACCACATACTGAGTTATCATATTTTTGAACATTATTATATAACGAATGAACAAACTTTTTAACTTTCCTTTCTGATTTCGGTTTATATGTTGCAAATGCGAAAGATTCACGGGCGCAATCCATCTGAAGATAACCGGCATCACCTCTTTCAGTTTCTACTTCTAATTGTTTAAAGCTTTGATTTGATGATTTGTAACCAACGAATAAACGCATGCATTTAAAAGTGGCATCACATGTGAAAACTTTATTTGAAACAAGAGTTGCTTTAACTTTGCGTTTAATATATGTGTCACCTAATTGGTTCACATCATGAGCTGGGTTTGTAATTCTTAAATGAGTTTGTTTATCATCAAAATATGGAGCATCAGAGTCATAGCATGAACTTTCAAGTTCTCTATAATATCTTCTTCCGTCATTCTTTGCGAATATTTCATTTATCTTTTCGAATGAATGAAACACATTTCCATTAATCGGTTTAGTGTTTGGCACTAAATAGTTAGTCGTCATTTATTAATAAATTAAAAAATCAAAATTAAAAGATGGAAATGAATTTTTAATTTTAATGAAATAATCAACTATGGCTGCAGGTATATTTAAGAAACTGTGGGATAGAGTAAAAAGAGGAGCGAGTAAAGTTTGGGAAACATTGAAGAAGGGAGCAAATTGGATATTTAAGAATAAAGAAGCAATTAGTGACGTTGCTGAATCAATAACACCAAAAGCTGCCCCAATAAGAGAAATTTTAAATAAAGGAGAGAAAGTTTATCAAAGACTACAACCGATACTAAGATAAAAATAATTTTAAAATAATTTATTTTTCCACTATCTACCTCCTATTTTATTAAGTATTCCTTCAGCAATTCCACCAACTGCGTTACCCGCTTGTGCTCCCATCGCTGGATTACCTGCTTTAGTACCTAATACTCCACCTATGATAGTTCCTGCCGTTTTCGCTACTGGTGCCAAAAAGTTTGCAACAGGTTTAATAATCTTTTTATAAACCCAACCCGCAGCTTTCTTAATTCCATCCCATAATTTTTTAAAGAATCCTGCCGCCATTTCTGATTTAATATTAATTAAAAAATATATTTCATCACTTATATTTTAATTTTTATTTAATGATAAATGAAACCGATTTTAAAAATAAATGAAACAGAGGATGAAGAAATAAATGAAAGTGAAAATGTTCAACAAAAAATAAACGTTGTTAAACCAATTACTGAAATAAAAATTTTTTCATCTGTTGAAGAATTTAATGACTATTATGCTAATAATAAAAAATTATTTGAAGAATTGACAACATGTAAATTGAATAAAATGTTTAAAGTTGATGGATTCAAAATTTCAAAAATAAAAGGGGTGGTTAGTTTGAAATCTATTCCTCAATCAAGAATCACCTCATTAATGAAAATAGATGATTTAACAAAAAGAATAGAAGAGATTGAAGAAAGAATGAATCAAATAATTGATTTCATAAATTCAAATAATCATTAGTTTTTAATTTCTTTTTCTCGTTTATGAGGTCTTTGATTATGACTCCATTGATTCCATTCATGATTTAATCAATGTTTAATTAATCGCGGAATATCTGACATCATCTATATATAGCTTCTTTTTAAAATGATACAAAATCGTTCAATATTGAATGAATTCATCGGTTACAAAAAATGATACAAAATCGTTCAATATTGAATGAATTCATCGGTTACAAAAAATGATACAAAATCGTTCAATATTGAATGAATTCATCGGTTACAAAAAATGATACAAAATCGTTCAATATTGAATGAATTCATCGGTTACAAAAAATGATACAAAATCGTTCAATATTGAATGAATTCATCGGTTACAAAAAATGATACAAAATCGTTCAATATTGAATGAATTCATCGGTTACAAAAAAAGTCACACAACCCGCTATATACTACTACTTTTAAATCACAAATTTGGAGAATTTTTGTGTTAACACATTTCATAATAAATCAGTTTGTTGTCAGTAAAATTTTATTTATAAATCTGTTAGAATTTCTAGGTTTGAAATCAATATATTTTATTACCCGTTTTTTATCAAAATTTGAGATAAATTCAAAGATTTACACGGGTATATTTGAAAATTCTAGCCTTTTTTTAATGTATTTTGATTAAATAATTGATACTTTTTATACTATGTGTTCAAAATGGTATTGAATATAGTGATGATGGAACTGTTCTCATTCGTGCCCCTGATGATTTTAGCGGAGATATTGTTATTCCTAAAGAAGTTATTACAATCGGGACAACATCAGACTCTGTTGGCGGTCCATTCTTCAAATGCAAAAATAACATAAGATCTTTATCTTTTTTTCCATCAGCCAAAGTCCAAAATATATGCAGTTTCTGTTTCTTTCAATCCTCTCTAGAAACTGTAGATATGCAATATTGCACATTACTGACATATTTGAATAATTCTGTCTTTAGACTTTGTCAAAAATTGCAAACGATAACTCTTCCTCCTAACCTGAAAGAAATTGGGAGTGGAAGTTTAGGATGGTGTGGTTTGAGGTCGATTACTATCCCGAATTCTGTAGTCAAGATACATCATTGGAGTTCACAAGATGGAGGTGCATTCACTGGATCTCTTTATTCTGTTACAATTAATCCTGAATCTAATCTAGAAATAATTGGAACTGAATCTTTTGTCAGTTCAAAAATAAAGTCCATTTTCATTCCGAAAAAAGTTACTGAATTATATGGTTCATGCTTCCACAATGTTTTTTTAGATGAAATAATAATAGATGCTGAAAATCAAAAATTTAAATCAGATAAATTATCAATTTATGGGGGAGTGAATAATGATACCTTAGTTTATGTTTCTTCTAAATTTACAGGAAATTATGTAGTCGAAAATTTTGTTAGTAAAATTGGTGCATCTTGCTTTGCTGATTGTAAATTATCCAGTATTACTTTTCACGAAAATGTTTCTTCAATTGGAGGATACTGTTTCGCAGACTCAAGTCTTGTTGAAATTGTTCTTCCTAAAAAAGTTGTTACTGTTGGAAATTATGTATTTCGAGGCTGCCAACAGTTACGAAGTGTTACTTTATCTAATGCAACAACAACAATTTATTCGGGTGCTTTTTATAATTGCATTTCTCTTACAAGAATTGTGTTTCCTTCAACACTTGCATCTATTGGAGAATCTGTTTTTTATGGTTGTAAAAATCTTGTTATTGATTCTAGTCAGAATTCAAACTTTAATTATGACAATCAAATGCTTCTATCAAATAAAAAAACAACCATCATTGAATTTTTTGGTAATGATGTGAACTTAGAAATAACAGCGCCTCCAGAAACCACAACAATTGGAGCAAGAACATTTATGAATAAGAAACTTAAAACGATTAAATTTCAAGGAAATTCATTAAGATATATTGGTGAATATTGTTTTTCTCAATCAACAATTCAAAGTATTACTTTTCCTGACAGTTTGAATAATTTAGGAAAAGGCTGTTTTGAAAATTGCTTATTCTTGACTTCAATATCTTTTGCAAACTCTTGTCCGTTAACAGTAATTTCGGAAATTTGTTTTAATGGCTGTAAAAACTTGCAAATTATCACCTTATCTGGATCAATAACTACAATAAAAGCTTACGCTTTTTGTAACTGCTATAGCATAAGTGATATTGGAATTAGAGGAACTCAAGTGTCAAATATCGAAATCTTTTGCTTTATGAATTCAGGAATTACAAAATTCTCTTCTTCAAACAAAATTACCTTTGGATATGGTGCATTCAGTAATAGTAATATTGCAGAAGTGAATATCCTTGCAGATTCGATTTCAGAAGAATGTTTTAAGAACTGCACTATGTTGACATCACTAACATTAAATGAAGGAATAACGACAATTTATGAATCTGCTTTCAGAGATTGTGTTTCATTATCATCATTTACTATTCCAGCGAGCATTAGGCAGATTCGATCATATGCATTCATGGGCTGCACATCACTGAAAACAGTTACATTATCACTGAATAGTCAAATAAGCGAAATAAATGGCGGAATTTTTGCAGATTGTCCTTTATTGCAGTCCATCAAGTTGGATGCTAATGACAAGCAATATAGATTCGCCAATGGAGCATTAACATATTACAATGAGACTAAAATAATTACATTTATTCCGAGTAGTGACATTCAAACATTTGTTGTCCCTGCCGCAATGGAAAAAAATAGGTTCATATTCTTTCTATGCATGTATCAATTTAGTCAGAGTTATATTTAGTGGAAGTAATATTGATACAATTGATTACATGGCCTTTTATGGATGCACGAAACTTTCATATATCTTCCTTGGAACGAATACTCATGTCACTTCTATTGGAAGCAAAGCTTTCGAAGGCTGTCCTTTGCTTCATAGTTGCGGTGCAATCACTTGTCCACCTGCTACAATTCCTTTATTCGAAGAGCACAAAATAACAAAATTATCATTCAGAAAAGATTGTAATTACGTTTGTCAATCTGCAATTCATTCAAGATCTGGTTTCACCACCACAATAACTCTCATTACCCCATTTATCGTAATGTAAATAAAATGATTATCTATCCATTTGCTTAAAATACAGTTTTTATTTTAGATATCTTTATTCTTTGTATTTTTAAATTTAGAATTGTCAAATTATTTCCTTGATATTAACCAAATTCATGGGTTTTGTGTTAATTTGATGGAATAATAGAGTTTTTGCAATGATCTATTCAATAATCTATTGTTATTGGAAAAATTCAAATTTGGATGATCTTTTGATTTTAAGATTTAGGATCTTCCTAAAAGAATATATTAATTAACAACTATATTATCTGAACATCTGTTATTTTTGCAATTTTAACAAAGATTAAAAATATCTGAGAAAATTCTATGTTCTTTGAAATCCGATTAATATTGATATCCTTTAAATAGTTATGAAATAGTCATTAATAATGAAATTAATCAAATATAAATAAATTTTAATAATATATGAACAAATTAAAACTTATAATTGATGATGCTTAGCTACTTTAAGGGATCTATTGCTAGCCTCTACCTCACGTAGTGTATTAGCAACTTGATCTTCAATATTCCTAATTTTCTTCGATTGTTGCTGTAGAATAAGTTCGAGAAGAGCGGTCATGCCTTGGATACTCTTCATGCCATTCAAAATCTCTACGGAAGCCATTTCTAGTTTGGAAATTTCTTCGTTTACGCCTTTTGACATTTTGGCTGAAAAAGCGTTTGTATCTATTTCTTGTGGATGTGCTACTAAGTATTCTATCCTCTCATCATCGACTTCGACGTTGCTAATCTTGAGATAGCGTTTTAAGTCGGATTTGTACTTTTCGTCAACGAAATTCTTAGCTGTTATGTAATTTCACAAGCAATCGCATATAGCATTGATTGCTGCTTCGAAGAATGCGAGTTCGATAATATCTTGTGCTGATTTTACAGGTTTTGAATGGATTGTATTTGTTTTTGATCTCCAATCTTTAATATCTTTAGTGATTTCTTCCATCATTACGCTTGCAAGATTCAAATGTTTAGAAACTAGATTTTTTGAGCGATATATATCAGCGTTATTTGTATATGTATGTTCTTTTTCGACAAGAACTTGAATTTCGCCGAGCTTTTTATTGACAGCAGCAATTTTTCTATTGATTGAGGCGTATTGATTGTAAATACCTGATAACTTTGTGTCATTGTTGTAATTTGGGGGCGTTAATTGTGGGAGTTCTTTGTTTCCTAATGATGCCTTCTTTCTGAGTGTTGAAAGCCTGTCTTTCATGATTTTGAATAATTTTCACCGATACAATTGAATACTTTACATAAATTTAGCGATAAAATTTTCACTCCGATAATTGTAGACAAAATTGTACATTTACATGGTAAGTTTATTAATGATCCTAATTACCATAGTTTTGTAATGATACCAAATTGTGAACTCCTTTTCAATTTTTTTTTCTCCAATATCATTCCACATCTCTAGCTTTCAATAAAGCTGGAGTTCCGAATGATATATGGGAAGAATATTATGGACAACCAGCAGAAAACTACACAAATGCAAATAATACAAAGCCAACTATTTCTTCAGATTTCTTTTTACTTTTATCAAATTTTAAAGATTTTTCAGATAATGTCATTAATTGTCAGATTAGCTCGATTAGATTACTACATTCGATATGCACATACACTAATATTAATCAAAATTCAGGAAGTGGTGGCTGCATCTCTTTTATTGGTAGAAGTTCCATTGTCCAAGACCGATTTTGCTCATTTAAATGTTACACGCCAGGCTCTGGAAAGTATTCATACACAGATGTTCAAACAGAAGGAAACAAAAGTTTCGTAAATTTAGGTTCTCTCTATCAATGTGGTCATGATAACACTGGATATTCCAGTATATATCATTTTTATGGAAATAAAACTCTTATTTCTACAAACAACACTAAAACAAGAAGTAAAAACAATGCTGGCTATAATTTTCGATATAATTCAGTTTATGTTAACTTTTGTTGTTTCGTTTCTAATGATAATCATGAAAATGATCCCTGTTGTATGTATCATCTGAATGCGCCTGATTCATTTGTCAAAAGATCTTTATTCAAAAACAACACATGTAAAACTGGCTCATTTTGGGGTCTTCTTTCATCAGATGGCTCATCAAAAGTTACTGTTTCAGAATGTATTTTCTTAGAAAACAAAGCAGATCATACTTTAGCATCAACTTATGGTGGTACTTTAACAGCTATAAATTGCACGGGAGATTTATCTGTAAGTAGTGAAAATGGTATTGTTAAAACAAATGAAATGACAACAAGTTCTTTTAATTTGACACTTTCATTACTTTCATTAGGAAAATGTGAAGCAGAATTTCCATTTTCATTTGACTTTATTTTATTTGGAAGTAAAAAGAAGAAAAAACTTGTTATTGATGATCTTCTTTCATTTAATTTTTCTCTTGAATGTTTATTTAATTTAACTAGCACATAAACATATTCTGTATACATCAACTACGATATGTTCTTGAGGTTGAATAGTTTTTATGCATCATATTTGAACTTGAATCGATTCATATTTTAATTTATCTCTTGAATGTTTATTTAATTTAGCAATACTAGTTACTAGTGTCAAAAAATACATTCTTTATACGTATGCCCCAAAAAATACTCACTTGGGTCGAGTTTTCAAAAAAAGTTGTATTACTCAATTTCGTCGGAAGGAAAAAATACTTTAAATTATCCACACAAAAATATACAAACATTTATCCTAATGAAATATCAGCTATTTTTGAAATTTTCTTATTGCTATCTTCGAATTTCGGTAATTTTCTGACAATGTCATTAATTGAAGAAGTGTTACTACATTAGTTATGTAAATACACTAATATTTGCTGAACAGATGGAGATTGTAACTTTATCTTAAATATATATTTAATTTCGAGAATTGCATATCATAAGGCAGATACCATCTCATTAAATTTTATGGAATGCATTCTTTTACAGATGAAATAAGATTATGTAAAAAAAATAAAAATTTGAATAAAACATCGGTATTTTATATTATAATTATAAGTTTCTTGTCATGTAAAGAGCAGAAAATACTAGAGCAAGTGTAATAACTGTGATATAAATAAATAAGAAAGCATAAAGAGGAGAAACACCAACATATTCGAAAATAGCTTTTGCCTGTTTCTGGTTGATGTAAGGGAAGTTTCCTCCAAAGAGTGGATCACTGACATCTTCATATGAAACATCAGATTTATATGTATCATTGATATAATCTGAGCAGTTTCCTTCATAAATACCATCCAATCTATCATATCTTCTCGGGTCAACACGAGAGTCATGTGTATCTTTGCATATCTCGTGTAAGAGTTGTGGATAATTGTAGTATGATCCATATGCAAATTTGTTAGTTACGAAAACAGACAAATCCATTCTTATTGGGAAATACAAGTTAAGCATTGGAACTCCTTCAAGACAGACACTTTTAACATATGGATTATATGTTACATTGTCTTGTAAATCATAGACAACTTCAGGAATAACTAATGTATTTACACCTGAGAAAAGAGTGAATCCGCCTTCATTTCTTTCTCTTTTAACTGTTCTGAAACGGAAAGCGTTTGGCATAACTTCTCTGACTTTGTTTGATACAGTGAACTTATAATATGTATCACCAAATGTGAACAAAAGGTTTCCTGTTGCTTTATAAATGAAACAGTTTTTGTCAACATCAAATAATGGATGACCACCTGATTCAAATGAAAATGAAACATTCTTGCAGTTATCGAAAGCTGTTTGTTCGATAGATCTCACACTATTTGGAATTTGGATGTTTTTAACACCACTTCCTGAGAATGCTTCATTTCCAATTCGAACTAAATTGGAGTTCAATGTGACTGATGTCAATTTCTTGCAGAGAGAAAATGCCTGCTGTTCAATAGAAATGACATTTGCAGGACAAGTGAATGATGTTATTGATGACATGAAGAATGCGTTCTTCGAAATAATAACTAATTTGTCACCAAATGTATATGTGGTGTTTCCTAAACAAAGATAGAAAGTAAACTCATTCAAGTTTTCAATCTTTGAGCAATCAACAGAAATTAATTTGTGGCATCCAACGAAACAACCTTTTCCAATTTTTTCAAATGAATTCGACATCAAATTAACAAGTGAATAACAGAAAGCGAATGATACATCACCTGCTGATGTAATAGTTGATGGAATGATTATGTTTTTGAGTGAATGGCAACAGAAGAAACATCCATCAGGAATTTCAGAAATCGAACCTTGGAATGTGATGTTTTCCATATTAAAAAGATTTCCAAATGCATAATCAAATTGAACAACTGATGAAGAAACAGATATTGTTTTGATTGTTAGATTAAATGTCAAAGCAAATGGACCAATGATTCCTACAGATGAAGGAACAGTGTATTCAACTAAATCTTGTTTAGTAACAATACATAATAATTCTTTCTTCGTTGATGAATACAAAGAACCATCTTCATACAAGAAATTACTGTTTCCTGCGATATCAAATAAATTCAAAGTACAATTAGCAAACATTGATGCATCAAACTGTGAAACGGAACTTGTTAATTTGATCTTTGATAATCTTGTTTCATTCAAAAATACACAAAATCTTGTTGCTGAATATTTTTCTAATGGTCTGAAATCTTTCTTGAATTCGATTTCCATGTATTGTGTTGGATCAAACGTAATCGCTGTGTATCTATCATCAATAACATATACATCATCGTATTCGGCATAAACATCGTTGTTACTTGGAATAACTTTTTCGAATTCCCACATTTTTCTTATATGAATGTTTTTGTTGAAAATTATCTCTTGAACACCGGATTTGTAGAATGCTAATGGTTCTAATATAATAACATTCATTAAATTGATTGTTGTTAATGCTGTATTTGCAAATGCAAGTCTTTGAATCGCAGTTAATTCATTGTTGAATGTAACTGTTTGTAAACTTGTGCAGTTTTCAAATGTATGTGGATAAATCGATGTAACACGACTTGTATCTGAGAATACAACTGTTGTAAGACTTGCACTGTTGCAGAATAATATCTTTCTGTTAGTATTGATTATTAATGTCGTAATTCCGGTTTTAATGAACGGTTGAGTATCGGATTTCGAGGGTTCAAAGTTGGTTCCGATCTTCTTGATGCCTAAACTCGTGCATCCGTAGAAGCAAAGTCTTCCTAGAACGAATGTTTCTGTTTCGAAATTATTGATCGTTTTCAGAGCTGTGCAGAACCTAAATGCGTGATCGCCAATGTTTAATGAACTGTGTACTGTTATGGACTCTAATGCATAGCAGTGTTCAAAGGCTGCAAACTCGATATTGTTGACAAAATCTAAATTTATAGTCTTTAATTTCTCGCAATGAGAGAATGCGAATCTGGAAACTGTGGTTATTTGCTGATTAAGTACTATTTCTTCAAGATTCAATGAAAATTGAAAGGCATGTTCAGCAATTTGTGCAATTGGTGAGTTAATAGTAATGGTTTTTACAAGCTGAAATGTTTTATAGCCACCAGTATATGGTATATTGGTAATATCACCTCCAATGGTCATTGCTACAATGGAGTTTTTGGAAATATAATCCGAAATATCGGTTTCACGTGTGAAATCGGCAGCTTCAGTGAGTTGAATTGTTGTTCCTGATGAGGTGTATCCATCTAATTGGATATTTCTTTTTAAAAGCTGTGATATGAAGATAGTTTTTAGCATTCAGAAAAAAATTATTTTTTTGAAGTTATGTAGGAAAAATTGAGAGCGATTAATTATATCGTACCATATAGGTGGCTCGTTGTGATGAGCCAATAAGTAAATTTTTAAAAGCAATATTCGTATTTTTTCGAGATTGTGATCATATTGAAAATTTTGAGAGCACCCATTGAACAAATAATTGGTAAAAGGAACGAATAAACTAGTTACATAGGCTGTGTTCTAAATTTAAACTCCGATTATATTTTCTAAATGACGGTTAGTAGAAAATAAAATTCTAGCATTTTCATATATATTATTGTGTGAATAACAAAAATTTGTAAACTGTAAAAGATCTCTGACATTTTTGATTGCGCGAAAAAACTAATGGTTAAGTTAAATCTTATTAATATTCATAAGAAGAACCAAATTAGTCAACCATCAAACTATTCAATCAAATTCAATTCTACTAACTTTCAGAATTTTGATCTGTATGTTTTTGTAACTGTGACATATTAAATATGTAGGTCCTCCGTTACGTATGGATACAAGAAAAAAAAATAAGGTTTGTGGCTCTCAAAAAAATATTACGAATGCGTTTTTTCTGAGCCATCTTTTTTTGGTTCTATCAGTCAATTAATTATAAATTGGATGCTAATTCATTATACATACTTTGTTGTTCGGTGGTATGAGTTCAAAATTGTTTTGATTCTTATTAGGAATTGCAATTTATCTCTTTTATTTTCCTTTAACTTTATTCGTCTTACAAAAATTGTTTCAATCTAATTCAAAATTAAGGATTTAAATTCAATAGGGCTATTCAAACGACTAGGAATGTTCCGTAATCCCCTCTTTTTCTCATTACTCGCATCGAATCTTTATATTAGTTCAGCTACAGTAAGTGGAACAACTGTTACTATCACTGATTCAGCCGATTTTACGAATCAAAATACAATTTCACTTATTGTTGATAATAAAGCAACAACACTGAAGTTGTCTGGATCATTAACAGAAATGCCAAAATTTAAAGGATATACTCTCGTCAAAAATGTTGTTATTGAAGCAACTGGAATCACAGAAATCCCAGAAAAGTGCTTCTATCAGAACTCGCACATAGATACAGTGACTATGCACAGTGGCATCACCGCAATTCGTAATTACGCATTTACATACAGTTCAATTAGATCAATTAACCTCGAAAACATTGAAAGCATTGGCCATTATGCTTTCCAGAAGTGCCCGAACCTTAAGACTGTCAACCTTCAAAAAATCAGCTACATAGGCGTTGGTCCTTTCTACGAAAGTGGAATCGAAACTTTATCGATTTCAATTGGTGTCCACTTTATTATCCAGCGTGGTAGCTTCCAGAACTGCTTCTTCCTTAAGTCCGTTTCCTTCGCCAACACTGCTTCAAATACCGAAGCCCCAAGAAGTGTCCAGATCTTAGATTACGCTTTCATGAACTGCCATCAGCTTAAGACCATTACGACAAGCAACCTTCTTATTAACGCTTATGATTACACCTTTGCCAATACCGCTTTGGAAACATTTCCATTTGAATCACTAAGTACAGTTGGCAGCTACACGTTCCTTAATACAAAGCTCAAAGCTGTTGCTCCTACATCAGCGACAACCTCTTTTGTTGGTTCACGTATGACATTTAGATTTTGTTTTTATATCCAAACGGTAGACTTGTCAAACGTTGATGGCAACTACACAAACTCATATGGTATGTTCTACAGATGCAGTGGCCTTACAACAGTTAAGCTTCCAGCATCAATGACAATTTTACCAGATTCAATGTTCAAAGATTGCCCAGCATTAAAGAGCATTATTGCACCTGGTCTCACAGAGATATCAACTGATGGCTTAATGAGCTGTACTTCCTTGGAAACTATTGATATCGGATCATCCTCCATTACAAAGATCGGATATCGTGGTATTCATAACTGTCCAAAGCTTAATATCACAATCCAGAACGTACATCTCGATGAACGTGCAATTTATGCAAATGATGTAATTGAATCCATGTCAGTTTCATATTTGAGTTATTGGTCATGCATGAACATGACTAATCTCAAGTCCGTAAACATCAGATCCAACCAATATGAAATTCCTGTGGGATGTTTCATGTATTGCACCAAATTAGAAACAGTTAACATTCCAAATACAGCAACATACATTGGAGATCTTTGTTTCGCATTCACGAATCTCAAAAACACTCTTGATCTCAACAGAGTTTATAGATTGAGAGATTACGCGTTTTGGAGATCGAATTTGACAGGAATAAGAATAAATACTGACATGGGTCGTTTCGGAACACAGTGTTTCTATGAATGTCCAAATCTTGTTACAATTACATTCACTTCTCGTGTACAAAAAGCGATGATGAGTCCTTTCTTTGGTAACAACCAGAAATTTGAATTTGTTTCACAAAGTAGTTATGTTACATGGGATTCAACAAACAAGATATTGAGAAACAATAATGTAGTAATATATGTTGCTCCTGATGCAACAATTTCTGATGATTTCTTCCAGACAAATGATTTCGAAATTGGTTCATTATATTGGTACAAACAACTTTCAAATATTAACTGTATTACTTCTCATAATTATAATTTTGCTAATTCTTCTATAACATCTATTACTTTTACTGATGATCCATCAGTATCTAATTATATATTACAAGATATGAGTTACAGTACTGAATTAACAACTGTCCAACTCTCTCCTGGAATAACAGAAATTAGTTCTGGTTGTTTCAAAGGATGTTCTAAATTGAAAACAATTAATTTAGGTGATATCAAGAAAATAGGTGAAGGTGCATTCATCGGATGCACTTCTCTTGATAATATAGATATATCTAAAGTAACACATATCATGCCAGAAGCATTTAAAGATTGTGTTTCCCTTGAAAAAGTTAATTTCCCTGCTTCTTTAGTTGATGGAAGAAATTCAAACAATGAAATCGGAATGAATTTCTTCGCAAACACAGGATTCACTGAAATAACATTTGCAACAGCAATTCAACAAACATCATACTTCCAAGGAATGTTTGTCGGTTGCAAGAAACTAAATAAAGTAACTCTTGGACCAGGTGTTTCAAAAGTTCCTGATCATATGTTCGAAAACTCTTCTTTAGTCGAAGTTGAATATTCCAATTCTTTGACATCAATTGGTCATATGTCATTTGCAAGAACAAATTTGAAACAATTCACAATTGGTCCGAATTTGAATGACATAAATCCAACAGCTTTCTATGGATCATACAGCTTGAATATTGTTGTTTCATCTGGAAACAACAAATACGAGATCATCGATGGAAATCATCTCGTTGAGAAGTCAACTAAATCACTCGTTTGTTTATTTGGAAAGATTCCAAACACATTCAAACTGAGTGAAGAGATTTGTGTTCTAAAAGATGCATCACTTGCAAGTGCTCCTGAAATCGACTCTAACACAGGAAAAGTAATTGATTGGGGAATAACAACTTTGATTATTCCAGGAAACATAAGAGTTGAAGACAAGATGCAGCCTCTCAGATTAACTCCTTATTTGCACAACTTATGTTATGGAGGAATTGATCAGCCTCCTCTCTTGAATTCCATGGCATAGAGATACTTCGTGACATCGAATTACTCAAAGGACTTCTGGGTTCTTTCTGAAGAAGGTGACATGGACAATGAGAACTACATCGGTGTCATAAGAGAACCATGTTCGAACTTCACACCATACGAGAATTTCAACAGACGTGAGTTTGACAATCTCTATGACTGTCCTGTTGATGAAATGATTGAAGAGACACCAACAGAAACACCATTATCACAAACAGATCTCGAAACAAAGAAGAAGATGTCTGGATTGTTGATCGCTTTGATTGTTATCGCTGCTGTTGAAACAATTCTCGTTTGTCTTATTTCCTTCTACATGTACTTCGCTGGAAAGAATAAAGATTCATCTGACGAAGAAGAAGACGGAATTGAGTTGAAAGAAGAAACAGTTCTTAATTCGTTTGATGGAGATGAGACGAACTTCAATATTATGATTGATAATCCAATCTTCAACAAAGGATTCCAGAACGAAAGTGATCCATTTGGAAGCGACTTTGATGATAAAGATGATTCTAAAGGTGATCACTTCTTTGGAACTTTGAACTTCCAAGAAAACTAATGTTATAAAAATTTATTCTTTTATTCAGAATATTTTTTCAATTTTTTCAACAAAAAAGTTTAGTTGCATTTGTCAATTGTCAATGTGATTATTTTCAATTTCCTCTCCAAATTCTACAATCTTTTTGAGTTGGTGATTGGATCTATCTCAAAAGTAACAGATCCATTGTAAATATTTCAGTTTTATTCAAAACTTTCTTAGAGTTGCAAAATTTTTTTCTCCAAAATCTTTGATCAGCTCTAGCTTTCAATAAGGCTGGAGTTCCGAATGATATATGGGAAGAATACTTTGGAAAGCCAACAGAAAACTATACATATATCACAAATAACTCAAAACCAACTATTTCCAAAAATTTCTTTTTACTTTTATCAAATTTCAAAGATTTTTCAGACAATGTCATTAATTGTCAGATTGAATCGATTAAATTACTACATTCGATATGCACATACACGAATATTAATCAAAATTCAGGAGATGGTGGCTGCATCTACTTTCGTGGTAGAAGTTCCATTGTCCAAGACCGATTTTGCTCATTTAAATGCTCCACGCCAGGCTCTGGAAAGTATTCATACACAGATGTTCAAACAGAAGAAAACAAAAATTTCGTAAATTTAGGTTCTCTCTATCAATGCGGTCATGATAACACTGGAACTTCCAGTATATACCATCGATGTGGAAATAAAACTCTTATTTCTACAAACAACACTAAAGCAAGAAGCCAATTCAATGCTGGCTATAATTTTCATTCTAATTCAGTTTATGTTAACTTTTGTTGTTTTATTTCTAATGATAATCATGAAACTGATTACTGTTGTATGTATCATCATAAATCACCTGATTCATTTGTCAAAAGATCTTTATTCAAAAACAACACATGTAAAACAAGTCGTTTTTATTGGGGTCTTCTTTCATCAGATGATTCATCAAAAGTTACTGTTTCAGAATGTATTTTCTTAGAAAACATTGCAGATCATACTTTTTCAGCAAATTATTATTCTACTTTAATAGCTATAAATTGCACAGTAGATAGTTTATCTGTAAGTAGTGATAAGAATGGTATTGTTAATACAAATGAAATGACAACAAGTTCTTTTAATTTGACAATTTCATTACTTTCATTAGGAAAATGTGAAGCAGAATTTCCATTTTCATTTGACCTTAATTTATTCGGAAGTAAAAAGAAGAAAAAACTTGTTTTTGATGATCTTCTTTCATTTAATTTTTCTTTTGAATGTTTATTAAATATAACTAGTACATAAACATATACTGTATACACTAATTACGATGAATTCTTATTTAATAGCTTTTATAAGTCATTTTGAAGATAAATCTATTCAAATCTTAATTTTGAGTTGTTTAATATATAATTCTATAAATATGGTTAAAACATATGAATGTTAAAGCACTTTTTGCCCTTGGTGAACTAGAAGAATCAAAAAAAATCTGAATTGATTAGACGAAAAAAAAGGGGATGGCTGGTATATAGATGTTGGTGCATAAACTTGCATATTTGTTATGTTTTCTATATATATATATAATTTACATTAAATATTATAACATATTGTTGTTAAATATTTATTTTTATAACATATTGTTAAGGAATTTATACTGAAATACTTTCCTTTTTATAACGTAGTGCTGATGTTCTCCAGATGCAAATAATGGAGACAATGAAATTATGAATTGTGGTGTTGGAGTGTAATTATATGAAAACATGTTGTGTACAACTGTTTCTAAGTGCATTGTATCCATAATTTTAGTCAACGATTTAATTGGTGGATAATAAATTTTGGATAAATTTGGTTGTATTTGAAAAGTGACTAGTGGATTAAATTGAATGATTTACCGATGGAGTTTTGAATAAGATACAATACAATGATTCTGCATATTATATCCAGATGAATATTAAAAATAAATTTTTAAAAAAATCAATAAAAATTTATAATTTTTCATTACGATGTCAAGTGTTTTGCAAAAAGCCAAGAAAGCTTTTATCGAAAAGCATCACCAACTTAGGCGGAAGTTTTTTGATGCGATAATGGATAAAACAAAGATTGATGGTTCTGGAAAGTTTAGTTTTGGAAAATTCATGAAATTAGTCGGTGCAAAACTAAATCCTCAAGATGAAGGCAAGCCATACGACTTTACCATAGAACAACTCAAACAAGTTCTGATATGTGCTGATCTCTCAAACAGAACCTATGATCTGGAATTTTCATCTCCAGAAGAAGCTGGAAAAATCATTTACCAGAATACAATCGAAGAAACTTACAAGTTGCCAATGCATGTTACATACAATGAAACGACTCATACACTTTACATTGTTTTTAGAGGAACTTTAAGTTTTGCAGACATAATTACGGATTTAACGGCAACTCTGGCAACATTTGAGGATGGATTTGTGCATTCTGGTGTTCTAGAAACAGCCGAAAGTTCAATTGATGAATCTATTAAAATTATTGAAGAATCCTTAAAGACTGATAATGAACTTAAGGTTATTTTAACAGGACATTCACTCGGAGGTGCAACTTCTGGCTTAATTTTACACAGATTAAAAGAAAATTTTCCTGACATGAATATCAAAGCTATTCTATTTGCTCCACCGCCTTCCTTATCAAAGAACCTTTGGGAAGTTACTAGAAACGAAATAATTAGTTTCCATCTAAATGATGACCCAGTTCCGTTCTGTTCTTTACATAACGCCGCTGCAGCAGCTGCTGATTCACTTCCTCAATCTATCGGTAGTTATTTTGCCAAAATTGCGGAAAAAGATGAATTGATTCCTCCAGGAGAAGTCTACAAGATCCAAATGGTGATAAATAATCCAAAGGCAACAAAAACATATAAAACTGATACGGAGAAACATTATACACGGTTAGCTTCTGGATTAAACGAATCTCACCATTCAATGCAGTTGTATTTTGAGATGATTCGATCACTAATCGATATTTTGGAGAATCCTCCAGAAAAAGAAACAATAACAATGTGATGTAATATTATCTGAATATTTTTATGAATAACCATGTAATTTCTCGAATAAATTTGTATTTGTATCTTCTAGTTGTTCGTTTTTATAATGTACATCATATAATAAGTCCCTAATTTTATGGGTGTATGCAAATTTTACTAATCATTATTATTTCATTTGAACTACAATATGGATATTTTTGAAATCTAGTACATTGTTTGGACATTCTACTCTCGCCATATAACCTCAATAAAAGTTTGGTGATTACAACAATACGTACTCTTTTATGCGTATAAGACTTTCGGAGCATGAAATTCGCTTATAATATCCATTCTAATAGCTGTGTTCTTCTTTGCGTGATCGAATTAAATAGATTTTCCAATTTGATATTCTCGACGAAACAATCGGAATGCGAACGATTCAAAATTCTTAATGTTTTGCTATTATACACCAAAAATACGGAGAAATAATATTAATTGTTTTTCGATGAATTGAAAAAAAAATTGATATTTGGGGGTCTAAAAAATTCCAATAGGAATTTAATTTATTAAAAATATTTTGCTAAGTTTACCGTAAGAACAGATGCAAATTAACGCTGGGATAATTAGAAAGAGTATTATTAATTCTCGACTCAAATTTTGAGTTCATTAGATTAACTGAACTAAGTTAAAAAATAATGTCTCATTGGTAATTGATTCGAAAAAACTGATTAATTTTATTATCTGATTCAGTTTTCAGAACGGTATTAATTTGTCAGGAAGATAAGAATATAAATTTAAAAATTCATATTGTTTATGTGAAAGGAACCTGTTTTCATAAAAATCTATTGACATAACAGTTATCTGAATTGAGAAAATATGCAAAATATTAAAACTCGAACTGCAAATCATATGTAAATGCAGTGTAGAGTGCAGATATCAGCATCCGAAAATAAAATGAAATAAAAAAATCGTTTCTGTAAAATATTTATTAAATCAACTGTAACCATTTATTAAGAATCCTCTCATAGTGAAGAAGATAAAATCAAAAAAAACAACGATAAAATAGAAATTATTTTGCTAAATTATCTTGACAAAGCTCAATCTCTAATGAATCAAAAGATATTCAATAGAAAGTAAACGTCTGACATCCTCGATCTCTGGTTGCGGAGGGTCAGAGTTAATCTTTTCTTCCGATTCTGTTGAGCTCTGAGAGGATAACTGCTGGATTTCTTCAAGATGACTCTTTTTAATATATCGATACCAGCGATTTTTAACATTATTTGAATTCCTACCATTGAAAAATGAGGTTATTAATTTCCATTTCGGTCCAAATTGTTTATATAAATCTAAAAGGTGCTGATCTTCTTCTTCAGTCCATGGATCATTACGATTCTCGCACTGAAGATAGATTGTGTAACGCTCTTTGCATTGTCGTACTGTAAATCCATTCATTCTATTGGAGATCTTTGCCCAACCATTAGGATCTTTGCCAAATCTCTTTACGAGCTTGAGGAGTCTTGTGTCATCACTTGGGCGGAACTTCTTTCTATTCATGAAAAATAATAATGCTTAAAATTGAATGCATTGAATTTGTAATTGGGCAGGTCAAATTACAAAAGTGTATATGGCATATGAATTAATTAAATAGCAAAGTGTGCGACGTAATGAAGTAAAAATTGAATGCGAAGGTTATAAGAAATTCAAACGTAGTCAATTTATTTTAACTTAAATATTTTGTAATAAACAGAAATTCATCAAAAGTGACAGCTTTCAATTTTTTGACATTTGTAAATTCTAAATTGAATGAGAAAAATGAAATAATACTAAGCATAATACAATATTCTAGATTTAATTATAATTAGGAAAAGTTAGTTTTGAGAGTACTTTTCATAGGCATATAGAATGAAATCTTCTGAAAAATAATATCACATAAACTCATATTATTTTCTAATATATAACTATTTTCTATAAAAATCAAATTCAATGATCTTAAAAGCGAAGGATAAACCTCAAAATTTACGAATATAATGAGTGGGAATATAATGCTTATCTATCATAAAACCATATGAAATATTAATTTTTGCTTTACGCCTAATTTTTGACGACAATTAGCAAAAAATGTTAAATGTTAACACTCAGTCCATTTGAATATGAAAAATAAAATTGACTTTGATTAAATGTTTTTATTTATCATGCAATTCTTCTTGCAACCAGAGTAGGGGTAATTTTAGCTAAAAGTGACACACCTGTAAAAAGTGACACACCCGTGAAGGGTGTGATTACCGATCGGTAATTTCGACAGTTTAGAATTTAAAATTTTTTATGGAACTGTTGCGAGTTTCATAAAGAATTTAAGGAATATAAGCAAAGATTTGAATCAAAATCTTAGACCTAAGCCGCTCGATTCGCTCGCGGCTTCCGCTAATTACAGATCAGCAAAGATTTGAATCAAAATCTTCGAACTAAGCCGATCGCTTCGCTCGCGGCTTTCTTTATTATTTTAAATTTGCATATTTCCATCAAAAGTTCATAAGGTAAAAAATTTCGTTTATTTTTACTAAGAAAAAAAAGGTTTTTGATAATAAATTTATTTTATTTCGAAAAAGTAGCAATAATCGTAAAAGGGTATTGATAGGCTTGCTAAAGTAACTAATTTTAGCTGTCAAATACTTTTGTATTTTGAAGTAAATTAGTATAAATTTGTTTTTACTTTTATTTCGAAAAAGTAGCAATAATCGTAAAAGGGTATTGATAGGCTTGCTAAAGTAACTAATTTTAGCTGTCAAATACTTTTGTATTTTGAAGTAAATTAGTATAAATTTGATATTATTTTAACTCCCTTTGAAAACCTCAATTTTCCATACAGAGGGAACGGGAATAGCATCCAATATTCCCTGAGAATGGTTGCGCATTCTCAGTTCCCTCTATATTTCGAACGAAGCACTCATCGGTCTTTTTTTTAATACTAAACGTTTTTTTTCCCTGTCACTTTTAGCTAAAATTTGGGTTTGCCATTAGTAAACACTACCGTATATTATTTTTTAAGCTATCTTATTTTTTGAACTTTTATTCAAATCTTTGGTCGCAAGAAGAATTGCATGATAAATAAAAACATTTAATCAAAGTCAATTTTATTTTTCATATTCAAATGGACTGAGTGTTAACATTTAACATTTTTTGCTAATTGTCGTCAAAAATTAGGCGTAAAGCAAAAATTGATATTTTATATGGTTTTATGATAGATAAGCATTATATTCCCACTCATTATATTCATAAATTTTGAGGTTTATCCTTCGCTTTTAAGATCATTGAATTTGATTTTTATAGAAAATAGTTATATATTAGAAAATAATATGAGTTTATGTGATATTATTTTTCAGAAGATTTTGTGTTCTTTTTCAAAATTTTTTTTATTAAAAAGAATCTTTACAAAATATACATTTACTTTAATTAATATTTAAAAACGTGCTCTATCAAAAGTTTCAAAAATTCAATATTTTAGCTTTTCTGAGGTGTCACTTTTGATGAATTTCTGTTTACAACAATTTTAAAAGGAAATAATAAGTATAATTCGATAATTTCAGATCAATTAGTTTTAAAAAATTAAATTCAAATGATATTTGATGTATTTTAATTAGATATATGAGTGAAAGTTTTTGTAAAACTCTAGAAAAAAAACGTGCTGCTTGAATCGATTGAATTAAATTGTACAAATTTGAATTAAATCTTATTATTGCCAATAATATGATAGTGTAATAAAATTTACACGTGACATCTGTGTAAAATTCAAATTGATATTCTTTTGATTATTGAATTATATAAATCTTATGTTTTCAAAACCAAATCAAAGAACAAATTTTTGATAACATCATTCAGAACTTCTTGTAATATGGATTCGGCATTCGAATAATTTTGAATATCAGAAATTCGGATCATTGAACGAATCGTAAAATCTAAAGCCTTATACAATATTGTATATATATGATATATCAATTTATTATATCAAAAATTTGAAAAGAATCTGACAAGATGAAATCGTAAATAGCGTAACACTCTCCGAGTAACACCTAAAGCCATAATCCGATATATATTAAAAAAAAAAAAAAAAAAAAAAGGTAGTGGGGCCTCCAGGCACTTCGTGCCCTCTAGCCCTGAAGATGTTTAGTATAAATGAAGTTTATATTCGGAGGACTCTTCTTCTTCCTCCATTGCTTCTGGGAAGAAGCCTTCTTCTGGGTCGAAAACATTATATAATGTGTCGCTTTTCACAAATTATATATGTTTTCATGTTTTGTCACTTTTCTGTCACTTTTCGGGTAAAAACATTTTTATTATTATATATAAATGAATTTTACAAAACCACCGTTACCGTTCTTTGGAAATAAGAGTAAATGTAAAGATATTATATTGAGAGAACTTAAGAAACTACCGAATGGTCTAACATTTGTAGATTTGTTCGGTGGAAGTTTCTATATATCCCATTTGTGCCATATAATATTCCCAGACTCAAAGATTATATGCAATGACTTCGACAACTATATGGACCGTCTCAAACATATTCCAGACACAAACAATATATTGAAAGAGTTAAAAGAAAAGATACCTATAGGTAAGATGGAACGTATACCATTAGATAACAAAAATATTGTGAGAGAGGTTTTGAAAAAAGCAGAATATATAGACTGGGATAGTATATCTGCTAGACTATTATATAGTGGTTCTATAAGAGTTCATGACATTGAAACACTTATGTCAAAAGTTTTATATCTTAACTATACAAATGTTTTCAAAGAGGACATAGAAAAATATATTGAGGGTATAGAGTTTGTGAGATGTCATTGGACAGAGTTGTATGAAAAATATAAAGACAAGGAAAATGTTTTCTTTATAGTGGACCCGCCGTTCTATAACACATGGGATTTTCAATACCAAGTAGACTGGACTTTGAGAGACTCTTTAGAAACTTTAGACGTTTTACATAACCATCCATGCTTTTACTTTACATCCGATAAAAGTGGTTTGGAAACCGTTATGAGATGGTTAGAGGACATACATGACTATGAGTTTATATATGACAAGATAGAATATGAGAGAGGTCCTATAAACTGGAGAAAGTGTCACAATAAAGAAATTTTATTAGTAAGTAAATGTGGTTTGAAATAGGACTACTTGTTTTAGGTTTTTTCCATTGTGTCATTTATTTATTTGACGTGGCAGAAAAGTACAGAGAATATGAAGATGAACCAATGCCTGCAAATGTTCAGTATATGTACTCGTAAGAGATATTTTTATCTAATATTAAATGGACGCACAGAACTTAGCGAATGCACAGCAACCTGGACAACCAAACCCAGAGAATATTCCAAATGAAGTTAGAATACAAACTGCAATGGCAAACTATGGTCAAGTGCCAACAGATGTACAAATGCAAACTGCCATGTCAAATGACGCTGCGTTAGGTTTGCCACCATGGTATGCAAATATGAGATGGAAAGAGTTTTATACAAACCCTGAAGTGGGATATAAACAACTTTATGCAGATGACGCGAACACAGGAGTTGACCCAGAATATGTTTTCTACCAGAGGAGAAACAGAATGTATGAGCTCCAGTTAAAGAATGCTATGGAACTCAACAGGAAACGTAAGAGACTAGGCGGACATTAGATTTTTACATATAGTAAAATGGGTTTCTTCAGTAGTATTGGAAACTTCTTTCGAAATGTTGGAAGAGGTATATGGAATGGAATAAAAACCGTAGGAAGAGGAATTTGGAACGGAGTCAAAAATATTGGTAAAAGAGTAGGTCAGTTTGTTGGTATTATACCTAAAGACCCTGAACCAGAAGAACAAGCTCCTGTTATACAACAGCCTGAACCTGCACCACAGTCTAGTTGGCAACCAAATCCAACACCTCAACCGTATTAAAAAATTATATTTTTACCGTTCGATAGTAGTTGTATATGAAACTAAGTTCTAAGTAAAACGCATGGTATAATGGAATTATTCTTTTTCTTCCATCTGTAGTAAACCATACTTGAAAGTCTGAAATACTTCCACTTGGTGGTTCGTATAACTTTGTAGGTTTTTCGTAAAAGTCATTTGCCAAGCATAAGAAAGAGTTTTGGGCGCCAGAAAATGAAGCATGAACAATAATAGCAGCTGGGTCGAAAACATCTTTAAATAAATATGGTTCATCTCTTGCATATCGACTGTAAATATTTGCTAAAGGAAGTTCGACTTTCTGATTTAACATTCTTTGCAAATAATACCATGACATTGCAGTGAATTCTGTATATATTTGTTCGTCTTTATTTGGATTGTTTTCGTAGATTTGAAATGACACTTGTGAATTTTGTTTGTCATATACAATTCTCACATAAAGTGTGCTCTCGGTATTTGCATATTCATCAGCATATTTTGCATAACATGAATTTATTTTATCTTCTATATTTTTTAACGCAGTCTGTAGAGAAGATGAAAGGTCAACTTGTATTAGCTCAATTTCTTCCCACATTTTTCGTTTCCCTTCAGATATATAATCTATATGAAACCTTACAATAAATGGAAAACTTTTATCTTCTACAGACACAAACTTCATTCTACGAAAGCCAATAGCTTTTGTGACAGATGGGTCTCTTAGCCATCTTAATGGGTAGTCAAAACGATAGCCTTCATGCTTTACGGTCTCTGTCTCAAACTTTTGACCGACATTAGTAAAAAGTTCATCTAATGGTTTAGTTGTAGCAACTCTTGAATTTTCTTTTTCTATTGGAAGCATATTTTATCTAGAATAAAAATGTCAAATGAAACAGCGTCTATGAGAGAAATACAACACAACCGACAACTCATTATACAAGCTCTAAATAAGAACACAACAAACTTTTCAAACTATTCTAAGATATCTGAGTCATTGAAAGAAGGAAACTTAAAACTGACATTAAACCCAATGACAGATGAGTTTCTGTTTCAAGACAATAAGAACCATACTGTCTGTATAAATCCAACAAAAGGAACTTTAAACGAGAAACCTATAAATGAACTTCTTTTGAAAGCAGATGTTGACAACAAAGCTGACAAAGAATATGTAGACGATGCAATAGCAAAAGAAGAAGAAAGAGCTAACAATGCTTATGCAACAAAAGAACATACTCATCCTGAACTAGCAGACAAAACATATGTTGACAATAAAATGTCAAGTGAAGTGACAAGAGCTGAAAACGAATATTCTAAAAAGACTCATATACATTCTATATCTGAAATAACAGACTTAAACGTTAGCCTTGAAAAGAAAGCAGATAAGGAATATGTGGCTAGTAAGTTAGAGAAGAAAGCGGATAAGGAATATGTGGATGAAAAAGATAACGAAATGAAAGAAAGGGTTGACTGGTACCATGAATGGACATCGAAGACTTTTAAAGTTAAAGCCGATACAGGATGGGTTTCAGGATGTTTAGACCTTAAAGCAGATAAAACTTATGTTAACGATGAGTTAGAGAAGAAAGCAGATAAGAACCATACACATACAAGTTTTACAACTGTTGCTATAGAAAGTATTGAAGGAACGGTTGACGTAACTGGTGGGGATGTATTATATTGTAAACCTCCTAACTTTCCACACGGTTTAACATCGGATGACGACATAACGACGATGAGAAACATTAGATGTAAAGATGTTTATGTCATGAAGGATGAATATAATACTAAATTCACTGCTCAAGATTTATATGACAAGAAAGCAGACAAAACAGAGCTTCAAACATTAAAGACAGAAATACTTCAAACATTATATCCTATAGGCTCTATTTATACGTCAATGAACTCAACAAATCCAGAAACAGTTCTGGGTTTTGGAACTTGGACTCAAATAGTCGACAGGTTTTTGTATTGTGCAAACTCTTCAAAGGAAACAGGTGGAAGTAAAACGATTTCAGGTGAAAATTTACCTGCACATAGTCACTACATAGATTTAAGTACATCTCAAGCAGGTTGGCATAAGCATAAATTTTGGGATTGGTCAGCAATGAAAAAAGGTAAAGGATATGATGTTAAAGACAACGTTCAGTTTGCTATAAATTGTTTCTGGGGTAACACTCAGGGAGATGGAAACCATACACATCGCGTTTCAGGATATACGCAAACAACGGGACAAAGTAAAGACTACATGCCACCTTACATGACAGTTTACGCATGGTATAGAAATGCTTAGTCGTCATTTTCAACTTCTTTAGCATATTCGTCAGGAGTTGTCTTATATTTGTTAGGAACTGTCTTTGAAAGTATACCACCTTGAACTTTGACAAGTTTGAAACGAGGTCTGACAATAGTAGTTTTATCTTCTGCTTGCAGTCTGTACATTTTGCCATGTTTGCCTAAAACTTCATAATATTCTCTTGTATACTTTCTTCTATTTTTACGAACACGAATGTGAGTACCTGTCGGGTTCCCATTGTTGTCATAGTCAATAGTATTTTCATATGGGTCGCGTTTAGGTATTTCTATTTTTACTTTGTCACCTTTCTGAAGTTTGAAGCCCGGCATTCTTTCTTGTTTGTCTCTTTTGACTAAATTATTAAATATATAGTCTTTCTCTAAGTCAGGGTTGTTTTTCATTTCTTCGGGGAGTGGTTTCCCAAACCTTTTTGTTTACGGCTATTGTAAATATTTAAAACTTGTCTCATCTTTGCCATGGAGAAGTGTCTATATTTGTCGTCATATGACATTTCATTTGCTTCACCACCTTGTGGTTGGTTTAAGTCTCTTAACATTTTTATACAACCGTCAATGACACCAAGAGCAGAATGGTTTTGGTCGACAATGAAATATTGGTTTACATTTTTTGAACGCAGATAGTTTTTTACATCATCTGATTTGAAAGAACTTTCATAGTCAGATGTCAGTTTTGTTGGATGGTATTTGTCAACGAATATTGTCAAAGCAGTTTTCACATCTAAAATATTTTTGGACCATAATGGTATGGCTTCACAGTATCTTGTGTTTTGACCAACAAATATTAGCCAGTATGGTGGTCCATCTTCTCTATACCTCGGAATGTTTTCCAAGATATCCATAAACCAAGCATTTGGTGTTGAACTAAAGATTTTTATCATGAGTGCTTTCTTTGTTGCCTTAGAAACATAGGGGTCCTTGTTTGGATTCGTCATTTTTTAACCCATAAGAAATGGGTTTATTTGGCGCATTAGCAGGAGTTGCATCCAGATTTTTGCCCGCAGTGGGAACAATAGCCAGAGGTGTATTTGGAGTTGGAAGGAAGATTTTGAGTACATTAGGTATACTTAAAGAGAAAGCACAACCTATTATACAAACTGTACAGAAAGGTTGGGATGTAGCACGAGATGCAGCAAATCTTATTCCAAATCCTGAAACAAGAGGAAAAGTTCAAGGATGGATGGACAATGTAGGAAGACAAGCAGGAAACTATTATAACAAAGCAAATGACTACTATAACCAAGCAGGACACTATATGGACCAAGGTGAAAGATTCTTTAACAGAGGATATAACCATGCACAACAATGGGTAAACAATAACCAACCTCAACCGCCTCAAACGTGGGGAATGTAAAGTTTTTTACTGAGATGAAATGAACAATACAGCATTGAGACAAATGGGTTCAAGATGGATTTGTCGACTTCCAGCAGTTACACAACGTGTTTGTCAAGTTCTTCCTATACCTCAGGAAGTTTTAGACCGACTTAAAAACAACAACAACCAGTTGAAAACAAACCAAACTAAAATTTTTTACTGAGATGAAATGACCGAAGAAGTTGAAACGGTAGATTTGACACCACAAACAAAAAGTTCAGAACCATTGTCAAAACCTGTCAAAGAACTTACAGATGAAGAGAAAAATTCAATAATAGAAAGTGCCAGGTCTGGAAATACAAACCCTAACTACAAAGTCACTTTTCATAGAAATGGAACGGCTAGTATCTCAAAAAAGAAACAGACTCTCACAAATAAAATATTGAAGTCTGAAGGAGCTTTCGAGACAACAGATGGAAAAGTTTACTTCACTGACCAACAGTTCATTATAGAACATCTCATTGACTTAGAGTCGAAATATTCTAAACTTTACAACAAACACAAAAAGTTGAAAGGAAAACAAAAACAAATGGCATATGATATTTATGAAGATGTTGACGACACAACTGTTCCTGCAGGTGAGGTAAAGTCAAAGGAACCGAAAAGTGACGAAAAACCGATAGAAGAAGAGAAACCAAAAACTGAAGATAAACCAAAACCAAAGTTTAGTTTGGAAACTAAACCAAGTCAACCTTCATTAGCTGGTATGGGTTGGCGTCAAAGACTTATGGCAGCAGGTGGTTATGTTAAGTAAAGAAAAAAACATTTTTTTATTTTTATAAAAATGCCCCCATATAGAATGGATAGAAAATCTGCTAGAATAAAAGCAGAGTTGCAAAGATATGGTTGGAGAGTTTCGAAGAATTTTAAATATAGGAAGGGAAGACCCATAAAAGTCTATGACAAACTGGCTGGTCTTCGCTACGAAATGGATTTGGAAACAGCACGTGCAAATTATCCAAACAGACTAGAGAGGTTAGAAGAAGAACGTCTTATGGACATGCCTTTCGATGTTAGTGAACCTCAAGTTGAAGGACACGACGGCTTTGCCAGATTCTACTGGAAACATGACGAACAATTGCATCCTTTGAGAAGGAAAAAAGGTAGTGCAGAGGATGGTCATGCTCCCATGGAAAGAACAAGATATGCATATGAGAAGTACCGTGAAGTTAGAAGTCAAATTACATCTGGTCGAACCTTTACAGTAAACTTTGACGAAGGAAAGAACAAAGAAGGCTTCATGGGAGTACTTGCTGCCATACAAGACGGAAATAAGAAAGGATACAATCTCAGATTGACCATAACAGATTTGGATGGTCACATTTACTATGCAAATGGCAATGAACAAACAGCTGCAAAACTTCTTGACGCTTTCAAGACTACAAAGAGAGAACAAATGTTTGACTCCGACTCAGACATTTTGAATGCAATTGAAGGAATTGCAAGTGTCAAGTTCGAATGGTACCAACCTAACCCTCAAGCAGTCAGACAACATGCTGGATACTTCCCGTTCATAAATAAGTCTGACATTGGTCTTACCCTCAGTTCGCAAAGGCAGTCCTTGACAACTACAACAAATTCTTCTCCGAAGTCAAATCCAAAGTGAAGGTTTACTATGAGAACATTGACGCACTCATGACGAACGAAGAAGGGTACAACAAACTCATTGAAATGGGAATGGTCGGTGAAAAGATGGGCTGTTTTAAGCTAGATAAGGTATTTTCCGAAGTTCATGTCCTCTCCAAGCGTAAGTACTGGGGCATACTTGAAGACGGCACAGAAATAAAACATTGCATGAAGTAAAAAATTTTTATTTGAAATGTACGCTGAGTTTGTTGGAGAAGACCGTTGGGAAACTTGTTTGTTAGATGAGAAATATGAAATGGCATACCATTTTAAAACAATATATTTTTACATATATTAAATGCTTCAGGTTGAAAAACAAAGAACAAAAGTAGCAGATACAAAACCGTTAGACTATATCTTTACAAATGCTGGTAGGACTATTTCAGATGAAGAAATTTCATCCCGAACATACAGGTTTGACTATCCAATTCGTTGGCTTCAAAGTCCTTCAGATGCAAAGGCAATAGGATTTAGAAGAGTTTTGTTTTCAAATAGAACTAACGCATTTATGTTCGCAGTATATTTTCATGGGCAGTATAAAGGTTCTGGTGGTCTAATAGACAAATTTGACGAAATGAGAATCTTTACAGTTCGTTCAGACGAAAGTCTTGAGAAAACTCTAAATGACTTTCAAACTCAAATGAATAAATATTATTGGGAATTTCAAGAAAAATACGACTCTTTACTAAATGGAACATACTATCTGAAACTAGAATATGACAAGATGAACTCCACCGTTTCATTTCAAAAGATTGAAATTAACCCTCCAAGAGATACAGAGTTTTTATATTGGGAGGTAGACAAACGTTCTTGGGCACAATTTCTTCGGTTACTAAACCAGAACGAACCATTACCACCAGATGGTCCATTTAAATTTATACTTCCACCAGCAGATTTGACAGTTTATAGAAACGTGTTTGACCCTCAAAATGTTATGTGTCATGCAAGTTTCAGTTCAAGCAACAATAGTTTTCTATGTATTGGTAAGGACTTTTATGACTTTGCTTCTAAATTCTACGAACCACCTAGTAACAGTTTCTCTGACTTTCAAGTTTGGTTCACAACAAATGGTGTGCAACATATTATTCCATTGTACTATGACTTTTATCTCGAATTGTCTTTCATATATAACTACGGAAAAGTGCTGAAAAAGTATTGAAAAATATATTTTAGGTGAAGAGGTGAGATCTCACCTGTTTTTTCACCTCTTTTTTCACCTCTTGAATTTGTCATGAATTTTATACAGAAAACATAGCACAAAAATATAATTTAGGTGAAGAGGTTAGATCTAACCTCCTTTCTAACCTGTTTTCTACCCTCTTGAATTTTCATGAATTTTATACAGAAAATGCTTGTTTTGAGGTCGAGCCACTTTTGGCTCCACCGTATTCTTTCAACCAAAACTCATGAATTCAGCAAAAATATAATTTAGGGTAGAAGGTTAGATCTAACCTCTTTTCTACCCTCATTTCTCACCTCATGAATTTTCATGAATTTTCCCGAAATAAAAAATAAAGTTAGTTTTTTTAAAAAAATATTTTTTATTTTTATTGTAAGAACATGTTAGCAACAACAGCACCAAACTCGTTAGTTATGAACCCAACTTCAATGTTAGTAGAAATGAAAAGCTTCATTCCTTCTTCATATACTTTTGAAACAGAAATCCAGAAGATAAAGCAAGAACTTTTAACAAGTACTTTGGACTGTTGTGCGAAAGATGAAACAAATGAACAGTATCTTTATGAAATGCAGGACATTATTGACCATTTACCCAAATTGCCTGAAATCCAACAACAAAAACTAACCATTCCTGAATTTGACGAAATTGAAGTCAAAGCAACTGACTCAGTAGAAATAAAGAAGTTCATACGAAAGGTAAACTATGAGTTTCTAGGATTTCATTGCAACCATAAGGTTATGGACAAAGATTGCGACATGGTATATAAAAATGTTTCTGACCTTTACAAAACCCGGGAGTTTAAGACCTACGACAACTTTGTTTCGTTAGTTGCAGAATGTGTATGGCAGATAAGAGATAAAGATAGAAGAGGTAAGGTATGGAATGAACAGATAAAACCAACTGCTTCAGATTTAAAGAAAACCATTGACGCCTTGGTTGTTTTAGCAGGTAAGGTTTCAGAATATAACGCAAAAATGAACCCGCAATGTTCAAAATGTAAAGCAGCAATAAGAAAATATAACTACTCCGTCAAAGAGATAGAACGTATGAGAAACGACTATGCAGACTTAAAGAAAGAAGCAGAAAAACCAGCAGAAGATAAAATGGACATGTTAGAATTTCTGAACAAAAACTATCCAACTGCTGACGATTTCCTTCTATCTGACGTCAAGAAGAAATATAAAGAGACTTTCGGTATCGTTAAAACATTCGATATCCTCAGCGAAGAAATAGAAGCTACAAAACTGTTTAGGATTTCAAATATACATCGTACAATTCATGTAAAACGTTTATAAAATAACTGAGGTGAGAAAACGGGTGAGAAAACAGGTGAGATCTCACCTCTTCACCTAAACATTATTTTTACTGAATTCAGCAACAAAATTCTGAGTAAAATAATTTTTAGGGGCATGTGTCAAACCGTTGAGTTTTCACAAAATTTAAAAAATAACGTTTACCATGTAAAACGCTTATAAAATAACTGGGGTAGAAAAGAGGGTAGAAAACGGGTGAGATCTCACCTTCTACCCTAAACATTATTTTTGCTGAAAAATGACCAAAAATCTGAGTAAAATGGCATATGCTTGCTTCCCTCGGAAAAACCGAGAGAAGAGATTCCGTACGAAAATCGTGAAATTTCTCTAGACCGGATTTTACCGGCCTTGCCTAAAACACATGAAAATCGTGAAGAACAGCGACCAGGGAAAAAAAACTTAGTCGCCTAAAACTCATGAAAATCGTGAAATTTCTCTAGACCGGATTTTACCGGCCTTGCCTAAAACACATGAAAATCATGAAGCACAGCGAGACCGTTTTTTTTTTCTGGGTCGCCAAAACTCTATGAAAATCGTGAATTTCCTTAAGATAGAAAAAATAAAGTTAGTTTTATTTTATTTATTTTTTTTATTTTGTATGTAAGAACAGAAATGTTAAACATTGAGTTTGAAACAGTTAGAAAGATAGACAATGACACCAAAGTGGTTAGAATAGGTGATTTAAACGTAAGATACTCAAAGAAATACAACAAATATTCTTTGTCAGACATTATATCTCCATCTGGAAAGAAAACATCCCATTGGGTTGGAATTGCTTCTACTCAGAAAATTTTGACAAGAAATCCTGAGCTTATGATATCGGTAAGATTCTATGGAACTACAGCATATCTCATCGACAAAAGTCTTATACCAATAGTTTTGTTATGGTTAGACCCAGTTGTTGGATATAACTTCATAACATATGGTTTATTCGACTCAGAACGTTGCAGTGAAGGCTTACTTTACATCGTTCAGAAACCGAAGGACTTCAATACAAAAAGATATAAGATAGGAAGAACATATAATATAACTCAAAGATATGACAGTACAGTCAATAGAGTCAAGGTTGTGTTCGTTAACGATATGAGAGCTGCTGAAACAGAACTACTTGAAAAGTTTGAGAAAATGTATGGTGCTCCCATAAAAGGTAAAGAAACGTTTGAAGTAGATGAGATAGATAAAGCTATAAAATTATTTGACGAAGTTGCTGAAAAATACATGTAAAAATAACGTTTACCATGTAAAACGCTTGTGAAAAAAACAGGTGAAAAAAAAGGTGAGATCGCACCTCTTCACCTAAACATTATTTTTGCTGAATTCAGCACAAAAATCTGAGTAAAATGGCATAAGATTGCTACCCTCGAAAAACCGAGGATAGAGATTCCGTATGAAAAACAGTGAAGAACAGCGAGTAGGTAAGAAAACCCAGTCGCCTAAAACTCTATGAAAACAGTGAAATTTCTCTAGACCGACTTTTTCCCTACTCGCCAAAACACATGAAAACAGTGAAATTTCTCTAGACCGACTTTTACCGGCCTTGCCTAAAACACATGAAAATCGTGAGTTTCCTTAAGACAGAAAAAATAAAGTTAGTTTTATTTTTATTTATTTTTTTATTTTGTATGTAAAGACAGATATGTCAACAACAGAGAACACAACAACTGCTATCGTTCATGAAGCTATAAATGAAGAATATGAGTACATACAGTTTAACAAACAACTCCGTCTCATTCGTTCGGTCAAAGACGATATGTACCAAATGCAAAGTATTTTGACAGCATGTTTTGCTCCAGATACTAAGCTTCCTAAAGACTGGTTTAGGAACCAAAGCACACAAGAACTTTTGAGCGAAGCACAGCGAGACATACTTTTTTCTGAAAACAGTGAAGAACAGCGAGTAGGTAAAAAACCCCAGTCGCCAAAACTCTATGAAAATCGTGAAAAATTGCCAAACGGTTTAAGAGGATATTATGTACATAGACTTCTTGTAAATGCTGTTGCAATGTGGGCTTCGCCTCGTTATGCTTGGTATATTTACAGACTTCTTGACGAAATTCATAGACAAGAACGTGAAGAGCTAGAGAACAAGCTTGAAGCAAAAGATGAAGTCATTGAAGCAAAAGACAAAAGCATTCAGAAAAGAATACCACGTTCGGTACCAAAAGGAAAGGAAAAGAACTATAAGTATATGATTTATACTGAAGAGATGGAAAATGAAGAAGATAAAGATATGGTTATGTTGCATTTAGTCAGAAGAAACAACAAAAGCTTTTACGACCTTGCTAAGATTTACAAATCTGACAGAAATTGGTTCTATCGCGAAAACTTACCGATTTCAATGACCCCAAATGAAGATGTGAAACAAATAGTTCAAGATACTTTACCTCAAACACACTATGATATGAAAGGTTGTACAATACTTACCTTCAAAGAAGATTTGCCATTGTTAAAGGAAAAAATAACAGAGTATTTTGACAACTTCAAACAAGTAGGGTAGATGAACTCTTTATTTTTTACGCTTGACTTCAGATGGCTCAGGTAGCTCTATAAAGTAAATTGGCTTGTCAAATCCTTCTGGCATTCCGAGTCCTTCCTTCCGACAGAAAAATATTTTCCCGACAACTGGAAAAAGTTTTTCCTTCCGACAACTGGAAAAAAATTTCCTTCCGACAGAAAAAATTTTCCCGACGACAAGAAAAAATTTTCCATCCGACAAGAAAAAATTTTCCAGTTGTCCGTCCGTAAACCATTCAAATTTTCGAAAATTGAGAACTTTTTGGTCGAACTTCAGAAAAAAATTTTCCATCCGACAGGAAAATTTTTTCCATCCGACAGGAAAATTTTTTCCATCCGACAGGAAAATTTTTTCCATCCGACAGGAAAATTTTTTCCATCCGACAGGACACAAACGGATGACTGACGTTCCTCTTCCTGAATGCCTTCCAAAGCCAGAAGAACCGACAGCCCCAGCACCACAACAGACTTACTAAGACTAAACACTTACATTTTTACGCTTGACTTTTTACAATTTGAACTTTGTTTGCGTAGATATGAATTCTGAAAGAAGTATGAGGGTCTTGTATGACTTTGTACTTCTCCCAAAGTTCATGTCTGTCAAACTTACCTGCCATGGACTCTTTCATAAGTTCCATGAAATCGTCTTCGGACAATCCGGGGAAAAGTACAATGTCAGTAAGTATTCTCTTTACATCCTTACTTAAACTCTTTGCTGTCTGTACACAAATGACAACTGAAATGTTAAAGTGTCTGAGCTTCTTAAGAATTCGACACATATCTTGTTCTCTATTCTTAAGCAAAGGATGAGAAGCAAAGTCATCTAAGATAAGAAGACATCTATGAGGGTAAGTCTTCCAATCGTAAGATTGCAATTTCTTCGAAATGTATTCTATCTCTTTCTGTTTGTTTCTGAAGTGTTTCTTCTCTAATATTCTCTGCATTTCCTCATTTGGGTCTTTAAACTTAGAATTTATATACTCATTTATAGCATTGTACTTCAAAACTCTTCTTTGGTACTTCTTTATCCAATCTAACAACTCAGAGTCTTTTATACATACTAACTTAGACTTCTTTATAATATCTTTGAACGAATTGACGGTTTGGTCAAATTGACCAGAAGTCGAACAAATAACAACTAACTCATAGAATGGGTTCTTCTCATCTAGTTCTTGTTGTTGTGCAGCCATTTTAAGATAAGTGAAAGTCTTACCCGACCCAGGTGGTGCAATTAGACCTGTTATACCATTCTGAGCAAATAAGAACTTGTCATGTATAGGTTTTATCTGAGCATTTTCTAACTTCCTCTTGTTCTTGTTTAAAACATTCTCAAATTTCTTGTCAATGTCAGCAAACTTTTTTTCTAACATATTTTTAGAAAAATTAAAATTTTTATCTTTTAGAAAATGTCTAGCGATTTCGCTATCTATATTCGAGACAAGCTTTTCGACAGCAAAACATCTGTCGACCATAAAATCTTACATAGTGTAAACAAGAAAGGTGAATTTGTTCTAAAGTTCTGTTTCTGGGAATATGACAAGAACCATAAAACATTAAGCAGAGAAGTCTTAAAATTTGTCAATGACAGACTTGTTGACAGAGATGACGCCGATTGGAGAGATGAAGTCCAACAAAACTTCTTAGAATGCAAAGAAGACACATGCGCTGTTCTTGAAGATGAAATAGAAAACAGAATAGATGAGCTATTAAAGGACAAAGAACTTTTACAGAAATATGGTTCGGAGAAATTTGACATAACTCCACCAGAGAAGAAGAAGAAGAAAGAAAAGAAAGAGAAAAAAGTAGAAGAGAAGAAAGAAAAGAAAGTAGAAGAAGAGAAGAAAGAACCTGAACCAGTTCCAGAGAAAAAGAAATTTGACATGTAAAAATAAAATTTTATTTTTAGAACATTTCTGGGTCAATGTCAATGTTCTCTTCCTCTTTAGGGGCAAACACTGGCTTAGACTCTAAAATCTTTTTACCCAATTTACCTTGAACTTCAACTATCTTAGACTCATAATATTCATAGTCGTCTGCTTTCTTTGGTTCATAAGGTATAACAAGTTTGTATGCTTTGCCTTCTTTAAGGTTTGAGAACCTTCTGTCAAAACTTTCTTTGACTGCTAACAAACCTTCTATGTCTAAGTCTTCAAATTTCGCACCATTTTTAGTCACAATAGCAAACTTAACTGGTTCGATGTTCCAAACTTTGCTGAATGAAGACTTTTCAAAATGGTAGAAGTAAACATTCAAATATGTGAATGGGTCTAGTTCTTCTTTAAGTCCTGACATGTACTTGTTTACTGAGATGAATTTTGCCATCTTTTCTATCGGATAAAAAAATATTTTTTTTAAATTTACTCAGAAAAAATTTTCTTTGTATATACACCATTCTGTACGTCTAAAAGACTTTTGACATTTGCCAAGAATGTTCGTTTAGACGCTGTCATATAACCATATTCTTGACAATATTGTTTATACGAATCGTACAATGACCTTTCATCTAAACACTCAAAGTCAGTTTCATCTATGAACAGTTCATATACACTCTTGTTTGCTTCTAACAATGTTTGTCTCTCTTCGGTATGTGGAATTTGTCTTGGATTGAACTTTGAAATATCTAATGTCATAAAATATGAGAACAAGTGGTTGTAAAAGTCAGATGTCAAAGTTTCTGCTAAGTCGTCAAAATATTCTGTATCTTGCATATGAGAATCTGACGTTCTGACAACTACATATCTTCTGTCAGAACTTTCTAACTTCATCGGAACAGAATTGTTTGAAACCATAATGAAGTTTGCAACATTTTCACAAACTCTTTGGTCTTTATATTTTCTTTCAACAACTCCAACTTTGTCTGTTATAAGACTCTTCAAAGCATCTGAGTTCAAAACTTTTGTTGTATCTATACTTTGAAGTTCATTGCAAACTATAAGTTTCATATTCTCTATTGAGGAGTTAAATTTACCGCAGATGTTTTCTAAGTTTGTCATATTCGGGTTCGAATAGCCCTCTAACAGTTTGCATAAGATATCTGTAAAGAATGTGTTCTTACCAGTTCCTTGTTTTCCAATTATAATGAGAGCAGTTTCATTTTTAGCACTTGGATGTTGTAAGATGTTTGCAAACCAACATAAGATATACTCATAGACTCTTTCGTTTCCATTGCATATAATTTCTTTGACATGGTCTAACCAAGCTTCTATAATATTTTCTTTCCATTCTACTTGTTCATATTTATATCCAGTGAAGATAGAATAGAAGTTTGGAGAAGGTGTATAGAACTTTATACCTCGAACTGAAAAATCTTCTAACTTTGACAATAAGATATCCCAAGCATCTAACATCTTCATGCCAACTTGTACGACTTTTATTTTCTTAAGTTTCTGTCTACATTCTTGTTCTGAAACTATTGTTGCTCTTGGTTTGTTAAAGACAACATCCCATTCTTTCATGACATAACATTCTGGGGCAGAGTCGACATAAATGACTAAACGTTTCAAATTCTCGACTGCTTTGTTATAGTCTCTAAATGGACACATATTTCTGAATGCTTGGAAGTCATAAAAATCTGAAACATCTATTCTGTACATTTTTATAAAAATAAAAAAAATATTTTTTTTATTCTTGACTTTGTTGTTGCATTTGTTGCATTTGTTGTTCTTGAGCTATTTGTTGTTGAAGTTGTTCTTGTAATACAATACTTTCACCAGTTGCATCTTCCAATTCGAAACTTTCTGCCGTCATTGACAAATACATAGGACATAAAAGTTTTACAGGAACAAAGTTTGCGTCAACTAATGTCAACGTTATACTTGCCAAAGTGTTTGAGTTCACTAAGGTTGAAAATTCTGCATTCGAATGAACAATAGGCAAACCAGCAGAGAAAGTATTGTTTATACGCATAAGTATCTTTTGGTCATAATAGTTTCTGTCGACATTCGAATAACACTTTGAACCTAAGTTTGAAACAATATATAAGATTGGTGTGCTTAATGTCAATGGAATAGACATTCCTTGTATGACACCTTTTCCTGTTATAGGAAACTGTTGGTAGTAAAAACCAATATAAGTTTTGTATTATAGCTCATATTGTTTATAGTAAACTCAGTCGGACATCCAAACATAATGAAACCTGCTCTAGTTGCAGCACATGTTACACCCGTACTTAAAGTATTAAATAAGTCAACAAAACCTGTTGGTGGTATATCTGAGTAAGTATCTTCAAAGGAGTATTTTTTACCATTCACAACAATAAAGTCTTCTGGTGTCAAAAGAGCAAAACAGGCTTTAGTCGTCATTGTGTTTAAAGTTAGTTTACAATATCGTCCTTGAGGACTTTGTAAGTTTGTTGTTATAGAATTATATGACTCAGGGTTTTTAGTCGTAATAGTATAAACCATTATATCTTCTGCCATTTATATATATTTAAAAGTTTTTCTGAAAGTGGAGAAGAACTTCATCTAAACTTTCACATGGCGTTTCTTGAAGTTCTCTGTCTAAGAAGTTCAAATATTTTGTAAAGACATAGAACTTTCCTTTGTCTACACGAACAAACAAAACAGGGTCTTTCATATCGTTCAAAAGTGTGTAAAGTCCTTTACATGAAATAAAGTCTATATTATTTTTCTTCAAACATCTTTCAAGAAGTTTTGACATTTTTACTTAGCAAATAAATTTTAATGAAATGTTGTGGTCGTCAAATATTTTTATGACGTCTGGGAAACTATACTTTAAGTTCAACGTTTCACCTCCTTTCATAACGTATATCTTGTCAATGACATTATATGAAACACCACAGCAACTAATGTCGGGTTCTATTTCTTTGATGTTTATATCGTCTGCCTCTGTCAAAAGTTTCAATAGTTCTTTCAAAACTTCATGAGGTGCAATGACATATGAGTTCACTTTTACAGGGTTGTGTTCGACCAAGTTTAACATTATACTTAAAGCCTGACAAATCTTCTCCTGAGTTTGAAGTTTGTCTTTCAGTTGTTGGTAGTCGTTTCGAATATCTGCAACAGAACTTAAGTCTCTGCTAACTTCAGGATATGTTGGTTGTTCTTTTACAGGAACAATTGTTATACCATCTTCGTCTTCGTATGGTTTCCCCACTTCAACATCTCTGTCTTTGACATTGACAACAACACTTTGACTGTTTGTTTGAGTTGGTGAATTTAACTTCACATCTGCCACCGCCATTAAACCTTTTGAAACACTCACGCTTCTATTTTTAGGAAATGACATTTTACTTAGAATAAAAAGATGGACGTATTCGAGTATCTCTTCGAATTGAAGCAGAACAAAGTTTACACACACAAACAATACAAATACATTGACAGAATAGTTCTTTATACAAACAATGGTAAATGTTATAGAATAGCAGTCTTTGCTGAACCAAAATATTTTCATAAAGCAAAGAAAGTTGGTATAACTGAAATGGTGAAAGTTCTTGAAGCAGACAAAAATATAACAACAAAACTTACAGATATTTCTAAAGGAAAGTTTATAATACAATATTATGTCAAAACTGGCGTACTGTCAATATTTGACGGAGAGAAGTCAGTTCAAGAACAACTTACTGACCTGCTGCCAAAATCTGCTCGATGGAAGCTGTCGTTATGCCAATCTGAGGAGCCCCAGCAGGTTTCATCGAACGAATCTTCAAAAGAGCATCTTCCGTGAAAAGTGCTATTGGTTTTGTAAACTTCTTTGCTCTCAGTTCATCTGGACCGTCTCTGTCACCAGTATATTGTATTTGTACAGTACAAACAGTTGAAATACCACCCATAAAGTCTTCTGAGTCAGCAAATGGAATGCCAAGCCAAAAGTTTGAACGGTCTCCATTTGTATATTGAGTTTTTTGACCTCCTGTATGAGTCCATACTTTCACATATGGCATAATAGAACTTTGCATTTCAGGGTTAATGGTCGTTGTGAAGTTGTTGTTAAAGTTCATAGCATCTAATGTCAAGTTGTATGACCTCATATCCTCAACTGTAGAATATTCTTCTCTTGGATAATATTTGCCATCTATGTTTATATGATATTTAATACCGGGGTTGTAGAAACAAGAATAGTCATTTATAGTTCGTCTGAACAGTACAAACATAGTATCTGCATGTTTCATTGCAGTTGTTAAAGCAATATCTGTTCTTGCACCTGGGTCAGCACTTTGGTTTCCAACTTCACCTGCAAAGTCTTTGACAGATATTTGGTGTATAGGGAACATAAGTGGAACTGCAATATATTTGGCAGCTAAAGCATTTGAAATATCTGGGTCCAACATATAGACTGCAAGTCTGCTTTCTATTCTCTTGCATTCAAACTTTTCGCATGTGAACTTAACTGGGTCCCAAGCAGTTCCAGCAGCATTGAAATAATAGTTTACTTCATTGTTGAAGTTTGAGAAACCAAAGTCTAAGTCAACTTTGTCTTTGCAAAAGTCACAGAACTTGGCTCCACCAGTTCCAGCTACAGTAATGCTGAATGGGTCTTGTGTTGGTGCAATGACTAAGTTATTTTTGCTTGGAGTAAGTTCAATAGAAATTTTTCCTGCCCAGTTTGGCAAGTATCTTAAAAACCTGAAGATGAGGAAAGATGACAAAGGAACTCTAAGTTTCAGTTTTACTTTAGTGGCAGCAGTTCCATCTGAACCAGAAAGGTTAACATAAACTCCTGGAACGTTAGGGTCAAGTCTTCTTATTTTCTCAATATTTGCATACTGGTCTGTTTGTTCTCTAGCTTGTGGTTGTACTGAGTTTCTCAAAGCGAACCATTCATAGTTTGCCCATGTTACTGTTTGAACTAAGTCAGAGTTAGAATATATCTTATATCCCATGAAAACTTCTGGAGCATATTGGTATCCGACATAGAAAATTCCATTGCAACCTTTCTTGTCAGACAACTTGGCAGAAGGTTTTATTTCAATGTCTTGTTCCACGTATAAGAATGAGTTGTCAATAGAAATAATATGAAACCTGTCGCAAGCAATATCTACTGTTGTTGAAGAACCTTCACCAAACTCACCTACATTTCCATAAGAAACAGCAGTTGTATATTCGTAAGTTCCAGGAACTATTTCTGACCTTCTAATGGCATTGTCGCATTCGTTATACCATTCGGAAACATTTCCGTTCATGGCATCCAAAACTGTTGGCGTTATATTCTGAGCGGCGTACATTTCATATGGGTAAAAATATAGAATAGTTGGATTTATATATCATAATAGAACCCACTCGGACCAAGCTTTACTTTGTTCTACTCTTCTTCTTTGGTGTCGCTTTTGGTAACTTGCCCTCTGCTTCAAGTTGTTGCATCTTTGCCTCATGTTCACCTAGTATGTTGTAAATTTCCCATGTCCTTTTTGCCTTTGGGCTCTGGTCGCCCAACTCAGGTAACCTATATCCTAGAAAGATTTTGTCATAGTTTGTATTTGAGTCTTCGCGTATTGTTTGCATGACTCTTTCCTGAGTTTCCGGTTCAAGCTCTTCAAATATAGCTTGTCCATATGGAATAAGCTCGTTTCCAAATATATGTTTTTGTAGCCATTCTGGTTTTCTTTCCATGTTACCAATAATATCTTTTGTGAATGGGAAAGCTTTTACCCAATGTTTCAGTCTTGCGTCATTTATTTCTGTAGTTGGTTTTATTTTGTCAAGGAACATGTTTTTCAATACTAACATTTCATTTGGTACTGTCCATTTGAGTTTTCTTAAATATTCATCCCTTCTCGGTTCATTGTCTGCAAAGTAAGTTTTTATGACATTTTGCAAACTTTCGTTTGCAAGGTCATGTACAATAGGTTCTCTTCCTTCTCTCTCCCTAACTTTCTTTCTAAACTCTTCACCAAATATACCATCTCTATGGTTCTGTGTAGTTCTTTGAGATAAATGTTCTAGAACGTCAGGTGTTATATTTCCATCAGCCATGTTCATTTCATACTGGTCCAAAATATCTGCATTTTCATATCTTTCAATGGCATTAAAGCCGCGCTGAAAATACCAGCTACATCTGGTTCACCATTCACTTCCATTGCGTCTACAACTTCTTGGAATTGTGGTTGTAAGTTTATGAACCACCTATCCGGATTAGCTTTATGACCCCATCTCATTGTAGTTCCATCGTCTGCAGAAAACAAAAGTAGGTTTGTTTCCATATTGGCTAGGTTCTGAATGAACTTTAAACAATGTTTCATTTCTATATGTTTTGTTGAAATTTAACCTTTTATTTTCACCGAGTTCATCCAAAGATTGAACGTTATATGCTCGTAAGTAAAAAGATTGTTGTATTTGTGTACATTATCTTTCAGTACTTCCATTCTATGCTGGATATTTTCATCTGATGTTGGAGTCTTTTGTATGTCGGCGAACATTTTTCGATATTCTTCTACTATGTCAGCTGAATTTTTCTTAGACTCTTGGAAAGATTCCATATTCTCCGCATACTCTTGTTGAGGGTCAAGATTTTTCGGCTGTTCCAAATCTTCATCTAGTTCTGTGAAGTTAGTTTCCAAAGGAGGGACTTGTTTGTTTCCTTCAGGCTCTTCTAGCTGTTGTTGCTGAACTATTTCTTCCATGTCTGGTTGTATCTGAACTTCTTCCTGTGGAGTTTCTTGTACCTCATCTGCTGGCATTTCATATATTCCGAGACCGTTTTTAAAAAGTTCCCTATCTAAGTCATCCGGACTCATAAACCTTTCTTCTTTCGTTCCGTCTCTATTTTTACGCGTTTCATGAAGAGAGTTGAATTATCGTTTAGCTCTGACACCAAATATCTTGGAGTAAATTCAGTCATGTCATTTGGATGATATGCTATTAAATCATATCCCTTAGCGAGCTTGTATTTTCCAGGTTTGAAATTATATCCCATTTGGTGCTGACCATAAAGCTAAATAGGTTCGGGTCAGTATTTCCTTCCTTGAACTTTCTAATAGCTTCTTTATATCTGTCACTAAAGTCAAGAGTATCTGGGTAACCATAGTCTTCCTTAAGCATTTTAAGAATTCTTGGTTTCCTTGTTCTCTACTTCTTTTATGTCCTTGCTCTGTTTGTGGTTGTGGTGCTGGATTTTGAACTGTTGGTTGTGGTGCTGGATTTTGAACTGTTGGTTGTGGTGCAGTGTTTTGAACTTTGGTTGTGGTGCAGTGTTTTGAACTGTTGGTTGTTGTGTTGTTTTGGTGCATGCCTGTGTCTGTGTCCATGTGACGATGTAAATGTTTTAGGTAGTCCTGGTGCAGGTGCTTCTCTTGGAGGGTTTGGTGGTATATAAGTTCCACCAGCTGGCACATATGTTCCATCTGCAGCATAATGTCCTACCCGACTTTTTCGTTTTAAGAAAGCATTTACTAGGTCTGTTTTAGTCTGTTGTAACTCTTTTTCTTGACTTTCCACAACAGTTGCTCTAACGCGTCATAGGCACTTTGAACTGCCTGTCTCGTTGCTGCATCTGTTATTTTCGTCATATTTTGTGCTACTTTCTCTTAACTCGTTGTCGAAACCTTCAGACTTCAGTTCTTTTCCAGATGAGAAGTCGTTCACTAGTTTCACCTTACTATGAAGAGCTTCGAAGGCGTTCTTAAAGTCAGCATTCATTAAAGCTTCATTTGAACTGTCTTCATCCGCTTGTATTTTGTCCTTATTGACCCTATAAGTTGGGCTGCTTTGGCGTTGGCTTGGGCATCTAACCAGTCATTATTAGCTTTTATATATTCTGCACTTTTTCATTGCCTTTTGCATGGCTGCGTCGTTATTTTTACTTTCTTGTGCTAAGTTTTCATACTGTACGGTTTGGTTTTGCAACTGTAAAAGTTTTTCTGCCTTTACATTTGCTTCAACTTCTTTTTATACTCATCGCTATCCATATATGTCTTCAGGCTTTTTGTTTTATCTCTTCATCTTTCAGTACTTTATATTGAGTAAGTATGGTTTTTCAAATTTTATAACATCTTGTTCCATTTTTGCTACTTCTGCTGCTTTTTCTGACACTTTTTTCGCATATTCCTCTGTACTTAGTTCTTTCAGTTGTTCTTCTTTCTTCTTTTTCTCTACGTTTAACTCATTGAGTTTCTTTGTGTGTCTGTCATATTTCAGTTTCTTTTCGTTTTCACTTATTTGTTTCTGTATGTCTATGTTTGACTTTTTGACATCTGTTATTTGATTTTTGAAGTGAACCAAATTCATTTGACTTTGAGGTTATAAGCTGTTCCGTCTGCAGCTCCACCATAGCCTGCCATTTTCGCTAAAAGTGCCGCTCTTAAACCTCCACTCTGTGCACCAATAACTCGGTTTAAAAGCATAGGGTTGCTTGACATTTGTTGCAACATAGTGGGGTCATTCATAATTTGGTTGTTGCAACTGTGTTGTGGTGTTAGTTTTACTATTGGATGTTTCAATGCTCTCTTCCTCTTACGTATATTCTTACGTAGCTTACGTGGCATTTTAAGTGAAGTAAAAAACGGTTTTTGACAGATGTTTATATGACACTTATTGTTCAGCACAAAAAACTACTCGGTCAAAGTGTTGTCAGTTTTGTAAAATAACCGTCCTATCTCCGTGCCTATGACGAAGAAATCATGACAAATTCAAGAGGGTAGAAAAGAGGTTAGAAAAGAGGTTAGATCTAACCTTCTACCCTAAATTATATTTTTGGTCATTTACACTCATTACGAAGAAGTCTTGACAAAACATTTTACGAAGAAGTCTTGACAAAACATTTTACGAAGAAGTCTTGACAAAACATTTTACGAAGAAGTCTTGACAAAACATTTTACGAAGAAGTCTTGACAAAACATTTTACGAAGAAGTCTTGACAAAACATTTTACGAAGAAGTCTTGACAAAACATTTACGATGAAATCATGAAAATTCAAGAGGGTAGAAAAGAGGTGAGAAAACAGGTGAGATCTAACCTCTTCACCTAAACATTATTTTTGTCTGATTTTACGAAGAAGTCTTGACAAAACATTTTACGAAGAAGTCTTGACAAAACATGTACGAAGAAATCATGAAAATTCATGAGGGTAGAAAAGAGGTTAGAAAAGAGGTTAGATCTAACCTTCTACCCTAAACATTATTTTTGTCTGATTTTACGAAGAAGTCTTGACAAAACATTTACGAAGAAGTCTTGACAAAACATTTACGAAGAAGTCTTGACAAAACATGAAAACATATATAATTTGTGAAAAGTGACACATTATATAATGTTTTCGACCCAGAAGAAGGTTTTCCGAATAAAAAACTTCATTTATACTAAACTTTTTATGGGCTAGAGGGCACGAAGAGCCCGGAAGGCCATCCCAAGAAAAAAAAAACTTCATTATACCAATCATCCTCAGGGCTAGAAGGCACGAAGTGCCTGGAGGCCCCACTACCTTTTTTTTTTTTTTTTTTTTTTTTATATTTTAAATTTAATCCATAGTTAATAATAATTACCTATTCACTTTCATTAACTTAATCTTTTTCTGTCTTAACCACATTATATGATTAATACAAAGTCTGAATCTTTCAAAAGCAACAGTCTATATTAATATCATCAGAAACCAAATTTAAAAAATACCTATATTTTAACTTAACATTCACACATATGTGTTCAATAATGTACGTGAATATATTGTCTGTGTTAGTTGCACCTTTGATCTGAAATTCTTTTGATCTTACTTGCATTTCTGTTATGACATTATATTTATTAACAATACATGATTTAACAGCAAATGTGAAACATGTTCCATGTCTTGATTCACTTTGAATCAGACAAAACTCGCAATATTTTATCACACAATATCGTGATCTTCTCAGACTAATTAAATTCTATTGTAGCACTTCTTTTGTATATGTCGTTAAAATTTTATTAGATAATTTTCAAAATAACACGTTATTGTAGAAGATGTCTTAATTTTTCTTGTTGTAGTTGAATTGGAGCTTGACCGTTGAAGGATAAATATAGAAAAAAATAAGAATTTGTATGTTCAATGATATCAACTATAAACTAACTGATTATATCAAAATGACATTAAAGCGACTTTCGATTTTACGCTGGATTGAAATTGTTTACTTTTAATGCGAAAAATATACAGTGTAATATCCTTAAAAACTAAAAAAATGTGTTGTTTTACAATATTTTATTATCATATATAGTTTAGGCTCAAAATGGAGTATCATGCTAATTTTTTATGTTGGTGCAAACAAAAGAAAATGGTCTAGCCTAAGATGATTAAATTAATTTTTTCTTACAAATCAAAGAAGATGAAGAAACTCCTAGTTCAAAAATACCCAAAGTAACAGCAAGAATCAAGTGGATTTGAATTACATGGAATTATCCAATAGTTTATTGTTGGTGGTTGGTTTTTTGCAACCATCAATTTAATTTTGCAACTCAAGCAAAATCAATAACAATTAATAATTAAGATTTTGATACTTTTCTGGCAACCAAGTATTGTATTTAAAATTCAAATAGAACTTTTGAATGAGTGTTTACGGTTTGCCATGAATCTGATCAATGCAATGACAAAGACGAGTATGATAAAGTAGTTGAAAGAGTTAAGTATTGACTCAAATAATTCTTTTATAAATGTTCCGAAACTTCAAGAATTTTTAAAATGAAAATCAGAAAATGCAATTATTTTAAAAATGATATTGATTTATTCAATAATGCATTAAGTTAAACGTAATTTTTATCAATTCAATCGAATAAGATATTCATTTTTATTTCAAATTTTAGCTTCTTTGATTTTGCGAGAAATGTATTAATTTTATTATAATACACTAAGTTGAGATTTAATTCCTTCAATTTTGATTATTCTGCAGATCATTTTGAAGAAAATTAATTGAAATTAATAATATATGTCCTCAAACATTTTCATAAACAAAATCTTATTTATGAATTTAAATATATTTTTGTTGAGGATAAAATTATGGATCAATTAGCTTCTAGTATTGATTTTGTAGTTTCCCATAATGAATACATAAATTTGTTATTACTGTATCCCTGTTATCATTATTTTTTGATAAAGATAACCAAGGAATTTTATTTGAAATAAAATTTTCTGATTGAATACAATTCGGCGGATAACATTTTTATTTCTAAATTTTTTACAATAATAATGCATATATCTGATATGCTTTTGAATACAATATAAAATTTCATTCAATTCTATTCACAAAATAAAATTGAATTGATCGCATTACGATGACCATTAATTATCCATGTCTAAAGCCACTGGAATATCTTCTGTTAGAAAATTTTTCATCGAAATTCTCCACGAGGTTACATCGAAGATGAAAATTAATATATTTTATCATATTTCATTATACAATAGCTAATTTTGATATCTACACGACGAAATTATCTGATTTTTTATCTGATCTTTCACAGATCTGAAAATTTTATTCTAGAAAATATTAATAATCATCAGTATTTTAGTTATACATTGTTTGGATTGCAATAATTCTTACCAGCAGATTCAAACAACAAGTCAATCAAAATGGACGTGCATGAATGATTCAAAATTCAATAATATATGGCATATGAGAACCTGAGTTAATATCTGTTATGATTATAGTATTCCAAATGGATCTGAATCAAACTGATCTGAAATTGGATCTTCCAAAAAAAATCATATGTCAAATATATAACTTTACAAAATTGGGAAAATTTATTTTGCTGAGATCATAGTGTAACTTATTGATTTCATAATTTGAGCAAAAAAGAAAATCGTTTTTCTTATTCAATTTTTTGTAAATTTGATTTTTGATAAAAAATTATGACACTTTACAAAACATTTTTTTTGTAAATTTGATATTTGACATAAAAATAAATCCTTTATTCAATCATTGTATCTGGGGAAAGCGGTGGTTTGTTAGCATGTGTACCCCAAAGCTGCCACTTGTCAAGATCGACGACAATCTTCTTGAACTTGGCCATCCAAACCTTTTCCTTCTCTGGATCTGGGATTTTGCCCATTCCTGCGTTATAATATCCTAATGGTCTTGTAACTGTGTATTTGCTGTAGATGAAAGCGACGTATTCTGAGAAAAGAAGTTGCTCGATGGAGCCAGCTTCTGGAGAATGCTCAGAATAGTACTCTTCATCAGCTTCATTTGAGATTACGAAGGAAACTCTCTTTCCTTCGCCCTTTGTGCCGGATAAGACACGTTCAATCCATGCCTGGAAGCAAGCTGGATATCTGAAATACCACATTGGGCCAACAACAAGGATGTTTGTTGCCCATGCGACATTTTGCTCTTGTTTAACGATAACATCGACAATATTGCCTTCGACACGGTTGGCAATGTAGTCGAAATGATCTGATTTTCTTTCAATGAAGTCTCTTTCTGTTAATGTTTGGTCGAATCCAGCTTCATGTAAAATTACTTCACGATATTCGATCTTTGCAGCATCGAATGCTTCCTCTGCGGCCTTAGCAATACGAAATGCTGTAGCTTTGTGTGTGGAATCTGCGTGTGCGATGAGAATGAGAACTCTCATTTGAAAGTGAAGTGACATATCGCTAAAAATTTCGGTTTTGAATAGAGAACACCATTCATTTTCATGATCGATTTCGGGAACTTTTTTATGATCACTTGCCAATATGGAAATCATTTTGTTTACCGAACTTTTTTGATTTGGCTGGCCAATTGTCATCACCAGTCAATAATTTGTCCAAAACGCATAAAATATATAAAGGCGATGCATTAAAAATCTGGTTCAACTATCCGAGTTTTTAGAACCTACAGATATAGTTTATGAAATGAACTTGATTTCGCTTTCAAAGCTCACCACGACAGAATCTTTAGCTCCATAGATAGGATAACTGGGATCATGTGACCATAGATTGTAATTTTAACGTCAATACAAAATATTCTCGAACTTAACAACTAATTGCACATATTACACAAAAATATTTATTTGGCGTGAGATAATGGCAGATATGGATTAGATAATCTAAATAACAATACATTTTCCCTAAGTTACGATGAAAAAAGAATTTGTTCCTTCCGGATGGAACATTCAAAGTTGTAAAAAATAAATCTGATACCAGCGAAAATTATTATACCAAGAGCTATATCTTCAAAGTATTTAGATTAAGAATTATGCAGTTAATTCAGAAGATATTGTATCGACAACTGTGTGTTTATCTCACCCTTCCCTTCATACACTAATTGATTCTTTGCTAAAGAGTTTTAATCAGAATTATGTATAAGTATACCTAAATATTCAATTACTTAAGTATATTCAACGATTGATTGCTGTACTGATATGTTTTTAGTATATGTTTAGTCGGAGAGTTATTCTATTACTGACGAATTTGTTGAATATTTTCAAATATATTAAAATTCTATTTATGTTATGATCACATTTCTAAAAGCTGATTTGTGTGGAAAGTATACTACTATAATGGATGTGTGTTGAGATGCTAAGAAAATCGATATAGAAATTTTTGTTTTAAGAGGAGTTTTTGATTTCAAACAGCTAGTAATGAGTAGTACAAGTAAACACTCGTTCATTACTTTTCCAAAATTTTTTTGAAATTAGGAAAACTGAGATGAAAAACATTCTTTTTGCTGATTCAAAGTCAAATTTCGAATTTTTTTTGAAAAATTAAGGTTCGAAAAACTATTCATTTTAAATTTTTGATTGAATTAAACATTTTCAATAGATTTTAAATCTATAAAATGATTTTATTTTAAGTAAATTATTATTTTCTTCGATAAAATATAATTTTCATGCAAAAATACGATCCTTAAATATCCAAAACTATGTAATATTGATACTTTTCCTTTAACTATAATATAAACTTAGTACAAAACTATATTTTTAATATACTGGCTTTGAAATCAAATTAATTTTTTTAAAAAATAAAAAAAATTTCATAAATAAGATAGCATAATGAATTTTATTCGCACTTACAAGTTTGTCCTTTCTTCAATTTCGTTAGGGCTGTTGAAGATATGGACTATATTTCTCAATCCGAGAAGAGTATTATCATCAAATTCTCTGGCATCGAGTTTTCCTCCGCTCTTAGTAATGTCGCAGTAGGCATGAGCGAAGTCAATCAAAACAACACGCATTGGTGAATTTGGACTATCTGAGTCATAACATACCAAAAGAGAAGCTGAATAGAGGCGGCTTCCTGGGTACATCTCTTTGGCAATGGTAAGCTTGTTTATGACGTTTTCTACTTTAGCTATGAACTCTTCTCTTCTGTTTGTTGGGATAAATTTGTTTAATGTGTCAATTAATGAGTTAAGGGAAGCTTTCTTGCCGTAATTGCGGTCCCAACGCTTTACTATTGATCCGTTCTTACGCAGCGATACGTCTATAACACGAACTGCGTATTTTGGAGATGTCGAACGTGACATATTCTGTAATTGCTTCAATCTTTTGCTTTCGGGAACACCGATCTCGAAAGAGCGTGTTCCAAGCTTAAGATCTGCTATGCAAGGGCTAGTCATGCCTGCTGTTAAATCCTCTATAAGTAGATATTCACTTCCATTGTAGACAGTCTTACCGCAGTATTGGGGAAGGCAATCTACAAGTGGTGTCTTAGACATAACACGATAAAAATGATTCTCATGCTTGAATAATGGCTTAGCAACACAATCTATGCCAAGGCGTGAGTTTTTGGCAGCAAGAAGCTGACCATGACCACCACCTTGTGTATTCAAAGTCATAATTTCATCTGAGTTAGTCGTAGAGACTTGAGGTTTGTCACTCATCATCAAAAATGAAGTAAAAATTTCTGACTATCGTTCTGATTTCAAAAATTTGGAATTATGTAGAGAACAAGATGTAGAACATAAATTATACAATGTCACCTTTAATAATTTTTGTTGCAAATACTCACAAAATTTTTATGGGATACATTCAAAAATTACAATGCAATATATTTAATTAAGTATTGATGATTTTATGAAAGATAAAGCTATGAGAAACGTTAATCTTCTCCTCAATTTGAAAAGCCCGTTATCTAATCAATCATATAATTTTGGATTATACCAATCTTCATGCATATTACAATAATAAATTAAAATCATTCGGCGAATGTACCTAGCGTTTGCAATTGTGTAGAAATTTTGTGATATTGTAAAAATTCAAAGTACTCATTGATTTTTGTTTGTAGAGTGGTCATAGATAGATTGATCTTCGAACTCTTTTTGTAAAATATTTCATAAAATTAAGATCAAACTTTTCACAATCAAATATTTTTTGTGAGTACTCTCACTATTTATCGAATAAATTCTTTTATATAGGTCCAAATAATACATTTAACGATCGTAATATTCTTTCAATATTTCAATGAATATCGTTTAGTCTTATTTTTGATTTTGTTGCAACGTTTTCAATAATTATCCCTTTAAATTTCCCACTGAATTAAAGCCCCAAATTACGTTTTGAAATACTTTTCCCTTAACTTTCTCCATCAATAAACATATTCTTTCTCGATTTTTGATAACAATAAAATTTTTCTTGGAGAAATTCATATCATTAACGATGAACTAATAGTCTATATTTGTATATAGCGTTTACCTATCTCAAATGTGGATTTAAATACATATCTTTTCAATGTTAAGTTATTTCTTACAATTATTGGCGATAACATATCGGAATTGCTTTGCTAATAAAAAATCATTGCCTATCTACATATAGCCAATACTTTTTAGAGGTTTTTATTGATATTAATTGCTCATAATCTTTATTTTTTGTTTGATGATGTTAATTTCTAATTCTAGCTTCGAAAATCTTAATAACATTTTAAAACTAAAGTATTGGAGGCATTTCAATTGAATTCGACATAATTTCAATGCAACAATAAAACGATTTCATTGTTTCAACAATATTCTAAAAGAAACCAACTTTGTATTAATATAACAAGCAAATATTTACTAATATAACACAAATATATATAAAAATTATATGAATAAAATCAAATTAGACATAACCGCTTTGTTTCTTTTGAGCAAACTTCAACTGGTGCTTTACAGTTGCAAGATCTTTCTTAAGCATGTTATTTTGCATTCTTGCAGCCTCTAGTTGTTCTTCTTTTGTTTGAAGTTCGGCTTGTAAATCATCTCTCTTTAAAGTCATTTGTTCATTCCTTTGTTTTTCCATTTCCAAGTTCTGCGATGAATCGATGTTAGTCTTTGTAATGTTCATCGAGTCAATTTCGCGCATTGTATCATGTAATTGACGTTCATTGCTCTGTTCTAACTTATGGGCTGCTCTCCTCAATATTTGTGCTCTTTTAACGGCTTCTGAGAGATGTCCGTTGAGCATTAACAATTTATGTTGATGTTGTTGCTCTAATTTGATCAATTCCTTATTATAAACTTTGTCCATGTGTTCTAAAGCTTTTCTACGATCAGCAACACTTCTGGAATGCTCTTTTTCCATATCTTCTAATTCCATAACGATTTCTGTAAGTTTTTCTTTAGATTGACGTAAATTTTCTGCTCTTTCTTCATTTTTAGCTTGCACTCTAGCTCTTAATTCTAAAATAAGGTTGTTATTAAGGAGAATACAATGATCTTCAGCTTCTTTATCGAAAGAATTAACGCGCTTATTACGTCTTGATAAGTTTGTTGAGTTTATGTTTATTTGGGATCTTAAATCGTCAATTTGTTTATTTATATCTTCGAAATTTTTCTGCATTTGATAATTCGCTTGATTATTAAACTGTTCTAATTTAGAATTAAACATATCTTGCAATTTATCGATTTCTTCTGCCTGTTGTTGTCTTAATTGCTGAATAAAATTGTGATGTTGAAAATTTAATTGAGAAATTTGCATTCCTTTTGTTGCATTTTGGCGCTTTTGCTGTCCACTACGTATTTCATTTACTTCATCAATCGATCTTTCTATTTTATTAAGCTCTTTCTCTCTTCTGACGATTTCTGCTTTATATTCTGCTAATTGTTCAGCCAACCTTTGTATATCATCATCAGCTAAACTTATTTGTTGTTGTATTCTAAACTGAATATTTTTAACTTGCCTATCGAGCGCAAAAAGTCTATGAGAGTCTCCGCTCATTTTAATAGGCGTCACTTTTTATTCCAAAATTCGTAAACGTCCATTTCTCTCTAAAAAAATAAATCATCACTTCTGGAATTATACATAGTCTTTAAGGAGTTAAACATAAAAACATACTTTTACTCATATTTAATGCTATCTGATACTCACTGTATCGTGAAGAATTCAAACAATTTGATAATATTAAAGCTCTCTGTAACAAAAGTCTTTGTTTAGGGACTTGATGGCTCTTCGTCTTAATATAACAGCTGAAACAATTTCGTTTGATTGGGTTAATAAAATTATGCTATGACTTTAATTCTGTTAAGGCACTAATAAAACCAGCAAATGTACTTTCTGAATTCTGGCAAGTGCATCATTTTTAAGGGGGTACTCTCAAGTGAATTTTGAATTTTCAAAAATGAAACTGAAATTTTATTATTGCAAACCACACATTTTTCTTACACTAGTGTATTCATTTCATAATTCATATAGTTTTTATCAGTCATGAACTATTGAATTTGTTTGAAATATTTATCATGAAAGTTTTGCATAAATCCACCGCACAAACTTGATCCTTTTGTTGTCATCAATTATTGAGATTTAGTTTTGAATCTGCATGTTTAGTTCGTGTAAACTTCCGATTTTTTCATTGATTTTAAGATGTTATTAGAAAAATACTGAATAAAAGATAATACATAACAATTTCCCGATAATAAAGTAATTGAATCGATTGAAATGTTTTCATTTTGAAAACATTTATTGAGTAAAAAGAGTAATCATCCTAACAATTTATTTGATCCGTTTGATGGGTTGCATTTTTGAAGAAAATTAAAATATAATATCATTTTTTATTGTTTCGGATTTCATTATTGTTATCCTGTGAAAATTTTATTTAATTAAGATATTCTAGTAAAAAGGAGTATTTTTTATATCAAACGACCAATTTTCAAGTTTCAAACAAACATTTTCAATTTGAAAAGTTTAACACAAAATTTGAAAGACAATGAAATAAATTCATAGCACAAACAATTCGATTGTCAATTAATTAGTTTTGAATAATAGTATACATTACAAATATTATATTTTTGGAAATTTTCTCAGAATATGAATTTCAGGGAAAATCTTTTCATTTTCAATGATCAAATTGAAAATACATTATATTTTGAATATGAGCTCTTTTACGCCCTTGCAAAGCCACGCATTTTTAAATGATATGTACCAAAATGTATAGGGAACTACTTCAATTTCAACCTATATTAAAGAAAAGAGCAAATAACAAATATTTTTCAAATTATTTTCAAGAAAAGCCGAAAATCCTTTAATACGAAAAAGAAATGATTCGATATAATACCACAATATAAATCAAATACAAAGATTGAATTTAATTGGAAAATCATTTTTTTGTGATGGAAATGTGATTCAAAGATATCATTAGAAGAATCAAGCAATAACATTTCAGTTTCTCATCACAATTATCAATTTTCTTTCATTATGAAAAATTTTCCAGAAAATTGACAAAATTTGATTGAAACTTAATAGATCTATTCGAGTTATACAAAATTGTTAATCAATCTCCTAATTTTAAATGATGGATAGGAATCATATGACAAATTTATTCTAGACTTATTCTAAAATGCCAATCAATTATTCAATTCAACCGCAAAAATAACCACATTCAATTTTTTGATTTTTCGATTTTTTCATAATTTTTTTTTCTCTTCAGAATTTAAACAATTTCAATAATCATTCTTAATATTACCGATAAATTATTATATATATATTTATGCCGAATCACAAATTTTGAATATTATTATTTTTTGTTACAATTTTTTTTTTGTATCGATTCAAATCAAAATTAATATGATTACTTCTACTATTTTATTAATTTTTGTTCTTTCACGCCGCTAAATATATTCGCTAAGTTATCAATTAAAAGCTAAAAATCCTTTTTGTCGTTTTTAAATATACGAAATTTTATTTAACATACAATATATTAATAAACAAACCAGTAATTTTTTTCTTTCAATTTTTTTGACAAACAAAATTGAGTATGCATCTCAATTTTTGAATAAATTAATTGATTTCAATGATAATTAATTAGCATCCTTATGTCATAATATTTCCTATCATCTGTTTTCATATATAAATACGGTTGTATAGTTTCCCAGTTTTCTGCAAACCAACAAAATAATGCCTGTCGATTTCTACGTGCGAGTCTATCTATTTGTAATCCCATCATTCTCTCGAACATTTTCGCCCATTTCAGAAGCTTTATTGCTGTAACATCTTCACCAAACATAATTTTTAGAGTATCTGAAACTAATGAAAGTTTTGTTCCTAGTAATTTTGATCTATACTTTACTTCTTCATAATCCCTAATGCTTTTGGATGTAGTTCTCTTGTAATTCTTGGTCATTGAATCTCCTGAAATCACTTTCTCACTATCCATAAATGTTATAATTTGTAAAATTCTGAAATTGTTGGTTAATTCAAATTATTGAAACATATTTTACGGTTTTGCATTACTATTTTTGTTGAAACATTATTTATACTACTTTTTATATTAGAATTCATATTAAGCTAATATTTGTTCGGCCATCTATTTATAATTATTTTTGATCTAATAACATTATGCATGATTTCTCAGCTTTCCATTTTAAAATTTTATTAATTTCAATTTATAATTCAAAAGTCCTTTGAATTCTTCAGTCAATAAATAAATTTTTTTTTGAGAAAACAACGTATGAATTTACGCTTGATTCATCGAAATTCATATTAGATAACATGGATATAGAATATTAGATAAGACTATAAAAAATCAAAATAATTCGAAAAAAAAATGTTTGTTTTGATTAATATAATTAAAGAATTTAATAGAATACACAATAGATATGGTTTGGTGGTATCATCACTTCATGACATGCTTTTTTATAATTCTTGTAAAAATATCATCGCATCCATTCATAAAAGCTCAATATAATGACTCAAAATACAAAACTATTTAGAATCAAATTACAGATGTTTATCTTTGCCACTAATCAATAGTGATTTTTTTTTTGACCAAAATTATGGAAGTAATACATGTGAATCACTTACTTCCAAAAGAGAAGGAATCCACTAGGATGACATATGCATCTAATATATGAGAAATACCTTTATAAATTGTCTTCAATTTATGCATTGATGATGATATTCGTTGGGTAATGAATGCATTTTTTAATTATAGTTGCCATAGAGTATAACATAATATAAACTTGACATGGACACTATATTTCGAGAATTAAATTCTGAGATAAAGGGACTCAAAAATTCATGGAACTTTCTCGAGAGATATGACAAAAAAATCTGATCTGATAATTGTTTACTTAGATTAACTATTTTAATTTAAACGTTTACTCGTTATGAGAGCAATAAATAATTAATTCGATATTGTCTTTAAAATACAGAGCCACATCCATATTGATAGCATCAGTAATTAAAATTATCATCTGGGGCAAAAGCATAAATTAGAAATTGGCGATTTCCAATATTTCTAGTTTATTACTCAAATTAGAGGTTTGAAATAGGTATTTTCCCATATAAATCTCAATTTAATTGCAAAATACAACCAGGGTATCGAGAAAATGATTCTAAATGCTTTATTTTTAGTCAAATGATATAATTTTTTGCAAAATTAATTAAAATTATGCATAGAAACACATACAAATAGAATATATGAGCGAATATAATTGAGTTCCATGAATTTCAAACGAAAATACCAAATAAAATCTTTTATCGTCGGGGGAATTCACCGGTGAACTAAAACTTCATTCAATTTTATTTTTGAGTTTAACACTTCATTTTTACAAAGGAATGTCAGGAGAAGATTGCCCAGTTGAGCAGCATGGTCCAGTCGAGGAGATGATGCCAGAGGCTGAGAATGATGAGAAGAATCCAAACACAGAAGCTCCTCTCCCAACAGATGAAGAACAAAAGGAAGAAAAGGAGTCTTCAGAAGCCTCAAAGGAAGAAGAGAAGCCAGAGGAAGCTCAAAATGAAGCTGAAGATAATGATCCTAAAGAGGAAACCAAAGAAACAGAAAATACCGAAGAGGCCAAAGAAGAATAACTTAATTTATCATTAAATATCATTTTTATACCATATTACCTTACTTTTTATACATACATTCATTAGATCATCATAACTCTTGAGTATCAATGAATAAATTAGATAATTTTCCAAAATTTTGTTGTATTTATCAAAAAGCGAAGTCATTATATATGTAATTATACTAAAAAGACCGAAATATAGCGTATTTTAAATGCAAAATGCCATTTTGATTAGATTTTTCTTTGATATGCTTTGAAAAAATCTGAAATAACAAATTATCTTTCTTGTTTTAATAAGTACATAAGGAGTCTATTAGAAAATCAATATAAAATAACGATTCCGATAAGTAAGTGTATAGAATAATCGTCATCGTTTTTGGCAAATTTAATTCAATCTTGGAAAATTGTATCATTATAATATAAACAATATATTTAGGAGTATTTCATTTATTACGGTTTGTCACTTTTCCGAAAATGAAAGTGATTGTTCTTGGAGCGGGTTCAATTGGAACTCTTTTTGGAACAACTCTTTTAAAAGGCGGTCATGAGGTTATATTCCTTGACGCCTGGCAGCCTCTTATATACGCAATCTCGAAAGAACCTTTCGCTGTCATAAAACACGAAGATAATCTCGAAAAAATTCCGATAAAGCTTTACCCATCACACGAGCCACCACAATTCGAACCAGAGCTCATTCTCGTGTCAGTCAAATCGATCGCGACAAAGAACGCAATCCAAATGATCAAATCTAAAGGTTTGATCAAGGATAACACAGTTATTTTGACGTGCCAAGGTGGTTTCGAGAATGCTGATATAATTGCTAACGAATTAAATAACAAACAACTCTTAATTCACGGATGTACAAAAAGTCACTGCAAATCAGTTGGTCCTATGAAGATAGAAAACTACCACATCGGCGAAACAATTGTTTGGCCATACAATCTTCAATCAGGACAGCCAATTCCTGAAAATGTAACAAAAGTTGTTGAAATTTGCAACCAATGTGGCCTTCAAATTACCATTTCGGAGACGGCAATTGCAGAAAAATGGAAGATGCTCTTAGGATACCCTACAATTTACGCTTTAGCTGCTGTTTGCGGGCTGTCAATCGGAAATATCTGGAATGCAAATAGAGGTGAAGCAATTTTGACTAACTTAATCAAAGAAGTAGTATCAGTAGCAAAGAAAGAAGGAATCCGTGAGGATTTGTTCAACGAAGAAATTGCCACAAAATATATCGAAACTTTGGCTGAAGAAAATCCAGATCAACCAGGTACGATGCTTCTAGATGTTGCTGCTCACAGAGTTACCGAGGTAGATGCTACAAGTGGAGCTCTCCTTCGTAAAGGAGAGAAATACGGATTATCTCTGCCTACAATTCAAGCTGTCTGGTCTATTCTTCGCATTAGAGAAGAAAACTACGGCTACGAATACGAAAGCAGATAAATTTCTTTATAAAATTTCTCTTTATAGTTTTTATTTTTATTAATTTGTATTTGTTTATTAATGAAAGGATGAGTTATAACTACTTAAATACCCAGAAGCTTAAAAAGATGAGAAAAATCGAAACTTCAATTTCAATATTTTTATGAGTTTCGATTATGTATATTTTTATGAGTTAGTTAAATTAAACAAGCATTCAAGAGAAAAATTAAATGAAAAAAGATCTTCAAAAACTAGTATTTCTTTCTTTTTACTTCCAAATAAAATAAGATCAAATGAAAGTGGAAATTCTGCTTCACATTTTCCTAATGAAAGTAATGACAGTGTAAGATTAAATGGACTTGTGGTCATTTTACTTGTATAAATTGTACCACGATGATCACGAATATTCGCAGTTAAAACATCTCCATAACAATTTATTACAGTAATTACTGCATTAATTGCACCAAAAGCATGTTTTGCTTTGTTTTTAAAGAAAATGCATTCTAAAACAGTTAGTCTTGACATTTCATTTGTAATAACACCATAGTAATCGAAATCGTAATAGATCTTACACGAGTTGTTTATGAATAAAGATTTTTTGATAAAGGAATCGGATGTATCAAAATGATACAAGCAAGTTAACCCATATTTCTGATTATCGTTAGAAATGAAACAACAAAAGCTAACATTAAAAGGATCACTTCTAATATAAGAACATGCATAACCTCCACATTTTGCTTTAGTGACATTTGTAGAAGTAAAAGTTATAATTCCCATTTGAATGTATATACTGGAAGTTCCAATTCATCATGACCGCATTGAAAGAGAGAACTTAAATTGAGTAAATTTTTGTTTTTATAGGTTTTAACATTTGTGTATGAATATAATCCATTGCCTGAAGTGTAGCATTTAATAGAGCAGAACCGATCTTGGACAATAGAACTGTCACCTTCGAAATATATACAGCCACCATTTCCTTCAGATTTATTAATATTAGTGTATGTACATAAAGAATGCAGTAATTTAATCGAACCAATCTGACAACTGATGACACTATCTTTAAAATTATTGAAATTCGAAGAAAGCAAGAAAAAATTTTGAGAAATAGTTGGCTTTTCATTGGAATCAATGTTTGTATAGTTTTCTGATGGGAAACCAAAGTATTCTTCCCAAATATCATCAGGTATACCAGCTCCGTTGGAAGCATAATATATGACTCACCTCTTTGCCTGACAGTTGAAAATAAGAGTTAATTGAATTTTCAATATATCTATCTATCAAATTTTGAATATCTTACAATTCTAACTAGAATTTTAAAGGTTATCTTCAAAGAGTCTTTCCAGCCTATAAAGGTGTTCCATTTAGTCTATTCGCTAGAAGTGCAAATTTCATTCCAATAAAAACAATCATCCAAAATCAGATCCTTGAAAAAATGAATTCCAGTTTCCTTGATGCGATAGGATCAAATCAGAAAAAGTGCCAAAATGCTGAATTTTCTGATTTTTGAGATATCAAAGGGCCACACAGATAGAATTCTCCAAAAAGCATACGAAGAAGGGACTCTACAATACTTTGCCAGTGGAAGTTCTAAGCAATATATCAATGGATCTCCCCAAATGACAGATCCTATTTATGCTCTTGACCAGAAACCAAAATTATACGATTGGTGCTCAAACTGTGGCACAAAGTTAGTAGAAAAACCATGGATCGCGGTTGCAGTCAAAAATAAAATTATAAATATTCGCGGTTACTATCTTAAAGCGGGCTGTTGCTACACAGGTTGTTGCTATGAGGAAGTTGGCTACTATTGCAGGTGCTGTCTTTACACTTGGGCCTTACAAATTTCTAATGATAATAAGGAATGGACAGACATCCATACTATCGAGAAAGAAGGTACAATGGAATATTGCGCCGAACGAACATACGAATTTAAGAAGAGTTACTCTGCGAAATACGTCAGACTTATCCAGAAAGAACCTTATCCAGGAGAGCCAGCATGTATCGCTCTCAACCAAATAGAACTCTTCGGTAGTGCGACTGTTGGCGGATCTGACGACGCAGATGACGATTTCATATCTTATCACGACGACGATGAAGATGTAAGCATTATCGGTCATGTATCCCCTAATACACTTAGGAAGTAAATATATTTTTTATTGTTTTTAGGTTTATTTTTCCTTATTTTTTTGAATAATTTACATTATTGGAATAAACTTCTAAATATTAGACAACCATTATTATCTCCTGCTTGTTATAACTAAATTTTCTTCATTGATAAATGAAATCGAATCTTTGAGAAATTTAATCATAAATCTTTCATATTTGACCAATATGGAATAATATATGTAAAAATTTAAATTGTTTAAACATTTTTTGTTTACAAAAAAATACAATAATAATAATTCAATCAAGAAAATTATTGAATTTACTTGGATCTATTAAACTATCTGGTAAATCATCGAATGAGTCATCTCTTGCGATAGAATTATTCACTCTTGATATAGTATCATCACTTTCTTCAGTGTTATATTGATACATCACTGTTTCTTCTTTCAGTTCTGAAATACTTTCTTCAGTTTCTTCATTATTTGCTTTCTTTCTCAAAAACACAACATAAACAACCAACAAAATAATGATTAACAACAAACAAACACTAATAATAATGAAAACAATTGTCAATGATTTATCAGGTTTTGTTGGTTGTCCTCCTGTATTTTGATCATCAACAAATGAATTAGTTGTTGTTGTAGTTTCATTTGAAACAACTGCATTTGTTTCAGTTGATTCAATGATTTCTGATGGTGTTGATATTGTTGATGTTATGATGATATCTTCTTCTTTAGTGAGAGGTTTGTCTGGATATGGACATGTTTCAACTTGATATTTGTGTTCTGAGAATGATTTGTAAGGAGTGAAAGTGTTGCATCTGTTTCTGATGACATCAACTGTGTTGTCACCAATCATCCACTCGTTGTCTCTGTAGTTATTGCTGACAAAGATTCGTCGCAAGCTGTTTGATGAAAGAGACAAAGGTTGTTCGTTTCCGCCGTAACACAAGTTGTATAAGAAATCACAGAAATATAATGGATTTCCACTCTCAACTTTGATGTCGTTTTGAATTATCAATGTTGTCAAGCCGTAATCGGAAACAAGTCCATTAGAATCGTATGATGTAACAGAACTGATTGACTGATCTTTCAAGATTTTGATCTGTGATGAAAGTTTGTAAACTGATGGAACTTTTCCAACCAAACAAACTAATGCATCATCTGACTTTTGAACCAATTCTTTGTTATTCAACAAATAATAAACAGGATGATCACTTCTTATTGTCAAAACTAAATCTTTGCAGCCATAAAATGCTGTTTGACTTATATATGTTATTGAATTAGTAATAGTAAATGATTTCAAGTTTGTCAATGCCAAACATCTGTCATTCAATGTATTTAGATTATCTGTAATATAGAATTCTTCAATTGCACAATTTTCAAAGAAAGAACTCGTTAGGAATTTGATGTTGGCAGATAATGACACTTTTTGAGGTTCTGACAACCATAAAACATTGAAGTAAAAACAGACCAATCTGCTATCTTTAAATCAAAATCTAATTCAGTAATTCCCATATTAGCGAATGTGAAATTACCATTACCTCTTGTTATTTGATTTGTTGGGTAAATAATCGTTGTCAATTTTGTACAACCATAGAAAACTTCAGCCCAAAGTAAAGTTACCATTGAAATATCAATAGCTGTCAAACTTTGGCAATTCTTGAAGCATGCTTTTCCAAGCTGGTTACATGATGATGGGATATTTATCTCAGCAAGTTTGATACAATTTTCAAAACATGAATATTTGATTGTCGTCAAACCATCAGGTAAAACAACTTGTTCTAATTGTGTACAGTTGTAGAACATGTTGTTGGGAAGTGATTTGGCAGTAACTGATGTGGAATACGTGAAATATCTTATCCCAGAATTATAAAATGAACATGTATCGTAGAACCTTGAAAAAGTGACATCTGACACTTCTTTATTGAAAGAAAACGCATTATCTTCAATCGTATTAAAAGTAAATGATGCGTCAGTGAAACTACCTGTAACGAGTGGAGAAACGTAATAAATTTTGTTGTTTCCTTTCAATATTTTATTTGCAAAACTAAAAACAGTGTTTCCTGTTGTGTCAAATTCAATTGGTTGTTTATTTCCTAATATCAAAGCTGCAGAGAACGTATTGGATCCTGCCATCAAAGAAATCCTAGTTAATGATTTGCAGTTCTGGAATTGGCCAACAGGATCAGATAAAACTAAATTCTTTCGAATAATCAATGAAGTGATTCCTGAACCATAGAAACAATAGTTTTCGATACGTGTGACTTGGCCAAGGTCAAAACCGTTGGAAAGAGCTGTATAAGCAAAAGAAAATTTTTTGAGAATCGTGTATGACGAAGGAAGTGTTACAGATTGCAAGGAAGTGCAATGACAGAAACATCCTTCTGCAATATTGCTGCCAGATGTCAAAACAACGGTTGTTAATGCCGTCATATTGGCACATCCGTAGTAATGAGCGTTTTTAAGTGAAAGCCATTCAATGACTTTGTTTCCTGCTAATGATCGTTCGAAAATTTGTGTCCCCGATGTTTTCAGATTAATAAATGGAGAGTTATAACAGGCCAAATATCCGATTTTTGAGATAACATTGCCTGAGAATGATAAGGTGTCTAATACTGGACAGTTTTCAAGTGCTCTGTCAAGTAAAATTGTGATGCCTGGAGCATTAATTGTCTTGAGTACTGAACAACATTTGAAGATTCCTTTCGGAAGAGAGGTTACTGAGGAATGCAATGTTGCTGTAACTAATGATGCACAAAATGAGAACAAACCGTCACTGTTATCGTAATTTATTCCGGAAACATCCAAACTAACACTTGTTAGCTTGTTACAGTAAATGAAAACGTTATTATTAAACGTTAAACCATTGATTTCAGTTACTTCTACAGTCTCAAGAAGAGAATTTTGGAAGGCATAATCAGAAACTGTCGTAACTTTCGAAAAATCAAAGGATTTGAGACCGGAATATGCAAATGCAAGGTTTCCGATAGCAAATGAAGTACCTTCGAAGATGAAATTCTCTAATAAATAACAATTTTCGAAACATTCTTGCGGAATTGTTATTGTTGAGGCAATGATCTTGGAAGTTTTAAGTTTGTAACAGTTCTGGCACATGGATCTCGGAAGTTTTGTGAAAGAACCTCCTAAAGTAAGGCTCTCAATTCCAGATCCATAAAATGGAGCTATTCCTAAAGATGCCAACAGTGTGGTTTCAATACTTTGAAGATTTGGGCATTTCTGGGATGCATAGTTATTAATTCTTTTGACATTATTAAGATTAATTGTTTTGATTAAAGAACCTGCGAAAGCCAAGGATCCAATTTCTTCTAAACCTTCATGTATATTAACATTTTCAATATTGGTGTTCTGATAGAAACCGAGTTTTGGAATACTTGTAACGGATGTAGCTAAAATATTAATATTTTTAACAAGTTTGAATCCTGGGAAGTCAGGAATAGTTGTAACAGTTCCTTGAATTGTAAGTGTTTGAAGTTTATTTGCCATAATTTGAATGACCATATCTGAGTTAAGGGTAAAATCGGCATCTTCTGATATTATAAAGACCTCGTTTTCAACCGAGTATGAGTCTGTTATAATTTCTCTTGATAGTAACTTAATAAAAACAGATCTAAACATAGGCAATAATTGTGAATATTCAATGAAATCATCGGATTTTGAAATTCAGAAAAATAAAAATATAATATATATACTAATGAAAATTAAAATTGGCTGTGGTTGAAAATTGTATGAACTTCAAACAAATTTTTGAATATTCAACACAATTTTTGTGCAAGTGTGGTTGGACAATGCGGGATCGTTCAAATCGGTGATAATACAATTCGATTATTAAAAATCTCCGAACGTTACAAAAAAATACTCGGATAAGGCTATCGAAATTGAAATGCTTTTCCTGTCAGAAAAATAACTTTGTTTCTCTCACAATTTAATTCTTGGCCATGACTTAGGATTTAATAGTTATCATTAATATTATGTTTTTCGCAATAAGAGTGATCCACAGTCATATTCGTCATTTTCAGAAATTCTTTTAAATTTGCTATTATCAGCCTGTTATCATGATTAGTTCTTTAACAACGATAATCTTTTCACTCCGAATTTCTGAAATATTCCTTACACGCTCAGAAAAAATAATCGTCCAACAATAATTTTGCTGACTGTATTCGATGGAAGATAACAAATTTTCTCGATAAGGAATTTGAAATTGACAGTAAAAAAATCAAGCCAATTTTTTCAATATTTCTGAGCGGTTTCAAAATAGATGAAAGCAACTTTATTGATTTCAAATCTTCTTTCTAGGACAATAACGCTTAATTCATATGCAGCGAACAGTAATCTAATCATTATCGATAATCCCAATGATTTTTCACTTGCAGATGAAATAAATTCAAAAATTATTTCTCAAAATATCAATTCAATTCTAATACAGAGTGGCGTTTCATCTATCCCATTGAGTTCATCATTTGCACCTTTTACGAATGTCAAAACAATCTTCCTTACTTCAAATTCTTTAACAGGAATTCCCGAATCCACTTTTGCTTCATGCGGGCTTCTTGAAGAATGCATCCTATCTACAACAATTACCACGGTTGGAGGCAATGCTTTTGCGTTTTGCCATAATTTAAAGTCGATTAACCTGAAATCAGTTCAAAATATAGGTATAAAAGCGTTCTTTGAATGCCATTCACTTAAAACTATAGAACTTAATGTAGTAATTAACCTCAATAACTATTGTTTCAAGAATTGTTATTCGCTTTCTAACGTTACAGGCCTCACAGGACATAGATCTACACTTGGATACAAAGTATTCCATAATTGCTGGAATTTATCTACTCTAAGAATCCATAATCAGCTGGCTTTGGCTAATGAAAATTATCAACCATTCATTTATTCAGGATTGAAAGAGATTACCATTGATTCAGGGGTGAATTTCTTGTTTACAGGTTGCAAATACCTCCAAAAGGTCACTTTCTCTGATTCTTGTCCTTTGACACAATTGAAATCTCATATTTTTGAAGATTGTTCACAATTATCAGTTGTAACATTATGTGCCAGTATTACATCATTAGAATCCTATGTGTTTGTCAATACAAACATAACAAGTTTGAATTTATTCAACGTAATTTCGATGAAACCATATTCATTATACAATACAGGCATCAAAGAGATCACAATTAATAAGAATATAAATCCATCTTTTAAGAATTATGTAGATCCAACAACTTCAGACTTAGATTCATTAGATCCAAAATTTTTTGACGACAAAAACATTGATGACTACAGTTCAAACAAATTTGGTTGTATATGCAATGAAAAGAACTTGAAGAAAGTCATTTTAGGATCAGATGTTACAGAGTTTACAATGTCACTTTTCATCAATGTCTCAATTTCACAATTTCAACTTATGAGTACTAATAACTTTGTTATTGAGAATCAAATGTTATATAACAGTGACAAAACATCATTAATTTCAAAATTTAATGACACAAAAACAGAAAATTATGAAATTCCAAACTCAATTCCTTCTGTCAAACCTTTCTCATTCATTTCATGCACAAACATCAAAACAATAACAATCCCAGACACACTAACAAATCAAGACTATTTATGTGCAGGAATGATTAATCTTCAAACCGCCAAATTTACATCTTCTCAAATTTCAAAAATTCCAAACGGATTCTTTTATTTATGTCACAAATTAAGTAGCATTGTTATTCCTGAATCTTCATCTATATCAGAGATTGGTGACTTATCATTTGCTTATTGTTTTAGTTTAGTTAATTTGATGAAGAATGATTTGACAAAACTTGGAAAAGGTTCATTTGTTTGCTGTGTCAAATTAAGTCAAATTTCTTCAGAAAAAATTACAGAAATTCCTGATTTTTGTTTCATGGGAATAACAGACACAACAAAATTCAATTTGCCTAAATCACAATCAATTGGTTATTGTTCATTCTATAAATCAGATTTGACTAAGTTTGATTGTCCTGAACAATTATTAATCATAAAAGATTTGGCATTCATGAATTCAATGAAATTAGAGACGATTAATTTTAATTCAAAATTGACAAGTTTAGGAAGTCAATCATTTGATAGTTGTTCATTAAAAGAAGTATTGATTGTTGAATCAATCAAGTGGATCTCAAACACATGTTTCGAAAATAATCCAGATATTTCATTCAAATTCGATGAAAATTCTATTTTTGGAGCAGACAACAAATGTTTTTACTATAAAAATAATGGATATCTTTTGTTCACATATGGAGATCAGACAGGAAAATTCGAAATCTCAGACAATGTTAAATATCTTGACAACAATGGATTGAGATTCAAAACAATGCAGAGTAGTTCTGATGAAGGCGGATTTTTGATTAATGCAGGTGTTACAACATTAGTTGTTCATCATAATGTTGTCAGCTTTAATACTGATTTAACGAATTTCCCTTATATAACAACACTTTGTTTTGATAGTTTTGCAATGTCAGACACTAAGAGCAATTCTTTATCTACATTGAATTTTTATAATCCATCTTTAGATTATTATGAATTAGCATTCCCAACATCTCCAACAGCAGCAACTGTTATTTATTCAGATTGTGTTGATAATGTCGACAAAACGATTGATCCAAACAGATATATCAAATCAGATGGTAAATATGATGAAGAATGTAATTCATCATATCCAGATGCATACATCAAAACAGAAGGAAAATTGACCACAATAAGTGAAGACAATGCAATTCTTCAACTAAATGGATACATAATTTCATTTGAAGAGCCTAAATCATATCGATTATCATCCATCGACATTATTTTGATTTGTTTTGTTTCTGTTTTAAGTGTTATCCTTATCATTACTTTTGTTTTGATTTCTATTTTATAAAGAATATTTTTTTAAAGATAATACTGAATCTTTTTCTCTAAATACTATAGATTATTTAGAAGTATCATTTATTTACGACGGAAATGTTTATGTTGATTCAATCTATGCATTGTTTTGTGCTTTTAAAAATCAATCGGCATAAAGTATACTTTAGATGAATGTATTTTTTTCTTGGATATTTTTAGCATATGCAATTATTGCTACATTTTTATGATTTTGATTTTGGGATAAAGAGTATGGATGTAGTATGAGAAAAGCCGGAAAGTGGTAAAGAAGAATATTTTTAAAGATAATGCATTATTCATACATAACTAAAGTAAAGTAACAATTGCATATGCAACAAGAAAACACGGATTGATTTTTAAAAGCGCAAATAATACCCAAATTGAATGCAAAATAAGCGTTTTTGTCCGCTTATTGATATTGTAGGAAAAACATTTCAAAATACTCTTGAGATTGGTTTTAATTTTCCAATCCGAAATCTAACTAAGGAGGATTTTTGATTAATGCGGGTATTACAACATTAGCTGTTCATCATAATGCTGTCAACTTTAATACCGATTTAACAAATTTTTTATTTACAATGACTATAAACAATTCATCTTTAGATCATAATGAAGACTCATTTCCAGCTTCACTGCCAGTGGTAACTGCTATTTATGCTGATTCGTTATCATTTGAATCAGAAAGGAAATTCATGATTCATATTTTGATGGACATTAAAAGCAAAAAATATCTTTTTTTAACAAACTTTTGACAAATTAATTTCTTTGGAGAGGTTTCATATGGCAATAACGGATTCAAGGACAATATTAGTGCTTTGCTCTGCTTCTAGAACTTTTTCATTGGAAACAGATAATATATTCAAAATGTATAATGGGATGATATTCATAAAACTGTACCAGTTGCTTAAATAAAAAATATACAAATATAAATATATATTTGCATGAACCTTATCATCTGTATAAAACATATAAGGTTCAAGGTAATTATATATTTTAACTTTCCAACAAGTAGAATTAATTGAATAATTTTGAAGATATTGAATTAGAATAGCTATTGGAATGAAAAATAATGCCACACATAGTTTTTTTCTTTTTGATAAATCAAGAAACTCTTTAAGCGTAGAAAAGATAAAAGTGATAGAAAGTATAATAAAACTCAAGCAATATATAGATGTGGACATATAAATTAAAGCATCTTTTTCAAATAATATACGATACAAATAAATTGCCATCTTTTCATTTTTTATGAATGATTGAATATATTGAATGAATGAAAGCAACACAAGTAGAAATAGTAATACGATCGATAAAATATGCAAAAATTTTCCTCCAAAAACTTTAAACATGATTAAAATTTTTGTGATTTCATTAAAATATAAAACTATTGAAAAAACCTGGAAAATATTAGCAACTTGAACTAATACATATGCATTTGATAATCCATTATTTGCAAACATGTGTAAAGGTGTTAAATATGAAAAAGAATTTATTAAACAATTCATAACTGTCAAGACACAAAACAAAGATCCCTTATCTATTTTAACTGACTTGAATTTATTTGCGTCAATGAGAATTGAAGTTAAAACATACATGAATGGAATACAAATTATTATTGAAATGATAAAAAGAACTAAAACAACATCATTATTGCATGTTGGATAATTAGACAGACCGCATCTAGATTTAATAACGCCAGCTAAAACAAGATTATAATTCATTTTTTTTTATAAAAAAGGGTCTATTGTTTAGATCATTTCTCAGAAAAATTGAGAGAAGATTATAAATTATCGGAAATATACAAATAAAAATTTTAGAATAAATTGAAAACATAATAGTATACTGCGAAAAAAATGATAATAAATTTTCTGATCGTAGTGTCGACCCCAAAAATCATACTCTTATTAAATGTTATTCCTTTTCCTATTCTTCATAAAGAGTTCATTCACATCAGATGAAGATGGTCTAACATCAGTTTTAGATGAGATACGCCAATTACGAAAGGAAGTTCAAGAGTTAAAAAAGATAATTCAAGAATTTCAAGATACACACGAGTATTCAGATACATTACCCAAATCAGAGTCTAATGGATAGAATTACCGTGGGACAACTCATCAAGGAGGTTATTCCGCATCAGGTTTTGGTCCAATGGTCCAAGCAGGAGTTTATCATCCTCCGCCAGAAAGACCTATAACAGCTTGAAATTAGGTAATTGAATAAAAATTCAATTTACTATCTTTTATATTATTTTTTCTTTAATCCACTCTCATAAGAATAAGACTTAACAAAACAACTTATTGATTAGGAAATCTGCATCGTATATTTATAGCATATGTCAAAGGCATACATATATAAATAATTTTAGATATAAAGTACTCACAAAATCTAGATTGAGAGGCGGTCAATGACTTTTGAGGGGAAATTAACGCATGGAATTTAATATTATTTAGGTTGATATTCTTGCTTATTATTTCAGAAAAAAATCTTAAAAATTTCAATATGAAAATTGAAAGCAATTCAAAAAAATTGCTAACATGTAAATTTTAATATCCTATGCATAATTTCATATTTTGAACATTTTTTATTTTTGTTTAAAACTTAAAATTTTGCGAATTTAATATAATTTATAAAATATAATACGTATATATATTTAAAATACACTAAATTTAATTGTTAATTGACGTTTTTGGGAATGAATTTTATCAAAACATGCCTGAATCCGAAAATTTGAAAGAACGAATTACACAATCATATATGTAGAATTCAAAATACAAACTTAAAGATTGTATACGTTTAAAATTATTCAGATTGTGTTTGATTTCCACTCATTCTGTTTCTTTTGAACTCTAACACTAACATTTCATGATGATTACATGATCCATTTATACATGGTTGAATTGTTCCAGATTCTACCAGAAAATCAATCCAAATTTCTCAATGCATTCATGTTGATTGGACAAAATTTAAAATTTATCAGCCTGTTTCCAGAGAAACTCATATATTCCCTAATGAAATGTAATTTTTGCTACATTTATTTCAATCAAATTTCAAAAAATTGACTGCAGAGCTTGAAAAGGTGATGAATCATGTTGTTATTAGATGTACATATTAGATTTACTATTTCCAAAAAATGCTCAAATTTGAATAGTTTTTAGAAAATTTGGAATTACACTCCTTACATTATATATAATTAAATGTTTAAATTTTATTTATTTTTCCCTTTTAATTTTATAACGTGCTCTATCAAAACTAACCTCTCAATTGAAGGCCACAAAATCTAAGTAGTGAGGGTACACAAATTTTGTATGGAGTACGGTTCAATTTTTGAGAGCCTCACTACTTAGATTTTGTGACTACCTTACTACCATAAACTTATATAAGTATTGACAAATAATTTTGTATTCAAGTTCAATCTAGATAGTAAAAGTTTAAATATATTGGATATACTATAGTTTACATAGTTAGGATTCCTAAGATGATAAACATTTCTCTAGAATTCCTAACATATTTTAATTTCCTCGATTTAATGGACAAAAATGGTTCATAGATAGGATCTTTATTTGATAATACGAATGAAACTGTAATACTTTTCATCTAATCTATTAATGATCTCTCTTATATCATCGATAAAATAAAATCTAAAATATTTTTCATTGATTCCCAATAAAATCAGTTTAGCCTAAGGGAGTTTGCTTTCAAATTACTATAATGATTACTTTCAATTATATTATTCACGAATTTCCAAAAATATTCCTTGGTATATTTTGCCAATTCTTAAATAAATGTTAAGAACTTTCTCTATATTAAGTTTGAGCAGAAACTGAGTTAAATTTAGGAATATAACTGATATTTAGATGTATATTTTGCCAATTTGAAATTACATCTTGTCAAGTACCTCCAAATTGAATTTTCGAGTTGGAGAAGATTTTTCTCCATACGAGATACTTATTCATAGTTAACTATATTAAGACTATATGTTAGAAAGAGAGATATTTAACTGTAAAATGTTTTGAAGACAATTTTAATTTAATTCGAACAAAAAATACATTAAAAATATACAATTATATATCTATTGAAATATTCAATTCTGATGAACTATCTTTAGGTGCCTCAGGAAGCTCTGTTCCTGTAGATAAAGTATTCATAATAAAAAGAGGTACGAAATTCATGATTCCATACCAAAATACATTATATCCCCATGATATATAGAAATAACTGTTCTTAAAACTATCAAATTTAGTGATGTAATCAGTGGTTCTTAGTTGGATCTCAAAATGAGAACCCCAAAATTTGGATGTAATGCAGATATATTGAACAATATATAAAATTATTGAGAAAGGTAATATGAATAAGCCTATTTTTAATCTTTTGAGCTTAGAATCATCGAGTAAATCTCTCGCATTTGAAAATATGAAGCCAATAGATAAAATAAGTACGCTCAATGAGAATATGATGATGACTATATAGAATAGGATATGTATATCACTAAATTTTCGTAAAAAAGATTCAATTTTCGTGTTTTCGAAAAATAAATAGATGTAAGTAAAAAAATGAGAATGCGCCTAAGACTGTCATTAACGAAATTGATAGCCAAGCTAAAATATTTCCGATTTTGATCTTGAATATGATTAAAATTTTCAATATGTCGTAAAAATAAAGAGTAATTGAGAAAGTTTGTAAGGTTCTGATTAGTAAAATGATGTATCTAACTTTGGTTACTGAAAGATCTGTAAAAAAATGAATATTAGTGCAATAAGAGATCGAAAATACTGCTTCATTAATAAAACTAATAAAGCAGAATTCAATTCCATGATCTAACTTCTTTTCTCGAGTAAATAGTTTCTTGCGTAGTTGAACAATACAATTATATGAATAAGGTAAGCAAACGAAAAGAGATATGATGAAAAAAGCCATACTAAAATATAAATTACAATCAGGGTGAGTTGAGAAATTGCATCTTGAGTTTATCATTCCTCCAATTAAGAGGGAATTTGATGA